GGATCCATCTCATAAATGGCAAACTTAAAAAGGTCCAGGACGATTTGTGAATGAAGTAGTAATGGCGAGAAGTGCGGAGTGTGGAAACGTTTGTGGCAGTTATACATTAATGAATCTGCAATACTAAAATGTTATGGGAAGGGAGAGGAAACAGGTCCAAGAAGTAGGAAGTGGTGAAGGAAGTAGTAAAGATGAACAATCCTGAGTGTGAGACATGTCTGTGGCAGTTGGATTAATATATCTACAATCCTAAAATGCGACGGAAGGGAAGGAAACACGTCCACAACGTTGGAAGTGGTGTAGAAGGTAGTAAAGGCTGGCAGTGCGGTGTGTGGGAACCATCTGTGGCAGTTAGATTAATGTATCTGCAATCTTAAAATGCTCTAGGAAGGGAGGGAAACAGGTCCACGACGTAGGAAGGGGTGAAGGAAGTAGTAAAGGCTAAAGGTGCTGAGTGTGGGAACCGTTTGTGGCAGTTAGATTAATGTATTTGCAATCCTAAAATGCTATGGGAAGGGAGGGAAACAGGTCCACGACGTAGGAAGTGGTGAAGGAAGTAGTAATTAAGGCTAGCAGTGCAGAGTGTGGCAACTTGTATTTTGTATTATATCTAAAAACATTTTTTTCACTTATTGCTTTATTAAAACCATTAAACATGATTGCTCTGCTCAACTGGCTTTCACTGATGCTGTGAAAGCAATCCTAGTATAATAAAGAAATTGATGTTTAACACCAGCACAAGTTACAAGCTATTACAAGCTATTTGTACATAATCACTACTGTATAGTTTCATTGACTTTTGGATTCCGAAGTGGACATTTATTTATTTATTTTCCAATAATCACATAACATCATATTCAGACAGGTGATCACTCCATAAAAGGACTAGCTGCAGGTCTAGGAATGCGGGAATGGAAGTCCCATTCTGCTTTTTTCAATAATCCTATAGGTAAAAAAATCCTCAAATTTATAGTCAGTTCTTGGATGATGGTGAGTGTTACCACACTGTACATTTTACGACTACACCACTATGACTAGCTGTTGCCAACTTTTTTTTAGAAAGAACATAGTTATGTGAACCAGTCACAGATTGCTAGTGTATAAAATTCTGTTTTCTACATTTTTGGCTGGTTAACTTGACATAAAATATCCTATCAGTTTAACTTGGTTAAGTCTGCATATTCTGGTCTGGCTATAACTGGTCCATACGTAGAGGGAGGGTCTAATACAGTATCCAATGACAATGGTATTGAGTGTTAATGCATTGACAGGTAATTTTTAAGAGTTTGGTGTCTTCTTTTACCAGCCTATCCACATCATACACAGCTGTTTGTAGATTGTAACCAGCAGAGCAGAGCAAGGGGTGAGCTACAAGGGTGACTGATACAAGGGGGCTACCACAACTAACTGTAATTTCTGTCCTAACTCATATTTTCTCATAAAGCTTTGATAAATTTGTTGATAGAATTCCAATTAAAGACGTTTATAAATATAAGGAAAATCCATTCAGTTCCAAGCTGTATCAATAGAAGAAAAGTGATTCATAAAATGGCATTGCGAAGTGAACTTCCCTTGAAATTTGATTCGAAGTATAAGTTGTGCCAAAAATTTTTGGATTTATGAACCCTATGGGCTCTAAATGCTGATGATATATTGGGTTCAAGAATAATACAGGGTATTTTTCATGCAACCAAAAATACAACAACAGAGTTTCAATACGAGATTATATGCTATCAGCCCTGCTTCTCTTATATCATTTTTGATCAGCTGTTTTAGCATTGTTGTCTACACAGTTTGAGTTTATTTATATTGGGAATTTACTGTGTATAAGACTCAACATGGGTTTTCACAAGCTCAAAGAGTTTGTATTGTAGAATAATTACCAAGAATGAATATATACCAAGAATTGTACAGTATGCAATTAAGTTTTTAGGTGAGATTCCAGTATCTAATATATCAACTAGAACTAACAAACTTTAAAAAATATTACGAGAGCTACTTTTTTCCCCACAAGTGTGCATTATCAATCTTTAAGCACTTGGGGACCGAGCTATGACTTGGTATAGTTTATTTGGATTGTAAAAACAATATAAAGGAAACTCACGTTTTATGCACAACTAATTTTGGCTTTTATTATTTAAGTTTTGGTGAAATTTTAATTGATCATGATGGAAATTTTCCTGAATACAGCTGTCCAAATTATGTAAGCTATAAAAAAGAGAGCATTGTAAAATCTACCTTTAATTAAGAGTGAAAAACTGAGTTGACGCCAGTCACAGAGCAGACAATAAAAGTTTTTATTCTATGCTCTATGACACCTGTGCACTTAAACGTCACCAACACGGAACGGAACACTCATCCACACCTGCTCTATTTTCCCCTATCGATTAATATTCTATGTAATAAAATGTAACCTTTTGCTCAATAGTACAACTGATATTTTTACCTTTGTACTGTATTTTGTAGTTTGGTATTACTGTGGATGCGTTGTTATAAACACATGTTACAACACAAGTATTTTGTTTACTTTTTCCTTGTTATTTTGTTCAACCAAGATAATTACTTAGCAACCCATAAGGCCAATGTTAAAGTTTTAAATTTTTAAATGAGTTGTGTAGTGAAATACGAATTTTACTGAGGTAGTACCTGTCGCTAATCAGGTTTTTAAGGCTAGAAGTCCCTTATTCCAAAATTTACTCAAAATCCTTCTGCTAGATAAGTAATTAATAATACTCAGCACCAATTTATATAATAAAAATGAAATGGTTCTCAATGAAAAACACAAAGTCATACAAAATCCACACATTTTTATTTCTACATGTGTACAATAAAACTCAAAGTTTTTAAAACTACAAAAGTTATTAAGTACTTAGGACATTTAGACAGCATGTTCCAATCAGTTAAACATTTGATTTGGTTACAAGACTAAGAGATTATATTGTATTGCATTTTTGAGAGCAGTCTTCTTCTAAAACATTTTCCCCGAGTAAATTAGGCCTAATTTTTAAAGAAAGGGGGTGATACCACGGTCTCCACTTGTTATGATAACATCAGCTCCCCCACCGCCGTTGCACTGGCTACAACGACGTACATAATCGTAATAATCCTCATCGTACAACGGATCGTATTCTGAGTAGGACCGGCGACGATTCTTCCTCATACGTCTATGTCTTCTCTTTCTATAACAGTCTTCGTGGTCGTCATCTTCTACTTCTTCGGAACACTTCTTCTTCCATTCTTTCTTCTTCTTGCATTCCTTGCCTTTGTCTTTCTCCCCCTTCTCCTTCTCGTTTTCCTGATCCTTCTTCCCCCCGACGATGACCGACTGGACGACACATGGGTGGTTTCCGGAGTTAGCCAAGTGGGGGAGTAACTTTTTACTCTCTGCATCGCTGAGTCCGGGTATAGACGGGTGGTTCGGGTGAGGTCGGGTTGTTGGGTGATGTCCGGGTTCAGGATACTGCTGATGTCCCTTCGCAACAACAACAACTTTTACAAAATAGTAACAATATAAATTTGATAAATGTAGATGTAACTGTAAGTGGAAAACATTAGGGCAAAGAGAGGATGTTCGTTTTTCATGTTTTATTTAGTAGTTGGTATTGAGATGGACAACCCTATTTCTTTAATTTATGCTGAATATATTTAATGGAATATTATTTCCCAGTGTAATTATTTTGTAATGATTACAAATCAAATTTTCCAAACATGCGTTAAATCTCTTATCACACATATCTTAAAATATCTTAGTATAAATTTTTTTTTCTCAAATCAAATTTTATGGTACACCATAGCTCACATGTGAAAAAAATCCTTTACTTTTTGAGAAATAAAAACTGGGTAAGTGGATGAATGGATTTACTATTCATTAGCATCGTTCATAAAATAAAGACTTCATTAGGTGATATAATTGTTATGTAGCAAAAGAAGCTTTGTTAATAAGGGAGGAGACATTTAACTGTGTCTATTCATTGAAACTAAAGTCTTGATTAGTTTCCTCTCATTGACCAAAACACTTTATTTAGGAATTTTTTTCTTAGTACCTTTTCTCAAGTTTAATGTCATGTGGAATTCTTCTGTGGAAAAATTCATGGGAAGATTTTTGGGTTTTGAAAGATAGCAACTAGAAAAAGTTCTTAATGTGACACATTTTAACATTTTATCATCAGTACCTACATTTTAAAAACCATTTTCATGTGGAAACACACAGATCGTATTTACAACACTTGATACTAAATCAATCTTAAATTATGTCTACATAGTTTGAAATGTTTTGTCAATGGGCAAAAATAATTTGGTTCCAGGGAACTTTAAAAATACCAGCAATGAGAAAATTTAAACAAAAATCAATGTAAAAACTGATTGTTAACTAAGATTTTTTCTTCAAACGTTTGGATATAAACTAAGAGAATCATATAAAAAAAATTGAACTTAAAATAGTTACTATCATAATGTCCTGTCAAGCTTCTAAATCCATGTACATGTTCATAAACAGTAAAATTGATAATTTGATAACAGTGAGAACAAAACTATATTTTAACCTACTTGAATAAATCAATTCAATCACTTATCCACTAATACTTTAATAATTACATTCAAGCTCACAAATCCCCTTGTCGGATGATTATCGTTTTTGGACTAGGCCTGTTATTGGGACATCCAGCGCAGCCTAAACTTGACAGCCTGCCTGAAGTTCCACCTCCAAAGCTCGGGTCAAATCCAAATCCAAACCCTGGGTCAAACTCTCTGGTGGACGGGTCGAGGAGGTATCTAATCAAAGCCCTCCTCTGTTGCTCTCTAATATAAGCTCTCCTTCTGGCTTCCAACCTTCGTTCTTCCAACCTTCGATCTTCCCACTCGTGATCGTGATCGTGGTCGTGTTCATGTTCACAATTTTTCTTTTTACAACTGCACTTCTTCTCTTCTTTCTTGTCATCGTCGTCGTTCTTGGCGACGTATACAGTTTGTACACAGATGGGCGGGTGTCCGGACGGCGGGTGAGTTGCGTTGGACGTCGTTGGTGTCGTTACCTTCACAACAACAACGTTGTATCAAACACAAGACATATTTGGTACACAAAGTTGTTAGATTGTATGGTAGTTTTATGGTAATTTTCGAAGTAAATTTCAAAGTATGGTTTTACATTTAGGTAGAAGTTTTAGCACATAGAGTATATTTTGTTCCGAGCAAAGAATAAACAAGAATGTAAACTCACACTTTTCAGAGCTCTAATTTTTTTAGGAAAGGGGGGATAGCAGCTAGCTTACTTGAGAAAAAGTCTAGACGGTACACGTTAAAGACAAAAACACAATATTTTATCCCCTGGAGGTTTTTTTTTTTTTTTTTTAATGTAGACAGTTAAAGATAGCTATTTATAAAAATAGAAGGTTGTCCTGGACTGTGTTCTTCAAGAGAGGAAATATTTTGTGTCATTTTTTTATGTCTTCAATGTGTACTATGGCACAAAGAAAGTTGTGGGGGTATTTCCCCTTTGTATAGCAACAAAATGTTTGGTTAATGATAACAATATAGATAGAAAATTGAATACCGAAGTAGACATCTCATCTATATGGACCAGCTGTCACAAATTTTTATTAAAATAAAAAATTTGCCCATTTAATGGGGAATAAAATTTACAAAAAAACTAGAAAAAACCATCACAGTTATACAGGGTGTTTCAGTAAAGCGTAGGGGGCTATGAAGATTTAGATTCCACATGCAAAAATAAGTCGAAAATGTAGAATAACTTTATTTCGGCTTAGTTTAGCCGTAATCCGCCATTTTGTGTTTTTTTGAAAATAATTAATTACTCAAAAACCCTTGGGGATATTTTTATGAAACTTGGTATAAACTTTAAGTCTACAGATATAAACCTTCTCCAAAAATATATTTGATCAGGCTCATTAAGTTTCAAAATGGCGGCCATTTAAAATTTTGTTTTTATGGCTGGTGTTCATGGTATTAACCATTTTAAATGGCCGCCATTCTGAAATTTGATAAGTCTGATCAAAGATAATTTTGGAGAATGTTTATACCTTTACCAAGTTTCATAAATATATCTCCATGGGGTTTTGAGATATTAATAATCTTCAAAAAAATACTAAATGGCGGATTACGACTAAACTAAGCTGAAATAAAAAAAAAGTTTTTCAGGATTTTAGACTAATTTTTGCATGTAGAATCTGAATCTGCATAGCCCGCTACACTTTACTGAAACACCCTGTATATTATTAGGTACACAAAAAAATAGTTACACATTGAACTACTGGTTTATAAAACAGGTGTGGCCAATTGTTCATTAAAACATAAGAAGCCTCTGTCGACATTATATTCTCTTTGTTAGTCTATGGGTACATTCAAATTGACAAAGATGTCATGATTTAAAGTAAGTTGTACTTTCAGTTTTGTTGGTTAAGAAATTGGTGTATACAACAGATATATAAGTGATAGATTAGCACTCTGTCGGGGACTCAAATCTCTCAAATCTACTACATTCATTTTCATTCTAAAACTAAACAAGCTACAAGCTATCAAATGTTATTAATCAATTCACGGCCACCTAGAATATATATACAAGATAAAAATGAGTATTTGTCTTTTGCCCTCTAGTTGATAATTTGTACTAAAGTCTCTAAAATGATGAGTACAACAGCCAATCAAAACACTCCATTTCGGTCCAATCAATGAAGTTAGCAAAGCTACTAATGTCATGTACAGTTATTCTATTCTAAGTAACCGTGATTACAATTTGATCCAAAGCAAAAACACTTAATGGCAATTTTTTTTAAATTTACACTTTCATATAGTTTTATATCAAATCTATTTTATTGATCATGGAAAGAAAACACAGTGTTTGACAATGTTAGAATTAAAATTATTGGCACTAAGTAACATTTATTAGCACTGTACAATATTATTTATAACCTTCTAAATTAGTAAAACAGCTCAAAACACTTTCATTGAAATGTTTTATGAAAATTCAACTGTGCATTGATAGTTTCTAAGCACATCCATTTTGCTTCTTTTAAAAACAATAAAACACAGTAGCTTATCTATCATGTTTCATGAAACACTCTTTGAAAGGACTCTTTAAAAAAAATATTACTATCACTATGTCCGTTAGGAGCTTAAAGGAACTTAGGAACTTTTTGTCCTAGGATGATAGGCTCTGGCTTAAAATCGTTTTTCACATTACTTCAGGCTAGACCTAGGGGTTGCGGCATTATCACTTAGATGGCGGGATTTGGACCTGGGACCTAAGTCCTGCACTCTACTATTTGATTACAGACTAGCTCGCTCCCCAAATCGTAGATTAACTTGTGATTTTATTTTACATCCTTAAAATTAAAGACTAGAGAGACAAGAACTTAAATAATACATTATTCGAGAATGGTACAATCGATTGGTCATTATTTGCTGTTATAATGCTTTCTAAACTCAATTCCATATTCACCCTGCAATACGTGTCTTATGGGAAATAGTGGTGCAATTAAAATTATCATACAGTATTAAATTAGTAACATTGTGCATTTCATAGATTGGTGTTTTGATTATTAATCTGGTGTAGCCAACATTTAAATATTTAAAACATATTGTGAAACAAAATTGAAATTTAAGAAAAGTTTTGCAGGTTCTAATGTTTTTAGGACAGCTAGGAGATGTTGAGACTGCCATTTGAAATACATGGCTTATAGAACTACTGAGTAGAATTGAGTATAGAAACAAGAATGCTGTAATCATTTCATAGCTTTTAGAAATGTTTATATAAAGCACTTTCTGGTTAACAGTATAACAGTATAATACATTACGATGGGGTTGTAGTTTAAAATTCAACCATCACTCAAATTATAGCAGTAAAATTTTTATTCTAGATCCAAAATAATTTGCAAAATAAAACTGGAATTCTGATAGAAATAGACTTAAGGTTAAACATTAGCATAGGGAACAGTGTTGCGTTTGAGATCAACAAACTGTTTAGCTGTCATAATTTGCAGTTTGTTTTGTACACTTTGTATTCAGTCTGTTTTAACTAGGTCAAGAGAGTTTGCTATTGTGTTAGCGTTAGCATCAACGATTTACAACTAGGTTAAGTCTACTTTTGTTTTCAAATGTCAATTGTAATCTAGTAATTCAAGTGATATTTGAAAAATATGTAAGAAAACAGCTTGATTTCAACAGGTTCACTTTTAACAAATGTAAAACTTACTAGGTTTTTTGTTATTAATGTGAACTTGCTGCCTGATTTTAAGGTTGATTTAAATTAAGACCTGCATGAAAAACATATTTTATGAGAACAATTGTTTGATCACATTGTATTTTCAAAGTAATCAAAAGGATAACTTCTTTGAAAATGCCGTAATAATTCAAAAGGAAATTAATGAGGGTTACTGTTAAAAATCATTTGAATAGATCCTCAAAAGTATTCAAATTCAAGTAATTTTAGAATTTATGAAAAATAAACAAGTCAAATAAGAACTTTTCACCACCTTTCAATGGATCACAATTTTAAATTAAAACAATAACCAATTTGCAATAGAATATTAAAAGTTATTTTTCATCTGCCTCTGAAACAAAAATTTAAATAACAACCTTCTATTTTACTGGCTATACTTCCTAACCTTATTGACAACATTTTAAGAGATTTATGGTAACATTACCTATGATCTATCATGGAATCAATATTATCAGCTCTGGAGTAATATTTAAATATTTTCTAAGATAAAATAATGTTAAGAAGGTTTATTCCAGACTTTAAGTATTGAAAGGGAAGAAAAAAAATGTATCATCAAAATGGAAATACATAACATAAATACATATAAAATGTGCTGGCCAAATGAGTTATTTATAAAGGTGTTCAAAAAAGCTTAAGGAACTTGTTTTAAAATATTCTGAACTAATTTTAACCATACTAGGCCTCTTCCAATTTTTACCATCATATTAGTGTATACTGCTTTGATCAATATTGTTTTGCTTATAGCCATAAGCATACTATTTATTAAAAAAGTCTTACAAAAACTCTAAACTTTACTTTAATGTAATAAGTTAACTAAATACACTGCTAGAACCGAAGTTTTATCTTTGACTATTAATAAAACCCAATAGTCAATGGTTTTATACTAGAATCTAAGCTTGAGTATATATACATTATCAGAAGTAAACAACCCACCAGTTTTATAATTTAAATTTAATTTTATCAATATATCATATTATATACAGTATCACCATATTTAAATTATTCAAAAAATTCAAACTAAAACTAAAGGTACTTTGCTTTGAAAATGTCACTATCAAAACTGAAAGAAAACAAAATTACTACAAGTACAGTTTATGAACCATTCTCAAAAATACAGCTCTATGTATTGTTAAAGTTTAATCATGACTACAACAATCATTGAAAACTTGTTCAGCAATAATTAAACAGAAACAAAAAATCTGCATAAAACTAAAAATACATTATTTATTTATGTAAAAGTAAAAATAGAACATCTACAGTGGACATGGAGGGTAAGTTTCATTATAGATGGTACAGTAGACTCCCTCTTATCCGGACTCCTCAAGACCGAGGCCAGTCCGGATAACGGGTTTTCCGGTTAAAGCAAAGTCCCCAAAAACTCGTTAAAACGGACTGTTTACTGTGATATTTGACTTAAATTTAAGAGAGCGTTGTATTAAGACACGTGATCACTGGTCTCAAATCTTTCCCACGAGAACAGTCGTTTCAGTACTGCCCACTTCTAGTAAGGTTAAACCAATGTGCTGATAAAAATTTTCCGGTTAAAGAGATGTCATTTCTGCCGAGTGTAGTCCGGTTAAACCGATTTCCGGTTTAAAGGTGTCCGGATAAGAGTGAGTCTACTCTACTTAAATTAATATTGAAACCTTCAATTCTCTCCTACATGAACAAGATATCAGAATCTGATAAGTGTTGAAAAAAATAGGTCAAGGTTACGGGAAAATCAACAAGCTACATTTAAATAGAAAATTGTTCTTTGATGTTCACAAATTTTAAATCACCCTCAAACCCCTTGAAATATTTTGTTTTTTAGCTTTGTTGATTATTATAACCTAAAGAAGTGTTAAAGATAAATATTTTTGATGATGCCTTTAGTGGTAAGTATTGTACTTATACCCAACGTTTAATCAGATCATAGACAAAAAGAATTAAATATAGATTGTCAGCTGTGCTTCGGTTACCATAGGTTCTGGGGGCACACCGCTGGGAGCGCCATGTAGTTACGGCATACACACTACGTAACTACACAGCGCTCCCAGCGGTGTGCGCCAGAAGCTATGGCAACCATGGTAACCACAGCACGGCTGACAGTCTATATTTAATTCAAGTCTATATTATCAGATCTATTGGTGTATTTAACCATTGACTAAACACAGAGTAGACCTCCCAGCCAATGTAAACATTTGAAGCAAAAAAAACGTGGTGCAATCTGTTGAGATGGTCTATCAACTAATGATAATTTCTATTTCAAGTGATAAATCAATCAGCTGTTAGCACGGATTTTAATAATTAAAATATTAATTATTAATATTCAACCTTTGACTAATAACAACAACTAGACATTTCATCCCCATGTTAAATTTTCGTAGTCGATGTGAGCCACCGACAGATTGTGCTTATCTAAATTACTAATTTCTGTTGAATACACAAACCTTTTTACCGATTCAAACTAATAGAATTACGTATTGTAAGCTGTAGCAAATTTTATGAGCCATCCTTGGTCAGCAACAAAAAATAAGGTAAAAATTTTTATTTTAGACACTAGCACATTCTGTGACTCACTCTTTCATAGTAAAGATTTGGCGACAGTTGGTTCATATAAGTGGGATGTCTACTTAAGTATCCAATAGTCAATGATTCAACCCAATGAAATACCCTCTGGTAAGATGGTCCTGAACTTAATCTATTTTCTTAGCTTCTAATTTTTACATTGGATGGGAAGTCTACTCTGTTCGATGATTTAACCTAGTGATTTGTTTTCTTAAAATCTTTTACTATAAATATTTCGTAAAAATATTCGTCACTACAAATCTTTCATCGATGAATTTTTTTATTTTACATATTCAAGAAGTCATTGGAAGACTACAAGTAGTATGCGACCGAAAGTAGGATGTTAGGTGTTAATCTAACTATACAAAAATTCACATTAACTTTGATATCCCAATTGGTATATGCAAGGAATTAATGGCTGTAGTTGTTTTTGTTTCAAACAACGGTTTTGTTGTTGTCCATCATTAAATTGTCAAGACTGATCATTACATGTATTCACTCTTGTTTCTTTGTTCATTTACACCTCATTTAATGGAAAGGTCAAGACAACTTTTAAAAATCCCTTTCAAGAAGAAACTGGTATCTTTAGGAAAAAGGTACCATTATGGCTAAGAATAAAACTAATATTGTCACATCATATTCAAAAACACTTAACAATCAACGATCATAATTGTATGAGTATATAATTTCAGTTCTCTTATTCTATACAAGTTACTTCTATGTTCCTTCAATAAAATGCCTTTATGTCTATCAGAATAACTTAAGTCACTGAAAAATGTTATGCATCCACACAAACCACATTGTTGAGAAAATGTAGTGATTTGACCAGCTGTTGTACTCATCAATAATATTGTCATAACATTGAAAAGATTAGGTTCTACTGATCAAAATGTTTGTAATAAAAAAATACAAGTTAATGTTTGAAATCGGTTAAGACTATACAGCCTTAAATACTTTAATCACTAAATTATGTAATAATATACACACCTTGAAGTAATAAAGTCTCCATATCCATCAATCGTACATTTTGAAGAGGGTTTAGGGCAGCTGTAAGAACATTTAGCGAAATAGAATTGAGGTTATTCTTACCGTGGTGTGGGCACAGGAGCAGTCCTTCGGCGGGGGTGGTATCGGCACGTAGATGGGGGTTGGCTGGTAGACGGGGCATGGCGGTGGTACGATGTTCTGCTGCAAGTAGTGCGGGGGACAGTAGTTGTAGGGAACTACGCTCTGGAACAGATTAGTACACTGAATCATTTGGAGGGAAATTTGGATCTGTACGAATGCTTTGAGAAATTATACAAATGTTGTTCCATGAAAAAGGTCTTCATTAGTTGCTGTGCCAGCCAATCTAGCTTTTTTAAGTCTAATACCTACCAAGTACTTCATTCACTACTATTCTAGCTGCACACTTTTATGGGACAATTAGTCTCTTTCATAGTATTTGAAAACATCTTATAAGAAATTAACGCTCCCGCTAAGATAAAATTTTTCTATGACTAAGATTCTGTAGGAAGGGGGTCAATCCCTATCGACTACTGTTGCTATAGTCGGTTCACAAAATTTAGGCGGTTTGAGGTAAGTTCCCCACTACTTATTTGCAATATATACAGGGTGGTAATAAAGTCTGAAGACAGTTAAATATTTTCTTAAAGACAACAGATAAATCAATAAGATTTGGTACATCAACACAACACCACACCTAAAAATCTACTTTTTTAGGAAATATCAATTTTCTGTCATATTATGGGGACGTCCCGTAAGGAGTCAGAAGGAAATCTTAAATAGAAGCATAGGTTGACATGTACATCAAATTAAAGGTCTTTCCTAGCAGAATATAATCTCGCAAATTTGAACTCAAACGGACAACTGGGCCAAGAATGACAGTTGTTCAAAGATTCATTTAATTTGCATTGCTATTATACGCTTACTCCTCAGGGGGCACAGCCCTAGGAATCAGAAGAAAATTGTTAACGTAAGCATAGGTCGATATGCACATCAAATTAAAGGTCTTCACTAGTAGATTACAATGCCGTAAATTCAAGCTCAAAAGAATTCCTCAGTAAAAAATGGCAGTCATTCAAAAATTCAAAATGGCAGATTCAAGAAATCTTTGAACGGCTGCCATTTTGTGCAGGATCAAACTTTTGAAGTGCGATTTGCGGCATTGTATTCTACTAAAAAAGACCTTTTATTTGATGTGCACATTGACCTATGCTTCCATTTAAGATTTTCTTTCGACTCCTTGTGGGCCGTCCCCCTGAAGAGTTATTGTATCACTGAATATGTGTTAAGATAAAGTTTTATGCTCTGTAACTTTGTACCAAGTATTGTAGCTTTATCTACATTATTTTTTTAAATATTTAACTGTCTTCGGACTTTATTACCACCCTGTATGTTGCAGCTTTAGCTTTATTTTAAAAGTAGAATCAAGTGTAGGTGATAGAATTCTTCCCCTAAAACCGCCTAAATTTTGTGAACGGAGTATAGTTAACATGTGTATGCACGAGTTTGCAGAAGGTGGTACACATTTGTGAGGCTGGCAGCACGTTCATAACTTTTCTTGAGACAGTGATTGAATTGTGAGGTTGCAAAGTGATTGAAGTGCAAAGTATGAAAAAATCTCTATCTAACGGGATAGGGGAGAAATGATGGTTTCTCAAACTTTTGAGTCATTAGTAACAGGGCACATTTAGTAAGCACATAGTAAGCTGAAAATTATACTAAATGTATCTTCAAGTGTTATTGGATATAGTTGTTATCAACATAAAGGGAATTGGAAGCATCATGTTTATTTTCATGAAGGTTGTATATAGACTGTCCTAGAAATCCTTGTGAAGTAGATAAAAACATACCTTTATGCGTTTGATCAAAATGCATTAGTATTTTGAGTTTCACATAGTTAAAATGAATATGGGTATGGCAAAGAGTAAAACAGTAAAATTTCGAGGATAATGATGTTTTTAGGATGGGTGGTATTTCCTAAACTGTCTTTCAAATCGCTGGCCTTTCGTATTGACTTCCCAAAAATGAATAAAGACAGAAAAACTTGGGCTTGATACATTTTCTTCATGGGTAACACAGACTTTAGTTCCACTGTATAGGCTATCTCCTTTCACTGATTGTAATTTCAGTAACAGAAGTAGTGCAATACTTTGTATTTCGTATTTCTTTATCAGACAGCTGACTAAAGTAGTTGACTTTGTGTACTTCAAGTTTACTTCTCATCTTGTAGTCAAATCTGAAGTCTATATCAGTCCCACAAGAGCACATATTTTTACTAAATATTTTGTCTTTTATGCTCAATTTAACCATCGTTGCTTTACCATTTAGAAATAAAACTAACGGATAAGCAAACAGTCTGGAATGTGACAGAAAATACCTTAAAATCTTTATAAAAATTGTTCCATAAATCTACATAGGTGTATAATTAACCTGTTGTGAATCTATTTACCTCTTGTGTAAAGGAAAACACATTGAAAAAAAAAAACAACCTAAACACTTAAGCAGAAACTAAATTGTCAACTTGTGTTTTAAACCTTTACACAAAAATCTTTAAAAAATGTACTTGCCATATAAAGCTAACATTTGTTTAACCCTCCTATTTACTCATACAAATATCTTATTTTAGTTTTGAATATGTACACTACACATTTGTGTTTAATTACAATAAATGATTCTTATTCCTATGAGCATTTAAACTATTGAAGGTCAAAATCTGAAATTATGAATCTCAAAACAGAAACAGAAACCTAGCAAATCAAATCCCAAAACTCGGACCTTTTAACACTTATGTAAAACCTTTAATTACCTGATCAAAGTAAAAAAATGCAGGTAATAATAAAATGTTTACTATGCAATCAAAACAGAAAAAAATTCACTCCCTACTCTGATATAGTGGTTATGATAAACTTCAAGAATCTTTATTGTACTCGTATGTTGTTCCAGAATTAGTCAAGATATCTTTTGCAATTCAGAATATAATTAACTTTTTCCCTTGGTTTAAATGGTTATCTGTTTGCTCCATTGCTATCAGCTTGGGTGTAGACAGTGAAATAAACAATAAACACAGCAAAATATTTCAGCAGTTTCATAGACAAAACTGTCAAAGTCTTCAATTTCGTATTGAATCTCGAAACTCGCTGATTGAATCTCAAAACCGAAACTTTTTTTAAGTTTTGATGGTTTTTATATTTGAGATTTGGCATTGACACATCACTGATTTAACCTCAAATCCTTAACTTTGTTTCGAACCATTTTTACACACACAAAAAGAAGGAACAAATTTAAATTCAAACTTTTATCCAACAATATATAGTTTGTTGTTGTCAAATTGTTAATACCTACCACACGAGAGGTTGGACAGCATTGGCAGGGTGTCTGGCAAGGTGTCTGGCAGGATGGCATTGCGTAAGACGCAGGAAATGTGACTTGTCTGGACATTCCATACTGATACGGGTACTGAGCCAACTGAAAAAATAATGTAAATTAATTACAAAAAACCTTGAAAATTTTGTTTAATTTCTACATCTCAGACGAAGGTTTACCATAATCACAGTAATACACATAAAGTTATAGTATGCAAATTTGTTTTTGGGGAATTTTGTTTTCATAAAGCTTAGTTCCAAAGCTAAACCAAGAATCATCATTATTGATACTTAAGTAATATTTTGGTGTATTGAAAAAAAGTGGCTGATACCTAAAATTAGTCAAGAGGCTGAACTGAGAGCATGTGATTGGTTTTCTGCAAGCAGACTATATCTTGTAATTCTGATAAATCATAATATATAAAAATCAGTCTCAAAATAGAGGCAAAATTTGAATCAGTCAAACTTTTAGGATTCAATTTGGGTTCAAAATTAAATTTGGTGTTAAAACACATACAATCTGTTGTAACAAAATCTCAAGAGTGAGGTGCTTGATGTGAAAACTTAAAGATTTTGTTAGTCAAGAATATTTAAGATTGGCATATTTTGGACTCTTTCAATCACACATACTATATGGTCTTATTTTGTGGGTCTACTCTCGACATATTAATGACATCATTTTACTAAAAAAAAGGTGGTTTGAAGCATAGCTGGAGAATGCTAAGCTACACACTGTAAACCTCTTTTCATTAATTTCAGGATACCAACTATAGTAAATCTTTAAATATTCCAAATTCTAATACATACAAAGTCAAACTTAGATCAATACTCTTTCAGAAAAGACATTCACAACCACTATAAAAGAGGTAGAGATAAAATATAATATTGCAGCACAGATTGGCAAAAACCAAACATTCACATAAATTAAATTGTATAATTTTTAATAAGCTGTCTGAAGAGGCAAAATTAGTTTCTTACAGTATCTTTAAAAATAAACTGTATGACTGGATTGTTAAAAATCCTTTTTACAGAATTGATGATTATTTAAGTTGTGAAAGATTTTGAAGAGCAAGTTGAAATAAAGCTTTTATTTTCATGTAAGTGGTTGTTTAAATTTTAGATGTATTGTACTATAAACACTGAATAACCTTGTAACTATGTATAACATATAATGTGTCCTATTCCTTTTATAAAGATCAATGGAAATAAATATTTCTTATTCTTATTCTTCTTATTACTATATTTTCTAAGACACATCAGGATGCTTACTGTAGTTTATAATGAAGATTAATGGAGTGAATTACTCAAAAGCTTTGTTTATGATTATGAGATCTGAATCAATGATAAAGTCCACAGTCCACTGCTCAAAGACAGTTGAAGATAGTTTAATTCTATGAAAGAGTGTACTGTACTTAACATTTCTTAGGATTAAGTCAAACTGAAGATTACTATGTTAGCTTGCTAATAGCTCAGATCAGCTGTTAAACTTTACCTACATACACTGTAGGCTAAGAGATTCCCATAGTACCGTACACGGCTTTGAATTTTTTTATTTACCCACTGAACAAGGAAATACTCATTAATTTTGACGCTAAGCTGCATTGAATTGAAATCTATAAATGCTTGTCCACAAAATTTCTTGAACTTTTGTGTTTTCCTTTCATTATGTTGAGTCAGTCATGATTCGTTTTCCTACTTCTTATATAGTAAAAACCTTGGTTTCCTTTAACCATCGATTGTACAACACTTCTGTTTGCTAAATAATTTATCTTCAAGCTCTACACCAATGGTTTGGAAATAAATTGAAACATTATATGTTTAGAGGGTCAAAAATGGTAAAGCAAAATTTTACCTCATGAAACCCCCCAAAAAACCCCTGTTCTCATATTCCGATCAGGCTGGTTCAATCAAATTGGTTCTGGATCTAGTTAATACCACAACGGTAATAGCTTATTCCCTATGGGAAATGCCCTCAAATTTAGGGGTCTTAGGCCATGCTGGCTGTGTTAAAATAAAAAGGCTTCTTTCACAAAACTTAATGTGATAAAAGATTGAATAAGGAAATAGTGTTGTCAGTAAAAAAGCTACAACAGATATCTTAGACATCTTGCCATTAACTAGCGATTAATGCTACATTACTTATGGAGAAGCGAGCTGGTCTGGTCGTAGGGTACAGAACGTTGGTCCCCAAGGTCTTAGGTCCAAATCCTGACAATTACCATTGGATTTTATGTAAGAGATAGTAATGTGACACTCTTAGATCTAGTCTGAAGTAATGTGAAAACGGTTCCAGGCTAGAGCCCTAAGATGAAAAAAATACCAAACTCCATTTTCCAAAATGTTTAACTTTTGACTCCTGAATCTTAGAATACCCCAAAATGCACAGGTTTGTTTGTTCATTTATATTATCATCAGTGTGTCAAAATGTTTTTGTTTATATTGACTTCATTGACCACTATCTTACATTGAATGCTATCTTACAAGTGGTACTGTAGTATTTATTTTATACTAATTAGGAATAAATTTAGTCGATGAAGATGATTTTATTCATGTCACTGGGTTTAATTTTCGATATTCGCCATATCATCTTTCATTAGTGGAAAAACCTCCGACATACATGTACAAAAACTGTTAACAAACTGTCTCAAGAATTCTAAAACATACAGTCTTTTAAGCACTTCAAAAGCAGCTTTGCTAATTTTCTTTTAAGAAACCCCCATTATATAGTATAGATGAGTTCTTAACTGATCAGGATGTGTAATAATGAATTTGTTTTTTTTATTTTTACTGTTTTAGGTTATCTTATTCTTTCATAATTCCTTAGTCTTAAGGCATTAGTATATTGAAAATGGTACCTGATTTATAGCACTGCTATGTAAACGTAATGTGACAATAAAGATTTATTTATAACCATTTTTGTTTACTATGAAATAATGAAAGGAGTCTACTTTGATTGATTTATTGACGTACAGTAGTATAAACTCACTAATAATTTATCTAATGATAAAATGATAATAAATTTAACAATTTTCTAACACACAGCGTACAACACTGTCTCACATAATTGTATCTATATGTTAACATTGATTATCAATTTAAGAATCATTTCCCCAAATATACTATACAAAAAATATTAAATATTATTTTTCAGTGCAAGATAAAGCTTGTTCAACCAGAATGTTTTGAAACCAGATTCTCAACATGGCAACAGTAGTTCCAGTGTTCTAGATAACATTCTTTATTGTGCTGCAGTAGCACATTCTTCAGACGGAAGTACAACAATGATTAAACAACAGCGGAACTTACTGCATGAGTTCGCTTTCAAATAAGATTTGAAAATTCTCTCTTGGATTTCTCTTGACGAAATAAGAAATAATTGAGATATTCAATTACTAGTTCTTCAATTTCAAATGATTTCCTAAAATTATAATTGTTTTGTTATAGAAAGAGGTTTTGTTCTTTGAAATTGTACTTAATTACAGTTATATTCATGTATATATTTGTTGTTTCTGCTTGCGTATGTTTGGATTAAAGGCTCCATGTTACCTTTGATTTTTTTGAGGCGATAAATTACTTAAGAGTTTACGTTAACTGGGTAAAATACTTGTATTAAAAGGTCACATTCAAGATTTAGATTAGATTTTTTCTAACCAGTTCCTATAAATAGGAAAAGGCAATGTACCAGTATATTACATTTCATAAAAGAGTTAAAATAATTGTACAACTTTATAGCAGACGGTAAAATGTAATAATTGAAACCGTTAATAAAACGTTGGAGAAGTTATAATATATTCTAATAGATACAATTTCCAAACACTAGATTAGAATAGCTAAGGAATCAAATAAAAATTAATTAAGACTAAGAAACAACAAATCATGTGACCAAATTGATTTCAAAACTAAATCATTCAGATCAATGTATTTGGAAACAAAGGTTCTACATATTTTCATCTCAGCAATTCCAGACCATTGGCAGAAAAGATTTAATTAGCATAAGCTTAAAATTATACTTGTATCAAACAAAATAGGAATAAATGATACATATCTTTTTTTAATCCTTGGAATCTAAACTAGCCACTGATTGTGTTACCAACTCTAGAATATAATATAATAATGGTCAATTAAAGAAAATACACATTGTACAGAAGGTTGGAAGGAAGAAGGATGGATACATGACTAACTTACCTAAAATATCCATTCCTTCCTCCTAAATCCTACCTTCCTCCATTCCCTACCTATCTCTATACTTCCTGTTCCAAGTGCTTAAAAAAAATTACATTACAATTTTTGTAACGGCACCCAAACAACACACATTAAGCCAAACATTTTACATTTTGACGAGTAGATTTTATCTAACTAAACTATGAGTATTACAACTACTAACACTATCTCTATCCATCTACTTTGACATGCAGCTTGTGGTAATTTAATCTGTAGAATATCATGTTACCTAACACAAGTTGGTTAGTCACGTTTTGTTCATGAGTTTACTTAGGAAGTCATACAGAACAATGGGTTATGAACTTAGTGCTTTATATCTGAAGGATCTAACAGGAAAAATCAGGAACTGGTTTGTAATTAGGATACTGGTTTGTGGAAAGGAATTTGACTCGAAAAAATACAGATGGCTAGTATCTATCGAATTATGAACCTTTTGATTGAATTTACTGTATTTAAGTCAATGACAAATATTTTCAACATCAAAAACGAGTAAACAGTTTTGAAAAAGGCACATTTGTCAAAACCTTAGAACTGTTAGCATATCATAAAAAGTATTGAGTGATTTATAAATATAACACTGTAATGGGAGCAAATGTTTTGATATAAATAAAAGGGTCATTAATAGATAGAAGTTTTTAATTGGAGAACATAGTTACTTACCACATCATTATACAAATGTTATATTTGTAAGTTGTAAATGTAATTGTTTGTAGCTATGCAAGGGAATTAGTATTTATGGATGACCTTAATGTGTAGCTCCCTTACTTGCTGTTTATATATTCAGAACAATTTATTAAAGGCCCAATAATCAATTATACTGCAGCTGATCTTGAGTTAGTTTTATTTCCATTAGTATTTATTTCATATTTTTTTTACTTATAGTTAATCATTTGACAATATCTGTTCCTGATCATTAAGCTTTAAATTAACGATCCTGACTAATGAAACGGCTGATCTTAGTCAGTAACAAAGCTACACAGATCTTCAAACTCCATTCTACACTCATCCTTCGCTCACATTTGGGTTAAAATATGCACATAGGTGCATATTTACAATGAGCCCCATCTCAATGATTGAAAATAATTGTTATGTTAACTTTATGCTTCAAATTTTTGAATCTCTGAAATCAGTAGATGGTCACTAAGCCTACCATTACCATAAGTTTAAAAGACCTACCAACATTTATTAGTAAAAGAAGTTATTTGTTTTTGTAAATGATGTTTGGATCTTAAATTTAATTCTAAATTGAAGCTCTAACTCCTTAGGGACAAGTCTTTATGTGCTGGAATACAATCTACCACCATTGCTCACTTATTGTGCATTGAAAGATCCCTTGTTGTTGGAATGGAGATTAATTTGTTCACTACGAAAAATCAATTACTCATTCATCTATTAGGAGAGTGACATATTCCAATAATCTTAGTATAGATTGTGGTAAGATGGCCTTAATGTATAGCTCCCTTACTTGCTGTTTATATATTCAGAACAATTTATTAAAGGCCCAATAATCAATGATATTGCTGCTGATCTTGAGTTAGTTAAACTGTAAGATTTTCCATCAAAGTGAAAAAGAAAAATGTTTACATCGTTAATGTAAATATATGTCAAAATATAACTTATGAAATGAAAAAAAAAATGATTCATTTAGACAAGCAAAGTTAGGGCCACGCGGCCTTTTCTTACACTTTTTGTGTATTATGCTCACTCTTAAGCCTCTCTTATGTACACTGGAGTTAACATTATATGTTTGAATAAAAGTTTACAACAATATCAACAAGGTTAGTTTTGTCAAAGTGTTTCCAAATTATCATTTGTCATTGGGCCATGAATTAATTATGCTATCTAACAAAAGGTCGAAGTTTGATAGTAACAGACTAGAGTTCTGTTCCCTTACAAAAAGTGTAAAAACTCAGGCATAGGATATACAAGAAATAGTTTGTTTTAGTGTTTGTAACAGAAATGTTAGCAGTTGTATACATAATTTTTAAGATAATAACGTTTATAGTTAGCAAAAAAAGTTTAACATTTTTGTTGACTTTTTTTGTTGTAAGATCCTTTGAACATATGTTGATCTGTCGAAAACCAATGCAACATAAATCTATAGTTGAAGATCATAATTAAAAAAAAAAAATAAACATATCAGCTGGTTACTGTAAATTGGCTATAACTTCATTGTTGGTACATAACACACAGTCAATCAACAAAGAAGATAATCACCAACAAAAAATACACTCAATTCCAACGACAGAAAAAATCACAAAAATTCTACTTACAAACCAAACATTCACTTAACTACGAATACACGCAATCTCAAAAAGTCAACATACCAAAGTTCCGACCAACGTAGACGTCAAGAGAAGAAACAGCATGGACCTCATGGCGTCCCAGAAGTCTCTAGGAAGTGTTCATGTTGAGCGTTAAAGTAACCTACGCATACCTTCAAAATATCATGGGCGGGTAGATAATTTATCACTTGGATCATACAATGAATGTGTGTTATCAAAACAATATGTAACTGACACTAAGTACTCGACAACATTGCAAGGACGAGCCTCCAGTGATAACAGTGTTGATAATTGCAGATGCTTATCTTATACATTGTTTCTAAAATAGCTCAAAACCGGAAGATAAGCTGTGAAGTAACAGTATTTATAAGGAGGTCGCAGTAGAGTCAAAGGACGAAGGACGTTATAGGTAATGTAGATGTAATGAAAGTAATGAAACGTAACAGAACTTGTTGTGGGTTAAAAATTAATAAGGGTTGTCGAGTTTGGGACAAGTAGTTTTTCTGAGATATAATTAACGGTAAGTCCAGAGTGCACGCTGATTCAGATATGTTGATACAGTAGAACCTCTTTAATCCGAACCCCTGTAATCCGAACGTCCACTAATCCGAAAGCCTCATTTCTGTACTCAATACACAGTACAGTAGTTCTTCATTGTATATTGTATTTATTGATAAACACACTATAGTTATTTGTAAATTGTAATGTATAGTACTGTTTATTCCCTATATTTACTACTGTATTAAATAAACACTGTATTTTACTTCATAAAGCATTTTTCACTTTTCCCTAGCTTTGTTAAGTAAAAACAACATTATGTTCTGTCATGCGAACTATTCAATAATCTGAACTATCCCCGGTCCCAATAAGTTCGGATTAAAGAGGTTCTACTGTATACGCTGTGGTACTGACTCTGTTAGCAAAGAAACAAGTCAGTCGTAGTTATAAAGTTGTCGGATGAGACGTGTACAATTATAGCATCTGAAACTGTTGTGATGTTACAGCCAGTGAAAATGGTGTTTCTGATATTATATATCTCTTTTCCCATAGCTAGGAATGATTGAGCACGGTTCTTTCTACATTGTTAAATAAGCCCGAAAAAGATTATTCAAATTGAACATCGTATTGTAAGAAACTGGTGTAACCTACATAGGTAAAAAGATTTTTTCCTGAAGAGAGGGGTAACCCTAAGGTAAGGATGAAAAATTGTATATTACTATATAAATCAAAACTAAATAGTATGCGTACAAGCACTATCTGAATCTGAGCCTAAAACCAGAATGAATAATTCATACCGGTAAGCAGGTGCCTGCGCGCCGGCTCGGAAACCGGCAGCCACTATGGCCACTCCCATTTAAATGCAAGTGCCATTCCTGCTGCCGAAAATCTGAATCTGGATCGGCGTGGACTCTGGACATACCGTAATATAATAAAGCTGGGATAAAAACCTTAGTTTTGTAGCTTTTGTAATCATAAATGATCAATTAATTATGAGTTATTTGAGACAGTGACACACACTTTAGGTAGGTTTTTTTAAGTGAATATGAATGCAAGGTGAGTGTAGAATCACTGACTTTAGGATTCTGAAGTAGACATCCTATCTATATGTACCAGCTGTAGCCACTTTCTTATTAAAAAGAGCTTACTTAGTTCTGCGAGCCACACACTCTAAAATTCCTCATTTTTGTTACTGAGATCGTTGACAAGACATAAAAGATGCTTAAGGTTACAATTATTAGCTGTACTATCTGTTTTCCTTGGTTAATAAGCCTAAATATTCTTTAGAAATTAGTAATTTACATCAGTACAATCTGTCGGCGGCTGACTTCAACTATGTCCATTTTGACTTAAAATATGGTGACAACATTAACATAGGGATGGAATGTCTAGTTGTTTCTACAAGTCAAAGGTACAATGGAGTGAGATGATCTGTGTAGCTTTGTTACTAAGATCAGCTGTTTCATTAGTCAGGATCATTTAAATTAACAACTTTGGATGCGTTCTGGGAACATGTATTGGTGCACCGGTGCAGATGAACCAGTGACTTACACACCGGTACCGCCACAGGGGGCAGTCTTGGTATCCAAGTACGGTTAGTCACCGGTTTAAGGTGCACATCGTATTGTAATTTACACATTTACACGTCAACATACTATTTACTTTTTATAATATTAAAGTCAAACAAACTTGCCCTCATCACAGAATAAATTATTGATATATTATTCACTAATTACGTAATATAATCCATCAAACTGAGATAAACAATTGATCATTATTCAATGGATCCCCCTCTTGCCATAGTTGCAGACTGATATCCAGGAAACTCACCAATCAGAAGCCCCTGAGGAAAAACAGGAAATAGCTGTCTGCTAGGTCAACTCACTGGTCTCCCAGAACGATACATTATCTGCACCGGTCCTATATCGGTGCACCGGTTAGTATTCCTAGAACACACTCAATAAGATTTGATGGATTTGTCAAATCTTGCAGGATTCCATGATCAATTACAACTACTTATAAAATGAGGACCTCCTTTAACATTTCAATGACATATCAACATAGGTTTGTATCTGAAATGTAGTAAGCAAAGGAAGGTGTGAGCTGTTGCAGCACAAGAATCAACCGTACTGACACTTTTTGTGGCAGGACTGGGTATAACGCGGCCAGGTCGTCCAGGAATAAAGGACCAGCCATACACTAAGTGGAAGGGGGAAAAGGACCACTTTGACACCAGAACAGTTTGTCACCAGGTAATCTTGTCATTGGAGGCCCTTGTCATTGCACCAGATGAACTGAAGACATTGTTGCTATGATTTTGCAACAACAATCTATTCCTGCAATAGCGGCATAATCGTGGACGTCTCCAAAGGTTTCAGGGACATACAGTAATTATCGTCACGTCTTGTAATCAGGACAAAATTGCTGTCAGTTCAAACAAATTCAGTCCCATTAAAATCTTAAACTTAATTTCAACCCTCCTGAAGGCTAGGAACATATATTTCCTCTTTTTTGAAACCGTCCGTTCCTAATGATTACCTCTACATTACGAAGTGGTACGAAAAATATATTTGTCTTGTGAAGTGGTACGCCAGTGAAAAAGGTCAGGAAACACTGGTCTAATGAAGTATATTCTTTAATCGCTGTAGATTCCTCAAATTGTTAGTTTAACCCTTTTGTTAAGATTACGGTACTTAAATCTCATTGATGTCTAAAGTCTGTTCACAAACTTTTGGTTTAAGGGGAAGGTTTCCCAGGTTCCCCCACCACCTTTTTAGCTTAATGTATACATCAGCTGGTCAGATGTTGCTTGCTGTTATAGTTCAGGTGAAGTGGGGGGGGGGGGGGGAATTGATTACCCTCAAAAAAAAAAAAAATTGTGAACGGAGTAGAGTTGATATCTATAATGACAGCAATTAAAATTCCTTTAAAAAAACTTATCGTAAAAGATAACGTTTCCGAGTTACTAAAACTAGTTATAGACTGGAAAGGTTTTGGAATTATTCAAACGAGTCACTTCCTTTATTTAAAATAAATAGATTTATTACTTAGAATCGATATAAACAATTAAATTATAAACAATCATTTAGCTTTAAAATTATAGCAATAAAACATGAGCCCATGTTAACAAAATATAGCATGCTGACTAGAGTATACAAGCATTTTGGGTAAAATATACACATCAACATATTAAACAATATTAAATTTGAGCAGTAACAATAATACTTGTAATAGACATTCAAAGCTGGCCTTAAATGTTTAGCATTCAGTTGTTATTGGTTCTAACCAAATATTTAGCCAACAAAACTAAACAATATGGAACAACAATTATGTCAAACTAGTTTCATAAAGACATATAAAAACTTAACAGTCATAAATGCTTGGAAAGGGTCGAGAAGTCGATAATTTCAAAGTTGCGAATTAAATCAACCCATCCACAGCTGCTGTTTTTTTTAATTGATTTTTTTACGTCGAACCTTCAAACCTATCACAATGTCTTTTCTCTTTCTTACTTCAAAACTAAATTCAAAACTAAACTGTTATGGATAAAGTAGTTTCATATATTAAGATTTTTGTGAATCAAAGGTTTGAGGTATTATTTCAAATTAATTTTTAAATAGATTTTTGTTAAAGATATGTACAAAATCTGACTTTATTGTATCCTCACCTAACTTTTTCCTACTATGCAATAACTTATTAGAAAATTCTTGTTTGACTTCACTAAATAAAGTTTTTTTAGACTGCCTCTTAAATCACAGAACGTTTTTCTACTATTGATCCAAAAACCATGGCCAATTAGCCAACAAGCAGACCATTTAGAACTATTTAAAAGCTCATACTATAAGGATTACTAAATCAAAAGGTATATGGTTAAAACGGCAATAAATAAAATAAATACAAAGGTCTTAATGTTTAGACACGTCTAATTCCTATATTAAGGGCTGTACAGTATCAATATCGGAGGGTGTATTACTAAATCACTAAAATCAGGAGTTCAGCTACTCTGAAAATATGATGTCTCACTTATAACGTCCTAACATTCCAAACTCTTGAAAGTCTCAATTACTTGAGCTAATCCAAATGGCCTAATTTCAGTCATATTCCCATTTATTTTCCAATCTGAAAGAACTCAAATTAAATTTTAATTAAACTTTCTATTCACAATTTAAATTTAACCTAACGTGATGCATGTATTTCAGGTACACTTAAATTAAAATTCTTAAACATTACAACACGTAAATTTTGAAATTTCAAAATAGAAAACTTAATAAAACTGTTAAAACCTTTCGCTTTGGCAATATACTAACTCATTTCAAAAATTACAACTGTGACTGAATATATGATCACTTTAAAACTCTCAAACCAACCCGAAGTGTACTCAGTGACTAATGGACTAAAGGTAACGACACCTGCACAAAGGAATGTTTAGCGTAAACTGATTATCTGCGTTGCCTCATGTGTTCCGCAATCTTGGGATCTTCCCTGACAATCTGCACCATCCTCAGGACCAGAATAGCCAACACCTGAAACATACAACGTATTCTTTTAAACGTTAACATTAATTTGGTAATGATATTTTTGGTTAGAAAGAGGTTGGCAGCTTGTTTTTACCTTGCATTTGCCCATCTACATACACATGGCCACATGGTTAAGCATGAGGCACGTGGTAAACAGCGAAAGGGTGAATCGGTACAGTGCAAGACTGTACTAATAAAACTTAGTGGCAGGTATCAGGACCATAAACATCACTGTCATACAAATGCAGTTACCAATCCACGGGAGACGGACAACGGACCAGACCTTTGTTTGGGTTAATCCCCTGATTTATGGCCTGAGGGTAGTAGTCATCAGAGGAGGGGTGGGGAATCGAGAATTCTGAATCCCACCAGCGGCGTTAACTTTTTGTCAAAGATTTCGCTTAGAATGCGATTACTTCTTAACTGTACATCTTTTGTTAGAATTTATAATTTTATGATCAGAACTATTTTCGATTAGGAAACCTTTATTTGATTTTTTCATTATCAGCAAGTTTGGTTAGGTTATGATGGTTTAATTTTATAATTAAAAAATTAAAAATGGAATTTTAGGCATTTGTAATTTTATTTTATGAACAGAACTATTGTTTTTTATTAGTAAACCTTCATTCGATTTTTCATTATCATCAAGTTTGGTTAGTTCGGTTAGGTTATGATAGTTAAATTTAATTTAATTTAATTAAATTTTGACAGCGACGGTGATAGAGCTAACAATTTACCGCGAACAGTTCGGCTATGCACGGCATGAAGCGGAAGCGTTCGACATGAACCTAGAACTGACAGGCCAACCGACCGTGATTAAGATGATTACAGCCTCGGTCAAGTGCGTACACCCACCAATCCACACGTGGCACATTTATGACATGGTGATACTGGATTACTGAATGTCTAGTAATATCAATCGTTATTGCAAGACTAGTGGAAATACTGCTAATTTTAAAGAGGATAGGATATAGTACGCCAACAAGCCACGTACAACAGGTTCCGTAGTTATTAGTGTTTTTGTGCTCTATTTTTTTCCAGACCTTTAGACCAATACTGGTCTGATCGCCAGTTGCCAAAGCTCCCGGGCTTTTCCTGTACACCATTATCAATGGATTATAAGTCGGACTACTAACTGACACACTATTTCACTGAAGATGGACTTTTTAGTTTTACCCCTTTCGTCATGTGTGATAAAAATAAGGGTCCAGTCCCATTGATTTATTCTACGTCAACCCTGTTGTCGGATGAAATACACTGCTTAAGTACAGTACAGGGGTGAACTGTACTGATAAATAGTAGCGGCAGGTACCAGGATCCGAACTTCATCTCTGCCTTGGGCCCGAAGTCCGTTACACTACGCTCTTAGCCACTAACTCACCCAAACCAACATCATTCAACTAATATACAGTTAAAACTGCTTAGGAAAATCGTAATTGGCTCTTGTTGCTAAAAGAAAGAATTAAGTAAAAAATTTTAAATAAATTTGCTCAATGGTGTGCAATGCAAACGCAAACCAATACTTCTATGTGACATTTCCAGTACCAGGACAACGTACTGGTAACATTATATGAGTTACCTTATCAAGGGGATCCATAAACCCTCGTTGCATCCACTTTGGTATGGTGGTGCGAGCGTGAGAGAATCCCAGCTTCTGCAGAATGTAGTCCACTCCGTACGGCTCTATACTCTTGCCACCCCATGACAGCAATCTGTACCAATAAAATCAAATCAAATCATTTGAACCATACTTTAATGTTAGTTATAAGAACCATTGACAATGTCGATCACAAGTTTAAAAGACAGTAAAGAGATTTGCTGGAACCAGTTAGAAGACATTTGTATCAAATCAAATGTAACTGATGCTGGTTTGATTCTGAGCGGATTCTTGGCCCAGATACAACTTGTTATTGGGCAATTTTTTTATTTTTTTTTGTCCTAAGACGCTAAGCATGAGCCCGGAATTGTTTTTCACATTACTTCAGGCTAGACCTAGGGGTTTTGGCATTATCACTTAGATAAAATCCATTGGTGACTTGGCGGGATTTGAACCCGGGACCTCAGGGACTGAAATCCTACGCTCTAACCACTAGACCAGCTCACCCCCCGATTGGTTATTGGGCTATTAATGATACTATCTAACAAAAGGTTGACCAAAGTAAGTGATAAGACCAGTGTTTTGACCGTTGTTAGAGAATTAAAAATTTACTAATGGTGTAGCACACAATTTATAATAAGTAAAATATAAAAAATAGATCTTAAGACTGACAACCAGCTAATTTAACTTGTATGTCTAATAATTCTAGTTTTTCAACTGTATTCGCCTATATTCGACAATTTATCAAAGTTTGATATGAAATTGGTTATTTTGTTTATGAAACTAGAAGGAACAATACAGTCTTGGTCGTAGAAAGATGACGTGGTTAAATTAAAAAATAGTCGTTGTTCTGAATGCTTTTCAACAATCTTGTTGAGAAATAGCAAAATCTAACCACAAAGATGAATTGCTAAGCTCACCCAAAACATTAGTATTTACTATTTTTGCTAGTCCAAAGACGCAGTCTCACAAAGATCAAAATTTAATTGCATATGTTACTCAATCCTCAAATTACCTGACGGTGGGTTCCAGATGCCAGGTCTTGCAGTGGTAATCGCGCCAGTCCTTGGTGTACCCTGTGACTTCCGCGTGTTCAAAACTCTTCTGCTTCTTCTCCTCGTCGGAGGGGCCGGGTGTAGGTGTAGCACGTCCGTCTCCGGCCGCTCCTTCGCTCGTCCCTACCTCTCGGCTCTCACTGCGTCTGGACTGTCTCTCGGCCAACTCAGGACTCTGAGCACGAGCGCCAGGGTATCCCATTTGCTGTGAATATAACAGCAATTAGGTATTCTGGAAAATGGGCTTTAGGCCAGAATAGGTTTAATATTGTGTTTTTTAAGTAAAGTTGGCTTACCTGTAAAGTGACTAAGTCTTCTCAATGGGGAACATATTTATACACACATAAATAACATACTTTGTGACATAAAGATAACATAAAAACACATAATAACACATGATATGTTAAACATAAAAATAAGAAGATTTAATTGTCTGGGAAGCAAAGTGGTTATAGTGATAGCCTTCAAATCTGAAAATCACTGTTTTCATTCTAAGTAAGATCATTATTGGATCTAGACTATTTTTGCCACCGGGCTAAAAATTTATGATGCTATCTAACAAAATAACCCCGCCGCAGAAAACCTGCAGATTTCAATCTGTCTGATTGGATTTCTACTAAAATATTTTCATAAACAATACATTATTCATTCCCCATTTAAATAACATTCAATTCAATTAACACTTGGGTTTGCTGCTACGGAGAATAGCATAGAATTTTTTTTACAAATGTTAATAGTATACAATTAAATAAATATTTATGTAAAATGTTATCGAAATATTTCCATAACAAGCAAACTACAAAAGTTTTCTTTTTCTCCAGAAGAACAACTTGGGAATTTTAAATGTACAGTGTTTTGGAGTTTTCTCCGTTACCTTTATGTACAACAACACTTCAATATACAAACTTATTTTTTTTTAAGCTCTACAAGATGGTTGCAATGCAAATTGAGGATTCCCACGTTTAAAGGGTAAAAATTTGGAAAAACGATTTTTTTAAATTTCAAAACTCCATACCTTGTTTCCATGACCAGATCATGCCCCACCTGAAATGTCAATATTTCTATTAAAAGTACTCTTAACATTCTAACACTAACCACTCTATCTTTTTCTCTGATGTAGGAAGTTATGAGATCATGTAGGAAGAAGAATGCTTCGGCATCGACAGTTACAAAAATGTGGTCTTCAAACTCTGTCACAAAACTGCATTCCACCATTGGTTTATCGTCTGCAACAAACATTATAAACATTTCAACGCTTGCATTAATCAATGGTAAGGTTAATAAACGCAATGACTCAAAATACTCCCCCCCCCTCTCTACAAACCTGATAAATAAAGTAAATTCCCAATTGCCAGATTTAAGGACAAACAAAATACTTAAAGTCACCAATAAATTTCAATCAAATCATGTTACCTATTTTAGTAAAATATGTTCTGCACTACACAGAATTTTCAACGTTGCTTAAGAAACCTATAATTGATTTACATTGATAAAACTACATTAGGTGGACTCCGACCCACCACTTGGCATTAACACATTACTAAAATACATCGGCGATTGGCAGGATTTGAACCCCAGACCTTCAAACCAAAGGTACCAGGCTCTAATCAGACCAGCCGTGAATTAAAACAATTAAACATATAATTGTCTGCACACTAAGAGTGTAGTTCTACTTGACTAACTCTCGTTAACATGCCTTGGTTGAATTGATTATTTGACACATCCTCCTTGTAACAATTAAATAAGGTATGAAATTAAATAGATTTTTTCCGGCTGGACTTTTTAATCAATACATTTTAACAAACTAAACATAAGTAGTAAATAAACTAAACATTCATAGCTTTCCAACAAATCTAAAGTAACCTATTTGTGGAAGAAATTAACAGTTGAAGACATCAACATTTTGTATTAAGTCAAGCATAACCACTTTCACTCTTACAACATAAGCAAAAAAATATTTAAACATAAAAAATATTTCCATCATACCGAATAACAATAATTATTACTTTCCAGTAAGCCTAGCAGGTATTAAATTTAGACCTTGTCCAGTAATTTATTCAATTACTACATGTAGAGATTACATCAACATAAATTATATCAATTAAATGCACACAAACAATAACGTTGATTGAGTGAAGCGATAAAAAAAGTCAGGCACCGGCGAGATTCGAACTCACGATCTCCTGTTTACTAGACAGGCGCTTTAACCAACTAAGCCACGGCGCCGACATCCAGTGACTAGTGCCAAACAGTATCTGGCAGCTGTTGTGCTTCTTATCTTATCAATACAGATTTAACCACATTCAGTAGTCTAATGGGTTTAAACATTTGAGAGCTTTTGAAAAATGAAATGTATGTTTGCTAGTGTAACAAAAAGTATATAATGTGGAACAGTATAATCAAATAATAATTATAATTCAACATTATATGTCTACTAAATATATACAACTGTGACAGGTTTATTTTTTGTTTGATTTTTTTATCTGTTTACTACTCTGGTTATAACATTAAAAAAATGACATAAAGGATAATTTTGTATGCTGCTAAATTATTACACACATTGATTATTATGATTTTTATATTAAATTAATAATGGTTTAATTTATTTAAGAAGTTAGTTAGCGAAATAAAATTAGTATTTTCTGATAATATAATAACTGAAGTCAAATTTCTATCAAACTAAACTGTGTATAATTTGTGAAATTTGTATTTCACATCAGCAAAGTATTGAAACAATTTTTAATTAAATGAAAAAAAAAACCGTTTGGAGCAATTTATTTCTTAATTTCACAGAATATAATCAAACCAAGAAATATAAACTTTGTACAGTATTGACATTTTAGAAGGCAACAAGCACTTGGCATTTTTCCAATTCTCTCTTCCAGTATATTTACTTTACTTCTATTAATTTATTTTCACAAAAACTTTTCAAAAATTAAACTTTGAGCTTTTTTTTCCTTTTGAAAAAGAAGAGACAAAGGAATTAATCTGCTTAGAAATATGCACAGTTTCTATGCAGCTGAATATTTTCCCCCTGAGGATAATAAAACAACAAGCCCCTCAAAAGAGCAGTTTCTGCAGTACGACAGAAAGACTACCCTATTGATACACATTGTGTGTGCAAAACAACCCTATTCATACTAAAAGGGGTCTCCAGGCAAGACTTTTATAAGTTGCGTGAAAAATCTTCCACAATCACTCCAAAATCGTAAACATCTTCCTTGGACACAATAAAATCATATTTGTCTTTCTTGGTCACAACATCATTATCATTGTCTCCTAAAATCACGGCAATTGATCACGCACGATCTTGAAGAAATTGTCAATTTTGAACTGTGCATCTTCGCAGACCCTTTCTGCGATCGCGAAAATTAAAGCTCGCCCTGGCTCGACCCAAACCTGAGCTTGGCAAAAATTATTCCCAGTCCAAACCCACTCCTCAGATCAACTGTTGGCCCAACACGATCCAAAAATATCAATCCTGTAGACCCTAATGTCTTAATGACGATATGGCATTTCTCACCAGATGGCTCTGGCGTGAGAGCCGCCTGCCAATGCTCTGTCTTGAGGTGCAGCTGCAGTGAAGGAAGTGCAAAGATGACCTCCCTGGTGTGGTTGTTGTCCTGCTTGGGTGTTCTAGAGCGGACTGTACCTCCCTCGCTCTCGGCTCTCTCACGCTCTACACTGGGGAACCTGTCTATCTCTGTAACACAATATAAAGATAAACATAAAGCTATCAACATAAACATAAAGGGTATCAATTAGATTACGAACACTACCTCCTATTAGCTTGACATTAAAATTTAACATCCTATCAATCATTCAATCAGTCTATCATCAATCTATAGACTAAACAGAAACGGATACATGCATACAACTTTTATGAGAAAAATAATTAAAACAATTACAATAAGTTACTAAAATGGGAAACTTGTGGAGTTTTACAGAGAAAATAAAACATAAATATTAAATAGCTGTTGAATTGTATTCTTACAGCTTTTTCAAAGTGAAAAATAACTGTAACAAAATAATCAAACATTCAATCAAAGTTGTAAGAGCCTTTACCTTTTTGGACACTCATTTGAAAAAATGAATAATATTTAGAGCTGTTTGCCCCTTTTTGAATAATTTAAACTTAAATTTCTTAAATCACTATCTGTGTTTGCTTAACCTTGTGTTTAAGTAAGAAATCATATGTCTTTCTTTCTTTTACGTAAAAAAAAAATAACTGACATCAATGTACAATTGACTATTCTACACTTTAAGCTACAGTTTTGGTGAGTCAGTGACTACGGATTCATAGCAGGGATGCTGTCGGTTCACGTCCAGCACATGCCACTAAATTTAATTTAAACCGTATCCTACAACCTCCCTTGCTTTGCCAGCTACGTTACACAGTATTGCTTGGTACCTATAACGTACATATGCAAGGTTAAAAAAGGCCACCAACCTCTGACAAAAAATCAACACCCTCGTAGTCATAATTTTTTAGAATGTCAATTACAGGGAAAAAAACGTCTGCACATGTTTAAAGCAGCTGTGAGGCAACCTTAGAAGGCAATTACCGTCAATCTCGCTGCAGGAGAACGCGTAATGGAACCACTCCTGCAGTGTGCGGAACTGCGGTGGAAACAGCATGTTGCGGGACACTTTACACACTGTAGCCATACTGTGGTGTTCTGGAGCATGAGGCTGTTCTCCGGTCAGACCTAGGCTGAACGTCAGCGTCTGTACAATGTGTACGTCTAGTGCCTCGGTTTCTGCAACAAACAGTACATTTAATACATCAAGTATGTCAGAGTACTAGTTTGATTTGTAGAATAAAGAGGATAGCAGCTAGCTTACCTAGAAGTACAGGTAGGCCAGAGAACATACAGTATAAACTGAGCACAAAATAATCAACAACAAAATATTGTGTGTTCAGTGTCTCTTTTCTATCTTCTATGGCCTAACTGTACTTCTTCAAGGTAAGCTAGCTGCTATTATCTTTATTCTACAATTCAAAATCCTGACCTAGAGCCTTTTCTTGCACAAAACTGAGTATTAGTTTGGCACTCTAGTAAAATATTTTCAAGAATAGTAACTCTACAGACTCAGTATAATGTGGATCAGAAGGGTTTGGAGTTTGAGAAACGCTGGGTTATCGAGGAAAAGGGTTAAAAGATAAAAATGAGACCACATAAAGTTCATTTTCCTTTTATCTATAATTGGAAAATACTACAATAACTATTGTCCTCTGGTTGTCAAATATGCAAGACCCACATCCCAGTCGATGTGGGTAGCTTAGTGGTTAAAGTGTTCGCCTAACAATCAAAAGGTCATTGGTTCGATCCTGACTAAAGTCAGTAGCTTTTTGATGGTTCGAAACTGGACCCAGCTACAGCTGATCTTAGTAACAAAGCTACACAGATCATCTCATGCCATTCTACACCCATCCTTCACCCATATTTGGGTTAAAATACGCACCTAGGTGGCGTCCCCACCTTAATTAATTGATAACTGATAATCTTACTAATATTATAAATGTGAAAGTTTGTGTGATTATGCATTAACTACTGGACGGATTGGGCTATTGATAGCTGATAATAATAATATATCCGCAAGTAGTTCAAATGGCAAACGAAATGTACATGTAACAATAAGGCTACTAAATAAAGCTAATAAAGCTACGAGGCTTGTATTGTAGTTTGCCACCTGGGTCATTCACAGGGGTATAAATAAATAACAATGGTGTAAGGTTCTCTGGAACTTAAGTTAATATTTTTTCTAAATTTTCAGCAAAAAATATGGTTTGACAGATTATCAGATGTCAAGTGTGCGGGACTTAACTGTATAATTATCTTTGGATACTTCAGATTACAGCAGACAGCCCATCTTTATGGACTGACCATAAACAAAGTTGTTTTACTTATGAGCAACAAGTTTAATTTAGCAATTTACAAACTGGATACATCAGATCTTTATTTATTTTAACGAATTTCCCATGATAGAGAATAAACTAATACCGTAGGTCTCATGGTAAGATGTGACCGTTTTACTTTGAATTTTGATGCCCCCAGAGGCAAAAAAACAATATTCCTTAACATTTTTTTATGCATCTTCAATATAAATATTTCTGTGAACATATTAAGAGTAATTTCGGTTTGAATTAGATGAAATTTGGCAAGAATGTGAAGAGCTGGATACACTTGATTGAGTTTCCAAACCAGCAAGATTGAGTCATGGGAACAAGGTGTAATAGGGTTTTTAAATGTTTCAAAAATTGTTTTTTTTACATTTTGTGCCCAATTTTTATTACAGCTATTGTGTAGAGCTTAAAAAACAGACAATTTTGTATATTGAAACATTTTGTACGATTAAAGGTTATGAAGAAAACTGTAAAATACCCCCACCGCAGCAAACCTGCAGACTAAGCGAATTTCCATTTGACTGATCATTTCAATCTATTTATTCTATTTAAATAACATTAGGTTTAAGTATCTAGGTTTGCTGCTACATGGAGGGTAATAAAGTTTTTTTAGTAAAATATTAATAGCTTAGTATAAAATAAATAAATTTTCCAAGTTTAATCAAAATATATCCATAAACAAGCAATCTACTAGTATGCGGGAAAATTTTCTTTTGTTTTCACTGCTTTTACACGTTTTTTTTTTAAGATATTTCAAAAGGCTTGAAGGAGATACAATTTGGAATAAGTTTGCCCTCTCAGTCAAGCATGGTTAATAAACAGTATATTCAGCTAGTGGTTGGTTGGTTTGATTTAAACTCGATATTTTATAACCAACAGACTACATGTTTATCAAAGCAATGAGATGAATTCTTCAAGGTAGAATACTATCTAAATTTTATTGATACTGTTAGAGCCAGACTTAATTTAATTTAATTTCTGAAATCCCAGAGACATTTTAATTTATCCTTTTTCATTCCTGTTGCAACATCACCAACCATAACCACCCTCATTCAGGGTTCATTTAAACATTTAAATTTCCCGCCTATCCCTACTACAAGAAGAAGAAGTAGTGAAGGAAAAATCAGCAGCAAGATGGCCATCTACAGAGAAGTCAACCCAAACATGTGAGGTATCTTAATTTTACTCATTTTCCTATTTTTCCACCTTACAATTTCTATTTCCTAGTTTACATCCACTGCTTTCAGATACTAGCTTGCATTTCTTTATATTCATCACACTACTCCTCAATTACACCCATCAACTTATTCATCAACAAACATTCACAACTGCCTTTCACATAAAACCTAACTCTGAAGCGACCTCAATTTCTATCAATGAAATTTAGATAGAGCATACAACTATGTTACAACAATTTCCGCCACTGAGAAGCCGATGTGGCAAACATCAGCTGTTTACAGACATTGTTGTGCGATTGCTGACCCAGTTTAGACCGGGTCAGCTGCTGAGTAACTGAGACCTACACTCAGCACTGTGACCAGCTGTTTGATTAGAAGTTCAGCAATACTCAAGGTCAGAATTTGTAGTTACTTTTAGCAAAGAGAAAACAAATTGAATTCACTATTGATTGTTTAGCATTCATTTGGTAGTTTTGTTAAGAAAATGAAAAAAAAATTGGCCAATATTTACTTACAAAAAAGATAACATTGATTTAAAAGAGGTTAATAAGAGTGATTTTTAAAATTGGTATTACAACTCATTGAAAATTACAATTATAAAAGTAAATTTATATCTGTAATGAAAGTAATATTTAATGGTAAATCTTTAGTACTGCAGTTCGGGATGAATTATTAAACTACAAAATTTGTATTTACTTATTTTAAAAGGGGAGTGTTCTCAAATGAAAAAAATATACTTTTAAAAAGCAACAAAGATGCATTTCATTACAAAACTTTACACTTTTTGACGTGCCAACTGTTTAAAAGCAATATCAGTTTTTATTTTTTATACTTTCACAATGTCTTTTATAAACTATGAATATTGTTAAAAATAAAAAGAGATGAAAATGAAATATTTTAATATTTTTTTAATTTTTGACTATGAGTAACATTGGTTTTCAAAAATAAAACGTAAAGTAGAATTGTTGGCCTAACCTGAATTGTAAGAGAAAAATTCTAAAATACACACAATTAAAAAGCTCCCAACCATCTTACCAAAAAGCTTTTCTTTCATATCTACCTAGGTATATACTTTTTTTATGTCCCCCTCCTAGGATGCTTGGCTCTAACCGTTTTCCACATCACTTCAGCTAAGCTAGGCCTAGAGGGTTACGGCATCATTACTTAGAAAAAAATTCCATTACTGATTGGAAGAATTTGAATCCGGGACTTGGCGGACTGTCTCTCACTCTACCACTAGACTAACTCACTCTCTATTTTACCAAGTTTACATTCTTATAGAAGACATAAATACAAATACTTATTAAATACTTATTTTAGCCTCTAGTATTTCTTTAACTTTAGCTGATGTCTTACTCTCATTGGTGTGGACTTCCTGGGCCTCAGTAGCGAATGAGATGCACGGCTCTTTGAGTGAAAACAACGCCCAGGACTTAGACCTAAAGTTTATTCCGTGGAAGCACGCCAGAGAGATGTTGTGTCCGTGCAGCTCCATGGTGCCACCCAGCACGGTGCCGGACGGAGGCAGCGGCTGCCGCACGGTAGACAGGTGTAGACCAGCCACTTGCGCCAACACACGCTGCCAGTGCCGGTGATGTCGAGCGTCCTGCGGAGCCCACGCACTGCCTGCGCCGCTCATACTCTCTGGAGAACATATGGGGTTGGTAAATCTTAGTGAAGGATTGTAATTGCACTTGAAAATTCTACATTTTTAATGTTTAATAGAAACAAAAACATCAGGTTGTTGGATTTTAGAAATTTACTGAAATAGGCTTTACCTTCGTCACTGCAGCTCAAATTCTTGTGGTGTAACTACGTTACGGCCGTTTCGGCATTACAATGCCATCGTCAGACTACAAAAACAAAAACTCGGCTGAAGTAGCGTCGTTGAAGTTTAAACACGTAACACATACGAACAATACAAAACATTTAAAATATTTACAAAAACCGATCAGGCCTGTCGTACTAACGGGTGACATGTTCCCATTCCGAGCAAAAACCGACTGGAAGATTTCTATGTCGAGCCCGGTGTGGTGGCGTTATCAGTTGAACTTTGTACTCCTGGCTTCTTGTTCCTTTTCTGATTTAAAATGCTATTGAATATGAAGAGTGACTTGTACTGTAGTTTGTTGTTTAAAATTATATCGTCCAAATTATTAATTATTAATTATAATTAATTTATAAATTAATTAAATTAATAAATAAATTGCCGTAACGTAGTTACACCACAAGAATTTGAGCTGCAGTGACGAAGGTAAAGACTAAAGCCTATTTTAGTTATTATACAGCTCAGGGGCTAAAACATGGATTTTAATTTAGAAATTTACCTTATACAGGATAAATGGGGGTTAGTCTTAATGGGTGTGGTTATTTTCATAGAGCTCTAGTTAACAAGATAATTTCCTTCAATCAAAAGTGATAACATGAACTGTTTTTCTATAGTAGTCTACCTCCAAAAGTTCTACTGATAATGGTAATTCTATTACTTTTTCAGTAAATTCAAAAGAAACTCTTAACTATCCTGTGCTCATAGCCCTTTGAAATCGCAGGTAAAACTATAAGTCACACATATATTACAGCATTGCAAAACTAAACACAATAGCTCAACGATAGCGTGTTCAGCTGATAAAACAGACTTAATTCAAGAACACCTCATGTGTTTACCATTACTTTGACTAACACTACATAGATACTTCACTACCTTTAAATACCTACAGACATCAGATGATCTACAGTAACAAGCATTGAGGTTAAACTAATTTACACTTGTTTCAGCCACATACCTGGCAGTCTTTCACCGTTCTTCTTGCTCCTCGAATGCAGCCGTTTGCGGAAGCTGCCGTTGTTGCCGGACGCTGAGCTGCCGAGCGCGGAGAACACTCGTTTGCTGCTCTTGAACTGTTGTGAGAAGAACTCGTCTAGTTTGTAGTACATCTTGAGCAGGTCCACAGTCGTGGATTTGGAGATCATCAGTTGCAGCTGGTCCCAACCCATGTCTCCGTGCATGAAGATCATTGCTGGCCTGCCGAAGGTACGTAGGTTAATAATACACTTACAGGAGTTCTTCCAGATAACATAAAAAACTTAACCTTGGTACCGTGATACACTTAAATGACCTTTCACTTTATTACCAAACCAAATGCAGGTTCTATGACATTTCTAGATAACTGAGTCGTAAAAATTAACTTAGCCAGTCTAAAACACAGAGCTAATTCACTACTGACCCAAAGAGCTACTCAGATTTGATCTAAACTATTTAAATACCTGTCTATAAAATCTAATTGATTCTAATATTACTTAGCTTAGTTATCTGTCACAAATCTGCTTAAATCTTGTCACAATAATTCTATATTTTACACTTTTTAAGAACTTTAACAGCATAATAGCAACTTAATTTGATTTCATTTATGGAAAATAGTTTGTGGTCACAGCAAAATCGTAAACATCTTTCATCGCGGCCAAATCATTAATACCTTCACCGGTCACTGCAAAATTGTGAACATCTTCCCTGATCATGACTAAATTGTAAACATCTGCTGCCACAAGACAAGATACATCATTGTCACCCCCTGTGTTCGCAGCGCCGTCATGAACATTTTCCGCGATCACGGAGACATCACCATCGTCTCTTGTCTAACTCTAATGTGATCATTTATCGTGATCATGAAAACATAATCATCATCTTCTGCAATCACGGCACCACCATAAACACCTCCCACTATCACAGAGTAATCATTAAATCTAATACCTGTCTGAAGATTGGAAAAATACTTTTCCAACAAATTTCCAAAACTCCCGTTCATCCCTAACTCTAATGATTGATTCCAGTAATTCCACACACCTGCGGGTTGGATTGAAGGCATCGATGCTGGACTTGCGACTCGTCATCTTCCACTCGTCCCGTAGTGACACTACCAGTGAACTGACTCTACACATCAACACTCCAGTTCCCATGTAGTCCAGCCGCAGCTCCAGAGCGAACAGGTTCAGACCTACAGTGTGGTCAGGCTCTGTGCCTGGGTCCTCCTTGATCAGAACTGTAACCGAGGTGAAATGCATGAAACGACCATTACCTCATAATGTCACATACAGAAGACTCCCTCTTATCCGGATACCTTTTAACCAGACATCGGTTTAACCGGACTACACTCGGCAGAAATTACATCTCTTTAACCAAACAATTTTTATCAGCACATTGGTTTAACAGGACTAGATCGGCAGACAGTGGGCAGTACTGAAACGACTGTTCTTGTGGGAAACATTTGAGATCAGTGATCACGTGTCTAAATACAATGCTCTCAAATTTAAGTTGAATATCACAGTAAACAGTCCTTTTTAACGAGTTTTTAGGGACGTCAGATTAACCGGAAAACCCGTTATCCAGACTGGCCTTGGTCCAGAGGAGTCCGGATAAGAGGGCATCTACTGTAGTTTAAAATGTTAACTACAAAAAGTAGGGATGGTCAAGTCTCGAAATTTCGGGAAATTTTCGGGAAATTTTTAATCTCGTTACACGAGACGAGATTTCTTTTTGGCCGAGATTTTTATCGAGACGAGAATTAAAAAAAAAAAAAAAAAAAAAAAAAAAAAAAAAATATTAAAAACGCCTGCAGAAAGTCAATGCAATACCCGCAATACAGGAGCGTGTTAAAGTTGCGTTTCCTTTGCGAAGGCTTTCTTATTTAATCAATTCTTCAAATGTAAATATTACTTTAATTATTTTAATAACATATGTTTCCTAATCGTAGGCATTTTCAATAATTTAGGCGTGATTAATAAAAAAATGTTATGCTGATGTTTTTTAATAAAAGATTGTAAATATTCTTGCCTATTATCATTATTTTTGTATTTAAACAGTCATCTAACAATGTTACAAAATCAGGTAACAATTCCGAACGTGCATTTCTCGTTGTGTATGAGAAGGGAAATCCCGTCTCGATCTCGTCTCGAAATTTTATGAGAAATAAAAAATCTTGTCTCGTCTCATCTCGAAACTAAAAATCCAATCTCGTCCATCCCTAACAAAAAGTTACAGTAGATTAATGGAATATCACATGTTCCGAGAGAACTCGTATCACAGAGAGGGACTTTTCAACTAACAGCTTTAAGGATTGAAGCTGACATCCTATTCATTAGGATAAAGCTTTGTCCAGTTTTAATGTAAAAATGAACATAGTCAAAGATACAATTTTTTATTGGATTATAAGGAGAATAGCAGTTAGGCTCCCTTGGAGAAGTAAAGGTAGGTTATAAAACACAGAAGAGACACTAAACACTCGATATTTTGTTCATTTACAAAAATAACTTTTAGTAAACCCTTTTCCCTCCTGCTACAATTGACAATGTCCCACAGGGGTGGAAATATTGTGAGTTCAGTGACTCTTCTGTATGTTCTATGGACTCCCTGTACTTTTTCAAGATAAGCTAGCTGCAATCCTTCATATTATACAATTCAAAATTCTGGCCTAGAGCTTTTCCTTGAGAAAAATCAGTCAAAGATACGACTGAGGTCTAACAACCAAGTATTAAATTGCAATAAACTGATTTAAACCTTTAGGTGCCAGAAATTTATTTTGGTACTTTCCGAAAAGTGCCAGAGTTTTTTACTAGGTTTGTCCGAAAAGTGCCAGGCTTTCCATAGGGACGAAGCTTAGTGCGCAAGAATACAAATAAGTAAAAGTATAAATTTTCATCCCAAAAGTGCCAAAGAAGCGATATATCGTGCCTCGATCGTTTGAGAAATCGATTGAAATTATCGTTGTTTTGAAATAACAACCGAGTTAACCGATATGCCCATTAAAACTCACATGATAGAAAGTAGCGCCGGCCCGATATATTGTTGCAATGTATTTTTCGGTAAGACTACCGAGGATGATATATCGTTGTGAAGTATTTTTTAGATGTGTTGTGCAAAACGATATATCTTTGCATGGCACTCAAAGGGTTAAGGGTTTGTCCAATCTTTTCACCAACCATTTTTGAACTCTTAAATACCTTCGGTAGAAACTTAAAAGTGAAAATCACTGAGTAACCATACCATAATTATTCAAAGAGCAGACTACACATTTAATTTAATTTAAATCTTATTATAAAAAATCACTGCCATTACTATGTCTGTTAACACTCACTGAATGTATCTATTTTGCTGAGCTCGATGGTGCCACCCACAATGCCACCCTTGGCCTCCAGACTTGAGCCCCCCAGACCCAGACCAATGAACATGTTCTTATGTCCTGTGCTACCGATGGACAGCCGCCCTTCTGACCTGAAGTTCTTAGTCAGCCACCTACATGTAAAAAAGGTAAAAGGTAATAATCAATGTCAATGTTACAAATTATAAGCTGACAGAATTTACTCAATTGTTAAACAAAAAACCAAGTTTCAAATTTCATAAGAATACAGTACACTTCAAGATTACAAGACACTGAACAGTTATATTCATGTTAGACCACATCAAAAACAACATATATAAAAATATCGAATCAAATCTATAGTAACCTAACAAGCACTAAACTAGAATTGTTAACAAGTCACATGTCACAGTGAATAAAAATATAACAATTAATAAATGTATAACAATGAATACAAAATATATATCATTTTGAGAATGCAATGTTTAAATCAGCAACAGCAACTTAATCTATGCAATAAAAAGGTGTAATTACTAAAAACCTATGCACCACAGCTTCTAAGCTTACTAAAAGATATATAACAATCACTTAATGGTAACTTGTTAATACGTAATAGTAGTTTACACAACGATCATGTAAAGATAGTCATTACGACACAGAAATTTAAACCACAAGCTTTGGCAAGTGCCTTAAAAACTTCTACGAGTATCGTTAAGGCTAATTATGCAAGTTGCTATTTAACCTACGCCCGTTTTTAATAACATTTGTACAACTTCATTGCCTATATTCTTTCTACTACTTCTCTGGTTGGTTAGCAAATCGTTCAGTTAAGCAAAAGAAGGTATGAGTTTTTAACGGAAGTCAATAGATCAAAAATTATAAATTTAATTAGCCATTACCAGCTGATGAGTTGGCATTCGAAGCGGTACGATTTTACTACTTTTCTCTAAATCCTTGAACTCTATTGGTCCATAACTTTACTACACTAGTGATGTAAAGTGTAAAGTAATGCGGTAAAGTGAACCATTTCTATTTAAAAAATTGAATTCAAAAGGCTAGTTTGGAAAACGGTCGTGGGTAAATATGTTTACACTGGCACTGTCTAACCCATATGTTAGGTTTAGCCTACTAAAACTCTATTAGCTGCACTAGTTTCTTATATTAATTGTCTAAGTTATGCTAGCTGAACTCAATCACTTTTTAAAAAATTCTGTAATAAATTTGAGTTTAGACAATATGAATTTCAGATGACTACTTTACCGACATACTTTACTGCCTGACATTGCTACGACACTCACATGACATTCCCCATGACGTTGCCCATGTTCATGTGCACGTTGAGCCTCTTGAAGTTGACTGCAAACAGCACCAAAGTTTCCCAGGTGGAAGTGCTGGTCTTAGTCTCTGTAGGGCTCGGACTGCCTGAACTGGACCCTCTCTTGTTGTGATCTGAACGTGGTACATCATTAGGAACAGATTTTCAAATATACAGGGTGTCCACAAGAGATAAGTACAATGTTATACCTAAGCTAAGAGTAGTAGCAGAAGTGACAGTATGGATACCTAAATGCCTTTTATGACGTTGTACTAATTTTTTCTTAGTCACCCTGTATTAATAAATTGTATTAAAAAAGTAAAATTACTCTCATTTAGACGTTTAAAAAATGTTTAATAATGTTTTTAGTCCATAACCATTTCACACATTATTTCAGAATAAGCCAAGACGATTGCGGCATTATCAATTAGATAAACTCCTATGGTGATTGGCAGGATTTGAACCCAGGACCTCAGGAACCAAAGTCCCGCACTCTACTACTGGACTAGCTCGCTCCCCTTGGTCTGGCTAGAATAGTAGTGAGAGTAAGTAAAGCACACAAGGCTGGAGTGAAATTTTAACTAGCTTACTTGGCTGCAACTCAAGCTAGATTGAGATCTTGCTTTCCAGATAACCATCGTATTTGATTTTACTGCCTAATCAAAATCAAAAAGCACTTTGAATACAACCAGACTGGTAAAACATTTTAAGCAATCCCATATAATGTCAACTAAATACCATACTTAAATTCTGAATCACCAGAATTAATGGTCTATTGTCTGTGGTTTTAACCACAAAGCTAAAAACATCAGGCGTGAAAGCCGGAAATTCAGTTTTATTATGTGTATGGTCTAAAACTTCTGTTTTTGTGGTTTAAGTCCCCATACCCCTTTAACCATATGCGTGGGTAGGCCACATAATGATTTTTCCAACCATATACAGTGCTCAGGAAGACTCAGCTGACATCAGCATCTAAGCTAAAATGAATTGGAATGAACTAAGCAATTGTTTCTGAACGCGGAAAATTTTAAATAATCATCTCCAGATGGTATTCTCTCTTGGTGTTCGTTTTACTGAACTGTTTTTAAATATGAAATATTTTATATATGACAAACTCAATAGTACTGGTGAATAATTTTTCCTGATTTTGAAAATTCATGGTCCAATGGAGAAATTCATGCATAATCCATGCCTTTTTTCATGGTCACAAGAATTCATGCATAATTCAAGCTTTTCAAGGTTTTCATGGCTGGTGGCAACCCTGCAGGTAATAAATAAAGTAACTAAACATTTACCAGATCTAAGGCGAGCATGTCTTGCCAGGTCTGACTCCAGGTTGAGTCGTAGTTTTTCTCTGTTTGGACCAAGCATGGGGCTGCTCTCACTGATCTCACTGGAACAACAGCAATGTAATTACGTTCTCCCCACAATACACAGTAAGCAGCTTCTTTTTGTACTCTTTTTAGACTAGAAAGTCGTTAACAGAAAGGGACCAGCAAAGTCAACAGGACAGCGGTAGAGTCACCTAGAGTTTGGTCAAGTCAGCTACAGTAAGGTTAAGTCACCTGGAGTGCGGTACTATCAGCTAGGGTAAAGTAAAGTCAGCTGGAGTACTGTTAAGTCACCTGGGTTACAATAAAGTCAGTTGGGGTATGGTAAAGTCACCTGGGGTACAGTAAAGTCAGCTGGGGTACAGTTAAGTCAGCTGGAGTACGGTAAAGTCACCTGGGGTACAGTAAAGTCTGCTGGGGTACAGTGAAGTCACCTGGGGTACAGTGAAGTCAGCTGGAGTACGGTAAAGTGACCTGGGGTACAGTCAGCTGGAGTACAGTAAAGTCACCTGGGGTACAGTAAAGTCTGCTGGGGTACAGTGAAGTCACCTGGGGTACAGTGAAGTCAGCTGGAGTACGGTAAAGTCACCTGGGGTACAGTAAAGTCTGCTGGGGTACAGTGAAGTCACCTGGGGTACAGTGAAGTCAGCTGGAGTACGGTAAAGTCACCTGGGGTACAGTAAAGTCACCTGGGGTACGGTGAAGTCACCTGAGTACAGTAAAGTCAGCTGGGGTACGGTGAAGTCACCTGAGTACAGTAAAGTCACCTGGGGTACCGTGAAGTCACCTGAGTACGGTAAAGTCACCTGGGGTATGGCAAAGTCACCTGGGGTACGGTAAAGTCACCTGGGGTACAGTAAAGTTGTTGTTTCGTGATGTTTCAGTCCGTCACCTGGGGTACGGTAAAGTCACCTGGGGTATGGTAAAGTCACCTGGGGTACGGTAAAGTCACCTGGGGTATGGTAAAGTCACCTGGGGTACGGTAAAGTCACCTGGGGTACGGTGAAGTCACCTGAGTACGGTAAAGTCAGCTGGGATATGGTAAACTTACAAATTAGTTTTGCAATAGTCTGAAACAATGCTATGCTGTCGACGAAGCTATCGTCCACCGCAACAATGCTAATTTTGAATCATGGTAAATCACTTTGATAAAATCAAATCAAAAGATCGTTATTCATTTGTAAATACATTTTTACATGAATAGTGTCAAACAATGAACACGAATAATTACATGAACAAGTAGTCTAGGATCCACATGATTGGTAGGACATTATTATCACACTACTCCAGGTTGCGGTTTTCTGAATTTTAAGATCTATTATCTGTGATTGACGAGTGCTATCGTTTAGAGTGTTGTGATAGTTTATTAATTCATCTATTTAAGATGCATTATTAAGATAGAGAATATTGTGAAATTCTACATGAAATAATTGTTTAGTCTAAAGAAATCAGCTCAAATCTGTTGTCCTGTTTGATAAATAAATTACCCCTGTAGCAGCAAACCAGCAGACTAAGCAAATTTCCATTTGCCTGATTGGATTTTTACTAAAATTTCCTTAATAAAGTCAGATTTATTCCCTATTCAAATAGCATTAGGTTAAGCAAGCTATTAGGTTTGCTAATACAAGGAAGGTAATACGTGCGTTTTATTTTAAGTATAATTGTAATTGCTTGGTATGAAATAAAAAAGTGAATCAACGAAGAAAATATATCCATAAACAAGCAATAAACAACATTTTAATAACCCTGCCCACAATATATATGGTACTGACATTGTATAACTAACCATCCTTTTACCGAAAAATTTTGGATACGTAACTTGTCTTGAAAACCATATTTAATTTAAATTAGTAGATAAATCTTACTCACTCAGACAATATTCAAACCTACAATGTACTAAAATATGTATTGGTACTCCACTATAATACATCAATATTACTGTACTATTTTAGTCAAATATTTTTTTCTATAATGTAAACAATGACAAAAACACCAGTCCTAATGTATGTATGTGCATTAAAAAAGAACGTTTTGAGTATATAAAATGTCTGAAATGTAACTCACACATCAATATCTTGATCAGGAGAGCTGTCCTCTTCGCTGTATACAGCCGTGGTGGTGAAGTCTCCAAGGAACAGTCGTCGCACGATACTGCGTCTGTACCAAGCCTTGGGGAACGCCAGGATCTCTGTCAGCCTGCGCATGTCGTACTTGAAGGAGGCCGAGCCGATGTCTATGATGGCTGTAAACATTCACGTTGATCTTTTAGTTGCAAGAGGTATGACAATTTAAAATTTTACTGTAGTACTTGGATTTTTTTTTACTGTATACAAATTGGAAAGATTATTTGGTTGTAAATAAAACAGATATTTTATTAGTTTCAAGCTGAACTCACTTGAGAACCTGATGATGGCCTGGCTTTGGTCTGGTCCGGGAGACTTGGAGCTCTTGTTGTCAATGTTCAGCTTGCGACTACGAGACAAATGGAACTTGACGAACTCTACGTTGACACTGAGCGAGTCTTTCCGCTCACTGTCGGCCAGGGGAGACCATTGCGCCTCTTTTAGACCTGTAAACAAAAACAATAGTATATTATTGAAAAATGTACGCTTTGTAAAAAATGAACGCCTAGCTTACAAGGGTCGTTTTTAAGCAAGGGCCGTTTTTGCGTATGGCTCCATAGATCGAGTATACGCTGCAATGAGGAGGCTCGCCGCTTACTGTCTTTATCAGTGAAAAGAATGACACCATTTTAGCTTTGTAGCTGACATTTTCACTTTGCTGTGTGTTTTAAAATTATTGAATCCCCCCGCATGAGAGATAATATCAGCGATACGTTTTTTGACCACAAGAAACATATCTGATGTTAACATTCATCGCCAGATTACTGAGGGTTATGCCCCTAATGTAATTATATAAGTGATTATTAAGGTAAGTGCAGATATAGGCTTGGGAGTTAAAAATGTCCATTTGGGTGACACCCCCGTGAAGTGTCCATCTTGAACAGGTGGTAACTGCAATATAACCCAACAAATATAAGCCTATAATAAGACTACAAAACACTTCATCTTGGTTGTCAGGTTTAGCTTGACGTAAGCATTTGTCCATCGTTCATTGCTAGTAGCTTTACTGTTCACACATAGATACTTTTTTATCAAAAACTATGACACATAAATTTCCAAACAAAATTTGAAGATTTAGTTTTCCCTCTGTAGTTCATTAAAATTTCACTAGTGGCTTGTAGGGACATAAGTCCCTAAAAAGCGCAATAATGTAAAACAAATTAGTCTAATATCTAAACAAACTCAGAAATATATTATCTATGTGTCAGAATAGATATCCCTGTACACCATATCTTTTGTGCAAAACACATTTTGTTGTTTGCCTTTGTTGCTATTATTTTCAATAAATTATTTGAATCACTACATAGGTTTAACTCTGCTAAAAGCAGCGAACATGTAATTGTTTGTGAATAAAATACTGGTTTAATAAGGTAGCTTTGGTCTTGTGGTTGATGGTAATAAAAAAAGACTTCTCTGATTGGAATTTTGGAAATTGTCTTCGTCAAATATAAAAAAAATAAAGGTGTGTTGAAGTAAGGTTAGTTCTTGGCCAACCCCGCTAAATTAGCATCCCCTACTCAGTTAATATTTCTAAGTTTATACTCCTTTTGTTAAGGTTTAACAACATTAGTGTAACGTAAAGGCATCCCATTGACCAAACTTAGCCCTAGATTTTTTCTGGTCAACATAAAAAAAACTACAATTAGTGTAAGATTATGTGGTCGTATTTCTCTTAAACGTGCGATTGACGTTACATATTCCATCAAATTAGGCCTAATCATCGGCTGATTCTTAACCCTTTTGCGACTGGTTAGGGTTTTATTACCCATATCGAAACCAATAACGACATTACTTTTCATCATCAAAGTTTCACAGTAAAATAATTATTTCAACATTCTATAACGTAACTAAAAAGTCTTAATTATTGTAGGTAGGCTAACGTTATCCCTTGATTTTTATATAGTACATTGCTGAATTGACTGGCAACTAAGTAATCCAAATGTTAACATTGAGTACTGGCTTGATGATAAATCACGATCAGCTGTAGTGAAGTAAACAAAATTGGCAGTAAATGGCTTCTAATGCTCTTCTTATGGAGAACACTTTACGTTATATCTCGTTTTCTGGTACTTTTAAATGGGAATTCTGCTATTTTTCCCAAGTCCCTGGGATCAAGACCTTTAATTTAAGACCCCTCCCACCTTTCTGCGACTTACCAGACATCCACAATTTTCTGGTAAAAATTTTGTCTTACAGAATTATATATATATATAGATATATCCAATCTGAATGCCGAGTGAATTAGTTGTTTGGCCATTAAAATTTGAAGCAACACAACCAGTTGGTGCTAATACATGAACACTGCCGTCACCGTAGATTGATTTTGTTGTATTTACAATCTCATTTGGGCATATAACTACTGACTTTCTACAACCATAACAATGTTTAGTTTGCAAGATAAAACTAATGGAAATGAAACATTTTTAAAAATACACATTATAATAACTTGTACTGTCACCATCTGTCTACTAGGCCCGACTCACCTGACTTCTTTCCACCGTAAGGATGGAATATGTAGACAGAGAAGTCTGCCAAACAACCAGTCACACTAAGACCTCCAATGGCTGACTGAGCGGCCGACCCAGCCCCAAACCTGCAAACAACCCAAGAATAACATGTTGATAAGCATTGCATGTGGTTGCATTGGATTTATAAGGTGAAAGACACATTCCAAATCAGTAGTAGAGTAGTAAGACTTCTTTTATTTTACAGATATTTATGAAAAACCCATCAAGTTCATTATAATTTTATTAGGGTATACTTATCGTACGTAGAAACCAGATATTGGCAACAAATTACTCACCCTGAAGAGTCAGTTTCCGCTCGTTTTGAGGAAAAGACGATATCCAACGACGGCAGTTGTAGCATACACTCCACACGAGACACAGGCAGGCAGGAGAAGCGGAAAGTCGACGGCTGCATGTGGAAATACACGATGACGTCGACGGGGAATGAGGCGTAAGCATACTGATTACCCGCAGCATTTACCCAAGCCCCTGGCCCTGAGTCATCCCTCATGTTGAACATGTTGACTGGGCCTGGTAATAGAGAAATTAACTTTACATCAAAATCGGATCACTTTGCTCAAGTTATGTGCTAACAGAAGGTGTTTTTGGCCTCTGGGGACCTCAAAACGAAAAGTAAATCGGTCCCGGGGCTAGGTCTTACCATAAGACCTACGACAACAGCTTATTCCCTACATGGAAAATTCGCTAAAAGACAATAAATCAATACAAAGAATTGACGCAACACTCACCAGGAGATGTGAAGGGACTCTTGGTCTCTGGGATTGGTTCCAGAGTCTGCTCCAGGAACTCCAGGATGTGGGGTGAGATGATTGTCTCTTCCGGGATACTCTGAAGAGTAGTCCAGGCAAACAAACTCGCTTTCTTGGTGCCAGCCGAAGCTCTGCGACCTCCGCACTCCTCGTCCTCCACCAGGGTCTTGGACTCATAGTGAACCTGAAGTGTTCAATAATCAACCCTTATTCATAATACCGGACTGAGCCCCTGGGTGGATATTTATTTGGCCAGATAAACTGACCTATGAAAAAACTATAATTTTCAACTAAAAATATTATGAATTCTGATAGGTATCATCAACTATTTTAAATAAGGCTAAAGGTAAAAATTACTCATATTATTTTGTACCCTTTTACAACATTTGGCATGATTTGGTCATCACTTAGATACTCGTCTTCCAAACCATCACCACCTGCTACACTTTCTGTATAATTTATATTCATAATATTTCTAAAATGAAAATCTAAATGTTTTCTAAGAAGAAAAAAACAACTTGGCTTTAGAATGTGTGGCTTTATAACTTAGCTCCCTAACAAAATTTGCAACTTTTGTTCAAAATGCCTTTTTTAATATAGACAAAATAATTCTTTTTTTTTAAGTGTTACTTAGCTGACTAGTTGCACAATTGACAATTTCAGATACGCAAGCTATTCCCCACCTTGACATCAAGCCCAGGTATGTGGAAGATGGTGAGGTCCACCAGCTGGGCCAGACTGCTCATGTTGGCTGGTGCGAGATGTCTCAGTTTAGCACTGGTGTGGTGACGACCCTCCTTCTGCGACCTCCGACTCATGTTGGGACTTCCCCTCACGTCCGCTGGGAACTCAAACATCCCTCCGGAGCAACTCCTCTCCTTCTTCATCCGGCTCATCCTGCAACAGTCCAAGGATAGCATGACTATAGGTACTACACAGATAAGTAAGGTACAGAAGAAACTTGCTTATAGAACGACCGTGCGTTTTCAGCTCCGGTATGTTGTGACGGAAATATTTTTCTGACAAGTAAGGAAGAACCTGAGTGGCGAGCACTGTGCAGAAATTTCCAGCGCACAGGGTCTTCCTCCACCATGAGCGTTGTAGCCCATGAGAGCGAGGGGAGCAGTTTTGGATGTCGCCATAGTGGACATACCAGCGACTAGTGCTAGACACAACTTAAGTGTACCATTTAATGTTTTTTCTACCCTACTACTATGTGGGCACTATCATACTACTTAAGCTGAGTAGATGAATTGGTAATAGTGGTCGCCTAGTAATCCAAATGTTAGCAGACAAAAGTTAGTGGCATTGAAACTGAACCCAGCTGTCCTCGGATCATTGGGATTTAAATGAAAAAGCTGATCTTAGTCAAAAACAAAGCCACACAGATCATCTCACAACATCCTACACACATATTTGGATTAAAATACACACCTAGGTGGCGTCCCCATCCCATTAATTGATAGCTAGACCATGTGAGAGAAGACACTACACTTTTGAGAGAAAAAGATTGATTTAGATGTAGTAATAATCCATGAACAAATTAAATGTGATGAGTGCTGCAAAGTGTCAATGAGTAATGCCAATACCGACCCTCGTGTAGCAAACTAATTTCATCGACACTTCTCCTCTATGTTTTAAGTAGGGGTCTGCGGGTCCCCGATTTTTTCGGGTCGGGTCGGGCCAGCGGAAGGCCCGAGAGACCGGGTCGGGTCAGAGATTTGTTCGGGCCAAGATCGGGTCGGGCCAAAAAAAAATAATTATTAGGCTATTTTTAAAGTTGTAATAAGTAATTTTCAAAGAAACACTCTTATATACATTATTACAGAGGAATTAAAATGTTAAAATTAGAATTAAATATTAAGTTTGCTCACGTTTAAGAACAAAGACACAACAGAGCAATTATTGCCTGTCACTAGCCAGAGCCAGTCGTCTACTGACAAAACAAAAGCCGTGACGCAACAGTGCAAAGAAAACGAAGTCAAAAGAAAGACTATTTATCCAGAGGTACCAGTTTAATTATTTATTGTTTATTCCATACCTAGTTTAAATTATATTTTAGTATTTTATTTACATAATCAATTATAAACAAAAGAAATATCTGATATAGTGTACAGATCTGTATCTCGTTCTTTTATTTTCCTATTGTCCTTTTTGTCATTCAGTAACAAAACAAAACAACACTTCTGATCGTCTGGTTCGGCATTTTATGGTCACCATTTAATTTTTTTTTTAAGTATCAAGTATCAACAAGTCTACAAAGAGGTTAGGCCTAAATATTTTATAATTTTATGAAAGTTTTCATCAGTAAAATTATTTTTTTCTTAAGTTAGATTGAGTTTCAAAAAAGATATTTCTAAGATCCAATACAATATTTACAAGACACAAACTACCATGAATTAATTTCTTTGGAAATTATCTGTAACAGTTTTATATTTTTGAATAAAGAAAATATATCTTTTTGTCTCTACTTCCTTGTTTTGTTACTTGTATTTTGTCAGCAATTGGAACAACCGGGTGGTGTAATAGGGGCGGGGGAGGGGGAGGGTCTATGACCTTGAGTGTCCCCGGGCCTGGCTCGGGTTGTGTAAGATGGGAGGGGAGGGGAGGGGGAGGGTCTGTAACCTTGAGTGTCCCCGGGCCCGGCTGTGAGAGTGATTCATGGTTTTTTGTTTACATTCTACTACCCTTCCTTCCGAGAAAAAGACCCTACAGTTTCAAAAACATTGACTTACAGTATAAAAACATTGGAGTTGTGTTGCTAATTAGGGCACTATAATGTCTCTGCTGTCTGCTTATGTTGCCAAATTAGCATTTTACTTTCTTTTCTCTTGATTTAATATAATTTTCTATATATTAAGAGTTCCTTTTCGGGTACCTAATAATTGTGATATTGTTTGACTTGAGTTTATGGATTTTTAATTCTTTTCATTTATTAGCTAAAATCAGTTGTTTTAGGATTTTAATCTCTTGCAATACCTATTACTGTGCCTATAACTGTGTATCTATAACTGTGTATCACATGATATGCAATTTTTACAGTCTTTACTATAACTATACCATAAACAATGTATGTGTGTTATTTATTGTTTTAGAGTTTTATAGTAAATTAGTTTACACAATATCTTTTCTTCAATGAGTTCTCCACTTGTCATGTTGCTTAGTCTATTACTATTTTAGGCCCTATAAAAAATAATTCCTATGTAAAGCTGTAGGCATACTAATGCCAATAATAGATAATTCTTTATTTATGATGATGTAACTAATAATGCTATTGTAAGTGTGAGAGGAGGTTAGGAGGCAGGGAATGAATGATTCATATTGCATGGTGGAAACATAGAATTTTTATTTTCTTCTTGCTTGCAGTCTTGAAGCCTCAGGCCCTAAACTCGTGATAAGGTTAATTGATTTGTTTATGATCCATTTATATTAAGTTCCATTACAAACTTGTTGTAATATAGCTGTTTAGATATTTCAACAGTTATGAAAATGGGAAAGAATGGCTTGATAAAAAAAATTATTTTCTTCTTTCTTGCAGTTGAGGCAACTCCTAAGCTGTAAATAAGTTATGAACATGAAATAATATACATAAATACAATCTTTTTCCATATGTTATTTTCAAGTAATATTATAAACACAGATAGGAGTTAAAAAAAGAAAAAAAATCTGGTAATTAATAATTTTTGGCCCGACCCGATTTTGGCCCGAAACCCGAGGACCAAAATTATTGGCCCGACCCGACCCGACCCGAACCAAAAAAGTCTGACCCGCAGACCCCTAGTTTTAAGCTATTTGATTAATGTTTCTAAATCAGAATATTTGTACTCTGAAGAGCGTGAGTCCTCAAAATTTTAAGACTGTTGCTGCAAAGATAATTATAAATTCTTCAAAATATGCCATACTTTTTTGTTTACGTATGTCCTGCTATCAGGTAAGTTTGAAGTCGATGGTCCAAACGCCTGAAACGGATTCCGTCACTTACATTAAAGTGTGAAACGCTAACTATTAAACTCAACTATTTAAAAGCTTAGTATTATTAAGCTTAACCAACTTATTTTATTCAAATGAAAAATATCATTTATTCTGCACAGGTTATCATCGTAACACTCACATCTTGAGTTCGTCCTCCCTAGTCGAGTCTTTGGTGTGCAGCACACACTTGCCACTGTTTATCAACACCTTCACGTCCAGTTCAAAGTCAATGTTGGGCTCCAGCGGCTTCTGACAGCTAGGCGCTGAGAACAACAGACTCTGCGTCGTCTGCTCCTTCTCTGGCTCTACCAGCAGCAGGGTGCTGCACAACACACGGGTGAACTTAGTGATGACAAACGTGAAAAGTATACACTTTAAAATCTATAAAACGTTCATAAGGAACACAAACTTTGAAATATACTATTTTCCTACAAGTATGTGTTAAAAGTCGTAAGTAGCCTTACCTGCCGTCTGTGGAGTCGTAACTACCCTTGTGAGCCGACAAAGACGACCTCAGTCCGTCTGACGGCCAATCATCAACGGGTAGACTCAGCTCCGAGCTCGCACTGGGGAACGAGGCTTGTCTAAATAACATATACAGATACAGTTTCAATTGTATGTCCTACCTCATCACCCTTGGATGATATAATTAAGCCCAGATCTGTTTTACCATAGACAAAAAAAAATTAAATATAGACTGTCAGCTGTGCTGCGGTTACCATAGGTTCTGGCGCACACCGCTGGGAGCGCCGTGTAGTTATATAGTTCGTGGGCTGTAACTACATGGCGCTACCAGTGGTGTGCGCCAAAACCTATGGTAACCGCAGCACAGCTGACAGTCTATATTTAATTTTTTTTTGTCTATGGTTTTACACATTACTTCAGGCTCTAAGGCAGTGTTTCCCAACCTTTTTCCGTTCAGGGCACACTAACTAGAACACGTTTGTAGTCACGGCACACTTTTCCACAAAAATATTGTGACAAAAATATCATGACCACAGTCGTATCCGCCGTGCTACCTGCGTCAGTGTGACCCTTATAAATGTGGCCGGCTACCTTCATTAAATGTATTTTGTGTTAAAAATGTGTGAACTTTATGTTTAATGTTGAATGTAATTTTTATGTTGAACTTTATGCTTAATTAACAAGATGGCGTGTATTTATATCTTATAACGAAGGCTTCTATCAGATTTATGGACCAATCAATTTGATGACATGGGTTTGAAAATGGGTCATTTATGACCCGAAACTAGTCACCCTTGACTATTTTAAGGACTGGACACGGAATAAAAAGGTACGGAACCTATCATATCATTCGTACACCAGTGGCAATAATGTTCGAAATATCAAGGGATGAGAAGTACTTTTTTATATTTCCTTCAAACAGACGCAGACTTTTCAAAATTGGAAACATGGATTCAACACTGACAAGTAATTCCACACAAAAGATTGTGTTCTCATAAACGCGCAACCGCACTTAAAGCACCTCTATTACGATATCGAAATTTTTTTAACTACTTCAAATTTCGCGGCACACCTACAGAGGCCTTACGGCACACCAGTGTGCCACGGCACACCGGTTGGGAAACACTGCTCTAAGGGGACAAAGTATAATCAAATAGCCATAGGTGTAGGTTTTGAACACAGTACCTTAGAGACCGAAGCCTGTGACCCGCAGACAGATCCAGTATTCAAGATATTCTAGCACATTTTGGAATTTGGTGTGTCTAGAATTAAAAGTATCGCTAATGCATAACTTGTATTTCATAGGGATGGACGAGATTGGATTTTTAGTCAGAGATGAGACGGAATATTTTATTTCTCATAAAATTTTGAGACAAGATCAAGACAGGAATTTCTTTCTCATACATAACGGGAAATGCACGTTTGACATTTTAAACTGACTTTGTAACATTGTAAATACCTACTGATATATCTAACAGATGACTGGCTAGATACAAAAATTATAATAATAGGCAAGAATATTTCAAATCTTTTATTTAACATCAGTATACAAAAAATTAATTAGACCTACTTTATAAAAAATAATTCTTACGCATTGGAAACATATTGACATATCAGTTAGAACTTAGGATAGGCCTATAGTTCAACTATGAAAAATACAAAATTCATCAGTTTAAAACATCAGTCAATTTTTCAGTCTTGTGGTATTTTTAGAATGATTTTGGAGTGACTTGTTTTGGCTATGTTCACAATAGTATAACATGTCTCACACTGCTTGCACTTCACAAAACTTCTCATAGTTTGCGATGTAAAAAAAATATATTATAAAACAATTAAATCAATATTTTCATGTAAAGAATTAATTAAAGAACACATTCACAAAGGAAACGCAACAACAACGCACTCCTCTATTGCGGGTATTGCATTGACCTTCTGCAGGCGTTTGAAACTCTTTTTTTATCTTGTAAAAAAAAAAATCTTGATCAAAATAAAATCTCGTGTCCCAAAACAAAATTTAAAATTGTCCAACAATTTCTCAAAATTTTGAGACCCGTCTATCCCAAATTTTATAATAATAGTTTGTGGGTATTAATTAATGGAGACTAAAAGAGCATAATTGGAAAATTCATTCAACAATGATTCAACATACATTTATTTATATCCTATTGAACTATAGCACACCGTTCAGAGTAGGCCTAAATGAATATAGGATCATTTTTGTATGATACATAAAAGTCATTTACATAATTTATAGGTACCTTGAACAATATTATCGCTAAATATTCACAATATCAAAATAATGACATTTCGAAACTTGAGTAGATAAGACATTAATAAAGGTAATAAACAACACTTTAAAGTAATTTATCAAAGGTTAACAAAAAAACGGTTCTACACGAATAAAATATTACCACAATGAAAATTTTTGAAAGCTGAATGTATACTACAATCAAAATTTACTGTACCCGCCTTTCCAGCGATATATTTAATTTAACAAAATTCATATCCAAAACCAAAAGAAGCTAACATTAACATTCCTAGACAAGCAATACCTGGTAATGTTGTGGGCATCGCTGAACGTAACCCTGGGAGCGCCTAGACCACGTGAGGCTCGCAGTGACGCAGACCTGGACGGCCCTGAGTGAGGCGAACTGTCAAAACTGCCTGACGTAACACTTGCCGCAGCCGTCTCATCAGGGCTATCAACACGATAACATGTCAACAATCAACTTATATAATATATTTGTCCTCAGGTATTTAACTTTTCTACTTTTCGGTGCATTTGAATATTGACATTCAGTTTTAACACATAAGTACACATCTTCAAAGACCATCAAAAATCAAAGTTTTCACTACCAAGCAAAACCAAGTTGTTAAGCACAACAGGGTGTCCACAGAAATTTTGTCTTTAATTTCCCTGACTTTTCATGACTATCCATGACCATTAACCATTGATTTCCATGACTCACGAACTTAACTCAAAAATTATAATATACAGTATACACACGAATAATACTGCCTAGACAAGTTATTTATTTCACAGAAAATATTGAAATATATAATAACAGATAACAATGGAGTACAATAGGTACAACAATGAACTAATACAAACTCAAGACAACTGTATAAATTGAAATTGTCGTACATTTGTTAAAAATTCGGAAAATGCTACGATAGTTGGGGTTACGACCGACTAGAGCATTGAAAGGTCCCCTGGAATCCATCCATCATTGGGGATTTCCATGACTTTCCATGACTTTTTGCCTATTTCCATGACTTTCAATGACCAGAATTTTTTTCCATGACTTTCCATGACTATCCCTGACTTTCCAGAATGTGGACACCCTGGCACAACCACTCATCTTGACTCAATTTTTTAAGTAATTTCTCAGCTACACTACTTAAAAAAATTAAAAAAATCACTAATCGTCCATTTCTAAAAAAGAACAACACTATCTTTGATTGTAAAGGAGATTGGCAATGTCAAAGCAGTACCTGTCGATCTCAATATGATGTTCCAATGTAGGCGACGGCACAATGAACGATCGCGACCTGAATGTTGTTTTGTTTTTGTTTGAAGATTTCACACTTTGTCTTCGAAGCTTTTGAATCATGTCCCTGAAAAAGATTAAATTGTTAGGTATCATACGTTTGGCATTTTGATATAAATGATGTAATAGTTGTCCTATGATAATATTCACAATTGTTATAAAGCATTGTGCAAGAACTAAGTTGGTAATAGGCATAAAAAATGTGGACAAAAAAATGTCAATTTTTTCATGAAATCCAAATCTTTTTGTAAAAAATTAATATTTATTGAGGAAAAGTTACACGAATCATACCTCCTGAAATCCTTGAAAACCATAGCCTCCAGTTCACGTAATCGTTTCATTTCGGATTCAATGGTGCCGTGTGAAGCACCGAGGGCTCGTAAGTCGTTGATGATTTTCGCTTGTTCGTACATTTCCTTTTCAATCAGTTTGGATCGGCTCTTAGAGTCCAGCGAAGGATCCAAGGCAAACGCTGGAAGACTGTCACATGTGAAGTGTTTCCCTCTTCGCAAAAGAATGCTTTCCTGCAACATAAGACAGAATGAGAAAACTTTGTTGGATAGCATTTTTATGATTTTTACAAGGAAGAAATTATCAAAATCTTGTTACAATCCAAAGGACCTTGTTATCAATCTAATACTGGCCTTTTATTAATACCATATATTGTTAGCCCAATGTCAAATTAAATCTGAATCCAAAAATAATGTTGCTCAGGGTTGGACCACGAACCTTTGGATCTAAATGTAAGCATAATCACTCGGCTACTCCAAATCACTTGGCAAGATATTGATAAGACCAGACAAAAATGACTTACAAAGTGTAAACAAATCAGATATTAAACAAAACAATAAGTTGCACAATAAGTAGAACCAATAGTGAAAAGGGTATCTGTTAGGGTATTTGCAAAGGGGATACCCTTTGCAAAAAAACCTGTGGGGAGATCAAAAGTTCATTAAGTGATAGGAGGAGACTAGAAGTAATTACTGATAATAAACCAGCAGTAAAATATAAAATTGTAATGTTAATTGAGGAATGATCATCTGCAAGCTTTTAGATGAACGAATAGCATACTGTAATTAATTGTGAGTCATTTCAATACAAAATCAGTTGAAGAGAAGAACCCTCACTTTAAAGAGCATGTAGCTAACCCAGAGCACAAGAAAAAATGGTGGTGATAAGTTTGATAAGTTTAATTAGTTAGTGACTTATCCAAAAACAATTGAAGTGTTAGGATTGGGTTTCCTTAACAATGTTTGAGCTTCTTTCATACACAATGCCACTGACGTAGACAATGTAATAGACATTTTTTAAGAAAAAATACATTCCGTTGAATCAACAACCAAATATCTGTCTAGTTGTCGCACCTGACTGTTGTCGGCATTGTCGTTAGTGTCTGCGTCGTCGCTGTCGTAGCTCGGGTTGGCAGCATCGTCCTCCTGCACGGAGGTGAGTGTGGTCAGAGTATGTCCCAGAGCTGACAACTGCTTGCCAATGTTGACGTCAAGATGGATATCTACTCCTTCCATGGCCCACTGGACGTTCAGAAACCACTTGGCGTTCTCTGTAACAAAAACAGATTTTTTCACATGTTTTTTTTGTGAGCTTTGTTAAATATAAAAGTTAAAGAAAATATGTAAACTTGGTAAAGGTAATGATGGTGGGAAACAACCATCCTGTGAGTTAAGGATGAGTTAGAATGGAGTGAAATATCTTTTAGTATCTTTTGTTACTGACTGAGACCAGCTGCTTCAAAAGCCAGGATAATTTATTATAAGCCCAATCAACTAAGGACCCAGCCCCTAACATGTAGAAAACTTGACCTGGGTAGTATAATCACAAAACAAACAAAAATTACACAGATCCACTAGATAAGGGGTTCTCAAACTTCACCTACTCAAGGACCCCCATAGTTAATTATGTATGTAATGCAGATCCCCTACCCCCTATCAACCCCCCTGATGACCCCTTAATTTTTATTTTAAATTGATCATTTCAAAAGATGACTTATTTATAATAGGCTAAGGAATAGGTAAACAAAATAAATAACCAACAAACAAACCAAAACTGTTATTTTCAGAAATAGGCACTTTTGGTGTGAGTGATTAAAAATAAATTTCATTAAAATGTTTTTCGCGGACCCCCAAAAAATTGCTTGCCCTAGGGGGCTGCGGACCACACTTTGGAAAACTCTGCACTAGATGTTGGCAAGAAAATAAATCAAGCCGCAACGTTTTTCCAACAACTGTGAAATCTATGAAATACTAAATTACAGAAAACCTTATGGTAAAAATATTTGTCTCATAATTTTGCCTACTTTGTCATAAAGTCTAGAAACATATAGGTACAGCAATGTCTGGTTTATCCAAATCAGAATTTGCTACCAAATTTTAAATCAGGAAGTTTATTCAAATCAGGAATCCGTACCTGATTTTCTGAGAGAAAAGAAACTTAATTAATAATTAAAATACAGAGTTAATTTCAAACGCCTTCAAAGATTCGGACGCAACCGGATCTCTTTACTGTCTCCGACAGGTATCATTATTGATGTAGGAGCTATACAGAAATAGGGTTTCTTTTTAAATTTAAGAGTTCCATTTCATACCTGAAACTAACACTGTTTTTAACAAACTTTTTAATCATTTTTAAATCTATCTTATAGAGGTTGGCGTTATTTACGTAATGGGATCAAAAATAGGATAGTTACTGAAATAATTCACCTATCTGAATTCTGGGTATTTTTAAACGATTGTATGAAATAACTGTCTTCATATTAACATCGAGCATTAGGAAATAATATAGTAACTTGTTAATAAATTACTGAGAATAGTGGTAATACGATTATTTAGGTAACATCGTCCAAACTGCTAGTACGAACGATTACAAGAGCGTGACCCGGCTTCAAAGTTCTTAACGAGGAAGTAATAGGTGACAAAAAAAATAATATTATGAAAGGCCAGTGCGCAAATTATTTTATTTTTATAAAGTTGTATATTTTTATCGTCAAAGGTTTTTGTGAGATGTTTGAGATTGGGTGATAGTTAGATATACAATGTTGATGCTATTTATTCTACCATATGTTGTGCAAGTTGGAATAAAGAAGTTTTGATTGAATTATTAGCCATTATATAAAACTGTCAAAAATCATAAATAAAAAGACCTACAAAAACATCCACAACTCATCAGAGTGCGCTAAAACTACCCGTGCTCACCAATATCCATCTTCTGAGCCGCTATCGTCCTGCTGCACACCTCGTACGTTCCCTCGGACACAACACACAGGTTCATTGCGGCCTCGGAGGTGTTGGGCTTCCAGTCGTCCAGGGACGTCTCAAAGTCGTCGGCAAACCGCAGACACAATCCTACGAACCTGCCCTTGCTGACCAGGGAGCCGGAGCTGCAGGCCGAGATACTGGTGGACTCCAGTGTTACCACTACAGCAGCACAAGACTCGTTCTCCATGAACAGCTGACGCCCGACACCCCATGTGGGCTACAAACATTTAAACAAAAATTATTTGGTAATCACTAAACAATAACAAAATATTGTAATTTAATTAAGGATGTAAGGAGCACAAGGGCTTAGGGTTTCAGGGTTTTTAGTGAGGATAATAGATTTATCTGAACGGTGAAATGTCAAAACTGGTACAAGAAACACAAAACTTTATAATATTACACTGTCACTGAAAGCATTTTCAAGGAAGTGTGTGGTTGAAGAGAGAGTTATCTTCAGGCCTAATAATATAGCCAGGAAGTTTATTTAGCAAGTTTAGATTTATGAAGATTTTAAAATTTAAATACACTACATTACTTAGTCCATAGACAGAAAATTAAGTACAGGCAAGGTTATGTAATTGGTATAACATTATCAAGGTGAGTGAGAGAATAACAACAACAAAACTCACCGGTGGCAACGGGTTGAGAGGAACACAGATTCCCATGTCTTCTACAGTGAGTTGGAGAAACAAAGTCCCCAAATGAGGAGTGCTCAGTTTCTCAAATGGCATCTTTTCAAACACCTGTAAACAGAAAATCACCACACCTACACTCATCTGACACAATCTACTAGACTACAATAATTTCTCTTTCCAAAGACATTATAAATATAAATAAAAAGTTATAGTGCAATGAGATTTAGATTAAGAGTTCTTGGAGGCTAGCGGCCATCTTGGATTGATTTCAAACAGCTGCTGCCCCAAAATATGTTTTCAAAAACCAAAGTGATCGTAATTTAAATATCCAGGGCACTATGGGATTAGAAATTTTCATTGCAATCTTGCAATGGTTTTCCACAAGGGAGTCCTTGGAGGTATGGCCATCTTGGATTTACCCGTCATGAGAGCAATGTTGATTTCAAACAGCCGCTAAAGAGCTATTTACGATATCAAAATATTTTTTCTAACGCCAAAATGATTGTATTTATCTTTTATTTCAAATGCAATTTCACCTCCAAAAACACCAAACACTCTCGTAATCTGGACACAAATTGTCTGTTTGCACAAAAAGACTCCACTGTAAACTACAACTTAACCATTTGATGCAAGTTACCTGCTGGGTGGCAGTGAGCACTTCTTTGTTCAAACTAGACCTCTGTTCGGCCCAGTACTCGTAGGCGTTCTTGTAGTTGAGCCAGACGAGGATCGCCTTGTCCACAGCCATCGGTTGTATGTAGATCAGCGGCCGCTTGAGTGTGATCAGTACGACCTCCTTGTCATCACTGCCTGGTCCTACCATCTCCCCTTGGAACGCATTACGGAGGCCTGAAACCCACAGAATAATCTTGTAACCTGAGAACTTGTGATGTTAAATTTCTTAAATAGGGATTGCAAACAACAATATCTCACCACCATAAAGTTCTGTTGGTTTATAACTGTACTACTATTTAAATAGACAATATACTTGATTTACAAGTTCATTGAACGCTAACGATTATTTACAAGTGGTCTTTTGGTTATATTAGATTTTATGAAAACAGATCACATTTTAAAGTCGTGTTTTGGTCAAATTTCAATGTAGAAGGGTCTTTTCAGTAATTTAATCCATGGATAGACAAAGCTGGTTCCAGTCTGTCCCTTGCTTCTTGTGCAATCAGTCATTGTTTGTCAAAACAGGCCTGTTTTTTTATGTTTAAAACTTTACGTGCTGTATTGTGTTTGTTTACCCTTGACGAAGTTTACAACTGATCAACTTTACAAGTACCTGAAGCTGACGATGGTGTTTTGACACCGACAGATGTTCTACTAAATTGGCATATTTTGCTGAGTTGTGACAGCTTACGTAAGTAAGTCTTACATTATATCCAACAGACCAGGGGCTAGAAACATGGATTTTAACTTAATACTCTTCTGAGATCCAATTTTTATATTGACTTGTTTAAACTATTTTTATAGATCTTTGCAATAGGAATTTCTCATCCCCAGAAGTTCTGATTTAGTCATAACTTATTTTTAACAATACAATATAACTACAAAACATCCAATGAAAGTAACCACACAGTAGGCCAATATTCCAACATACATCCACAAGAAACTCACCGATTCTAGTCTTGAAGAAGGCAAACTGTTGAAACTCAGGTTCGGCCTCCTCAAAGAGAACGTTCTTGATCAGCTGACCCAAACTCAGGTTCACATCGACCTGAGCCTTGCCGAATATCTTCAGTGCAGCGTTGGGCTGCGCTGCGCCGGACACATTCTGTACTCTGTTGGACAGTTGGAAGTCGACTGCGCCGGTCTCTAGACGAACGGCGCAGTTGGTCGGTGTCGTAGCAGTCAGCTGAATCCTCTGTAAGTTTTGAAATTATAGTCTGGTATTTGCAAAGCGATTTACGACACATGTAAGATGTAAGATGTAGTAGGCAATTTTAATCCTTGAAATCCAAGGTATGACGTATCTGTATAGCCCCTGATTGAATTATTTGACTAATATAAGCTGTTAACCTCATTTCAATAGTTCCTCAGTGACATTAACCACAAAATGGATCACCATACTAGATGGAAACATCACCATGTATAGACAGACAATACAAAAAAATAATTTATTTATCAGATACATTGAAACCTCCAATTTAAGTAAATAGAATTATATTATTGTATTGCACTGTGACTAATCACGCTAAACAATTCATAAGGCGAGGCAAATTAGCCTATATTAGACATATTATTACATTATATTGTATCTTCAAGACAAAAAACTACGTTAAGGGTCTGGTACTAGAGCTGACTTCAGTGAGAGAGGGCAGGTTTCATCCAAAGTGTATTCACAAATATTTGGAGGTTTGGACCAATTTATCTCAAAAGTGTTTAGAATTCTCTCTATAAATTGCTACCTTGTTGAAACAAACAAAAACAAATATTTATTATCTTCAATGGATTATTAATGGTTTGATTTGAACACATACTTCAATATCATTTCATTTGGATTTAGATTATGACTTTGGGTGAAATTTAACCTCTAACTGGTTTAATGGGGAATCAAAGATCACAAAAACTTACCAACCCACACTTTTCTCTTGATCATACATTGCTTAAATTTAATTTGTGTACGCTGCATCGCATTGTCTATCAATTCCTCATACAAATTCTTTTATCCACTCATTACAGCATTACATACCTTAATCCTGATGACCAGAGTGAACAATATCTGCTTCACCGTGGATGAGTTGGAGGAATCGTCAGAATCTTCAAACCACAACGGGACTGGTTTCTCCCCCCCATACACCTTCTGTACCACCTCGTTCACTTCCTGCACAAGTTAAAATCCATTGGAAAACAATAATTTTATTCAAAACAGCTGTCTGGAACTTGTCCTGTAATCAGTGAGTGAAATAAACCCTTTGAACATGCAGTAGAGACTGCATTAAGGGTTTGATTATTATTGCCCTACTGGGCAAGCTGGTAATGGATGGCTTAGCACCTTGAATTTACTTTTGTGAATAGGAGAGATCTCCTTACTGCTAGAACTACATAATTTGGTGAACTAGAAAATGCAATACTGATCCTAACCTTCATGAAGACTTTCTGCACGAACACCAGATGGTTCAGCAGATCTGTAGTCAAAGAATGTTCAAAAGTTCCAATGTCGGCTACTGCGCTGATGTAGTTACCATGTCTTAACACTACACCATCTGAAACAGCCAATTATTGTGTTGAAAGAAAAAGCCACAACGATTATCATTTTTCACATACAGAAAACAAATTTGTAAGCCTCAATGTTTATATTAGAAATATATGGTACAAAATGAGCACTATTGTCGGGACCACGTAAGTTTGCAGTTAGTGGCAGCCAATCACAGGACAAGGCTAGTGCGACGTTGCCACATCGCCCGTTAACAACACTAATTAAAATATACTAAGCAATTTTCAAATTAGCTGGTATTATTAGATTTGGCAACACCACACGGTTCTCATTGGTTCGTTCAAAAGCATATGGTAAATAGGCTCCTCCCTCAACTGCAAACTTATGTGGTCCCGACTCTAGAAATGTTTTATGTGTATTTATTGTGTAAGTATGTATGATATTTTGTACTTTTAACTAACTTTAAAAATCCCGTCCCTAACTAAAAATACAATAATGTCCATCTCTACATAAATACATAAACTTTTATAGCAGTTCTAAAATCCATAGATTTGTGAGAAGAAGAAATATAACTTAAAACAAATAGGATTTTCTTAACTAAACCACAACATTTTATGCTTTAATACAGACATAATTTTAACTATTAATCTAAACTTTATATAGATGTACAAATCAAAAGTCCTGCAACTGCATTTAGATCGCTGATAACAAAGCATAAATCCCTCACAGTTAACGTTAAAAGAATATTACATTACCTTGTCCAAAGAACGGCCCTTCTGCAGGTTGTACTCCGTCCAGTACGTACTCCGCTGAAACATGGACCTTGGGCAGTTCTATACTGGCTTCTGAGGGAAGATTGGCTTCCGTCACCTGTGTAATGGAGTAGTTGTAGAGAAAAACAATCTTAACTTAACACTACACCCAGATTGTAATACTTGGTCAATTCCTTGGACTTTTTGTGAGGAACGGGGGTTAACAGAATGGGAAACCGTCGAATCTGGCACAAGAAACACAAAACTTGACAATATTTGTTCACAGTCACTGACAGTATTTTTAACTAAGGAAGGCACGAGTCGAAGAGAAAGTTGTTTCCAGGCATACTGTTTCTACCTAGTTGTCCTGAAGACATCTTTCTCTTTAAAAATTGGAAAGATACCAGCTTTGACTGATTTGTCTACTGTGTTATTTACCTGTACTTTAGTAGAGAACGACAGAGAGTGATGCGGCAGATCTATGATAAACTTGGCCTTGCTTCCAGTGACACCTGTACTGGTGACTTGGTCCATCTTGTACTGCGCTTGTAGTGATGGAAGTAGAGCAGCAGTGATACTTAGACTCTGCAACAACAACAGATGAGTAGGATGTAACATTGTAATTGCAATATTATATTAGGGAGTGTTGCTGAAAGTCTAAATCCCAGAAGGTCTAATTAGATTAGAGCTTCAGCATACAATTTGCATTTTGGAATTGTTGCTGAGGATTTAAACGGGCAGTAGAAAAAGGTCTAAATACTGGAGGATCTAAAAGTACAGTCAATGAAGAAAACTTATCCACTGTTTCTGTTTTAGAGCTTGTAGGATTTATAGACCCTTAGCTCCTATAGATCCTAATACTACATCTAAACAATTGTACTCTTTATATCCACACATAGGTGACTAGGTGGTTTAAGTGCTTGCCTAGTTATCAGAAAGTCTCTTAATTTGATCCTGAGAAAAGTCAGTTGCTTTTTGATACATCGAAACTTAGGGGTCTGAGGGTCAGACTTTTTTGGTTCGGGTCGGGTCGGGTCGGGCCGATAATTTTGGTCCTCGGGTTTCGGGCCAAAATCGGGTCGGGCCAAAAATTATTAATTGCCGGATTTTTTTCTTTTTTTAACTCCTATCTGTGTTTATAATATTACTTGAAAATAACATATGGAAAAAGATTGTATTTATGTATATTATTTCATGTTCATAACTTATTTACAGCTTAGGAGTTGCCTCAACTGCAAGAAAGAAGAAAATAATTTTTTTTATCAAGCCATTCTTTCCCATCATTTTCGTAACTGTTGAAATATCTAAACAGCTATATTACAACAAGTTTGTAATGGAACTTAATATAAATGGATCATAAATAAATCAATTAACCTTATCACAAGTTTAGGGCCTGTGGACTGGCTTCAAGACTGCAAGCAAGAAGAAAATAAAAATTCTGTTTCCACCATGCAATATGAATCATTCATTCCCTGCCTCCTAACCTCCTAAGTACAAAAACCTCACACTTACAATAGCATTATTAGTTACATCATCATAAATAAAGAATTATCTATTATTGGCATTAGTAGGCCTACAGCTTTACATAGGAATTATTTTTTATAGGGCCTAAAATAGTAATAGACTAAGCAACATGACAAGTGGAGAACTCATTGAAGAAAAGATATTGTGTAAACTAATTTACTATAAAACTCTAAAACAATAAATAACACACATACATTGTTTATGGTATAGTTATAGTAAAGACTGTAAAAATTGCATATCATGTCATACACAATTATAGATACACAGTATAGGCACAGTTATAGGTATTGCAAGAGATTAAAATCCTAAAACAACTGATTTTAGCTAAGAAATGAAAAGAATTAAAAATCCATAAACTCAAGTCTGTTGTGAGTTGTTTTAATAAGGACAACACAACAAAGTCAAACAATATCACAATTATTAGGTACCCGAAAAGGAACTCTTAATATATAGAAAATTATATTAAATCAAGAGAAAAGACAGTTAAATGATAATTTGGCAACATAAGCAGACAGCAGAGACATTATAGTGCCCTAATTAGCAACACAACTCAATGTTTTTATACTGTAAGTCAATGTTTTTGAAACTGTAGGGTCTTTTTCTCGGAAGGAAGGGTAGTAGAATGTAAACAAAAAACCATGAATCACTCTCACAGCCGGGGACACTCAAGGTTACAGACCCTCCCCCTCCCCTCCCCTCCCATCTTACACAACCCGAGCCAGGCCGGGGACACTCAAGGTCATAGACCCTCCCCCTCCCCCGCCCCTATTCCACCACCCGGTTGTTCCAATTGCTGACAAAATGCAAGTAACAAAACAAGGAAGTAGAAACAAAAAGATATATTTTCTTTATTCAAAAATATAAAACTGTTACAGATAATTTCCAAAGAAATTAATTCATGGTAGTTTGTGTCTTGTAAATATTGTATTGGATCTTAGAAATATCTTTTTTGAAACTCAATCTAACTTAAGAAAAAAATAATTTTACTGATGAAAACTTTCATAAAATTATAAAATATTTAGGCCTAACCTCTTTGTAGACTTGTTGATACTTGATACTTAAAAAAAAAAATTAAATGGTGACCATAAAATGCCGAACCAGACGATCAGAAGTGTTGTTTTGTTTTGTTACTGAATGACAAAAAGGACAATAGGAAAATAAAAGAACAAGATACAGATCTGTACACTATATCAGATATTTCTTTTGTTTATAATTTATTATGTAAATAAAATACTAAAATATAATTTAAACTAGGTATGGAATAAACAATAAATAATTAAACTGGTACCTCTGGATAAATAGTCTTTCTTTTGACTTTGTTTTCTTTGCACTGTTGCGTCACGGCTTTTGTTTTGTCAGTAGGCTTTTGTTTTGTCAGTAGACGACTGGCTCTGGCTAGTGACAGTAAGGCAATAATTGCTCTGTTGTGTCTTTGTTCTTAAACGTGAGCAAACTTAATATTTAATTCTAATTTTAACATTTTAATTCCTCTGTAATAATGTATATAAGAGTGTTTCTTTGAAAATTACTTATTATAACTTTAAAAATAGCCTAATAATTATTTTTTTTGGCCCGACCCGATCTTGGCCCGAACAAATCTCTGACCCGACCCAGTCTCTCGGGCCTTCCGCTGGCCCGACCCGACCCGAAAAAATCGGGGACCCGCAGACCCCTATCGAAACTAGACCTAAAGGGCTTTTAATAAGAGAAGGGCAGACAGATTGGTTTACCTGCAGTACGACGCTGAACTGCATGACCAACGGCTGTAGCAGCATGTTAGGCTCTGTCAGGTGATGTCTGTGAGTCTCTGGCATCACAGTGTGAGAATGCCCCGGAGAATGTTGTGGGGCAGAATCAACCTCGTCCACCGTCGTACCTCTGGACATCCGGCTAGACGCTCGGGTCACTCGCAGCTCCTGCAGAACAAGTTCACAGTTTAACTATAATGTCAAACATTTCAATATTTCATCTACTCGTTATTCATATTCAGTAAACAATTCAGACAGTGTAAAGTTCAGATTAGTGTAAAGTTCAGACAGTTTCCAAAACTTTATCTTTTTGGAAAAGATTGGCAACCTTTTTTATCAATGCTTTTGCCCAACCACAGTTCAGGCACAGAATAAAGACTTAACCTAGAACTCTCACTGTGCCAATAAAAACATTGCATTTGAATCTGCTAGTGCCTACACAAGAATACAGTGGCGCTGATGTTGATGTGATTTTTTTAAGTATACATTTCACTTAGTTAGATGATCAACTGATAGCAACGGTGTAGTGATGTCAGTTCTCTCTCCTACCACCAGCCAGTGACAACAGTTTTCCTAGATTCAAGCAGATTTCAAGTGCAACCTTTATTTGCTGAGTTAGAGCTCTGGGTTAGGTCTTTTTTCTGTTCCCTATATAGCCTGTGATTGGAACATGAGAAGCAAAGCAAGGATGATTCTTGGAACAAAAGTAAGTTTTACGGATAAATATTAGTGGCAGCACCAGGAGCGAACCCATGACATTGCTGTTACGGATTATTGCAGGTGGTTCAGCCAGTTAATTACTTAATTATTTACCATTTAAATATAAAACTATTTACAATCAAGTATAGAAATGTTAGACACATTGTAAAATTCTGTCGGTTTATGAGGCATCTTGGACCAAACTGAAATAAAAGGGACTTTTTCAATAATTATGAATCTTGGGAGCTAAAGACACCCTGAGATAGCAAGTTTATATTTTACTATGGGGGTGAATTTAGACTGTCTGCTTTACTCCTCAGTCTTCAGCTACACCCAAGTACTAGTACCAGTTTTACCTCTAAACCATTTGTAGGGAGAAAGCAGGTTTAGAGGTAGAGCGTAAGCTTCAGTTCTCCAGGTTCCTGGTTCAAATCCCGCCAATCACCAATGAATAATATCAAATTGATATAACCGCAAACTTCTAGGACTAGCTTGAAGAAATGTGTAAACGATTCCGGACAAGAGCCTAGCGTCCAAAGTTAGGAAGGTGAGAAAAAATCAAATCTTACCTGTAGTGTGGAGGACAGCTGTTTGCTGCCTCTGGTCATCATGCCATGCAGAGCCACCGGGTGTTGAGGGATGTCCACGGCCACAGCTCCGATGGTCAACAAACCTGAGTTCTTGTCTCTGCCTCGGCGAGTCACACTGGAGTAGAGTGCTTGAGACTTGCCCACCGTCACCTTCACTACCGTCCTAGACAGTACCCAACACAAAGTTAGTTTGTAGCGGAATTGAATTTGAAGAAATTAAAAGTTTAAAGTAGGGATGGACGAGATTGGATGTTTAGTTTGAGACGAGATGGGATTTTTTGATTCCTCACAAAGTTTTGAGACGGGATTTCCCTTCTCACACATAGGGGGAAATGCACGTTCCACATTTTAACCTGATTTTTTAAACATTTTTAAATACCTAACTACTGATTTCTGACAGACTGGTAAAAAAAAAAATAATAATAGACAAAACTAACTATTTAAAATCTTTTATTAAAAAACATTGATAAAAACATCAGCATAAAAAAATATTAATAAGAACCAACTTATAACAAATTACTGTTTGGCATAGGTAACATGGAGATATCAGTTAGTATACAAATTTGTAGTAAAACATGTCTCACACTGATTACACTAACGTAACTTCTCATCATTTGCTGTCAAAAAAAAAAAAAAAAAAAAAAAAATTAAAGCAATATTTCCATGTAAATAATTAAATAAAAACACCTTCGCAAAGGAAACACAACATGAACACGCTCCTGTATTGCGGGTATTGCATTGACTTTCTGCAGGTGTTTTTTTACATAAATTTTTTTTTAAACTTGTCTTGAAAAAATCATGACCAAAATAGAATATCGTCTTGTAGAACGAGATTTTAAATTTCCCGAAATTTCGAGACCTGCCCATCCCTAATTTAAAGTAAAATACGGTAGCTCAAACATAGCTCACAGTTAATTTGGTAACAAGTTAAAGATTAAAATGCACTAATGACAGCTCAAAAGATTGCATAATAAGCTGTCAACTTCTAGAGCTCCATTGTGCTAGGTAATTGTTTTTACAAACCTTTCTTTTAATTTAAGAATTAAAAATAACTGTTTAATAGGTTGGGAAATAAGGATATGGCTCTTTGGAGCTTACAGCGTATTTGCTCTTATAGATCTACAAAGACCCAAAATATTTTTGGTAACATTAACACCAGTCGCAATTTGAAGGGAAGAAACACTTTAAGGGGAAAGTAGTCTAAGCCCCCAATTATTTGGAAATCAAACGAACCAAAGACGCTAACCACTAGCCACTAGCAACACACCAAAACAAAGTTATGACTGTGAAGCGATTAACATGTACTAACTGTTGGTTAGGTGCGACTCCCTCCAGCAGTACCACCATGGTTCTCCCTACATGCCCTGTCAGCGAACACTCCAGACTGGCCGGACGAGTCTTCTTGCGTACAGTGAGTGACGAGTGTAGATTGGTGATCTCAGCCTCCAGCTTGAGCCCACTCAGTGTCGCCAACAGTCTGGTGCGATGTATCTTAGCTACGGCCAGCACCACCAGACGTGTCCGCTCACCTGCAAGGCCTACAAAACATTAAAGATATTAATAGTATATTTCATCGTGACTATTTTTGCCTCAAGCTCAATTTGAAGGACACGAGGTTCAAAACAAGCAAGGCTTGAAAAGGCATTTCTTGCCAGAGTGATAAACTATATTTTTCGTTATATTGCACCATTATGTAAGTAAACTACGTTATAAAACAAAAACAGCTTGTTTTCAATTGTTTTAATACAAATAAGCAGCTGTTAAGTAAGTGATTCACTAGTTTTGTCTAGTCATATCAATTTGTTAGTGTTCATTATACTATTGATATGTTAAACAATTGACATGAATGCACCAATAAGCTACAACCAATTAAAACAATGGATACATGCGATTGCTTACAATTGAAGTTTACAACTAAATTTACAACAGCTGATTTTTACTCCCTAGGGAGAATAAGAGCAACTTATTGTCACTTTACATTATTTATATATATATAATTAGACATCCCATTCCTATGTTTGGTTATAGCTTTAGTTAGTTTCAGAATAGAAACTGACATAGGTGAATTGAGCTACATATGTCAGCGTACATAAACTACCTAACCAAACTGGAAAAACAATTTATTGTACACTGTACATCAAGTATTGTAGTACCAAAAACCTAGGGGTTTTTTCCCCTTAAGACGCTAGGCACAAGCCAGGGATTGTTTTTTTACATTACTTCAGGCTAGACAAAGGGGTTGCGGCCTTATCACTTATAATAATTTAATAATAAATTACTGGGAAAAATCCATTTGTGATTTGGCAGGATTTGAACCCGGTACCTCATGGACCGAAGTCCCGCACTCTAACCACTAGACCAGATTGTTCCCCCAACCAAAAACCTAGGGGAAATATTATTTGTAGCCTTGGCTCTTTCGACAATGTTCAATTTGAACTGATAATAAAACTTGGGTACCCCAGGTCCATATGAAATGTCTACTTCGGTATCCCAAGGTCAATAGTCCCACTTATCAAAGCTTCACCTTATTGTTACGTCACTGACAATTACGACAAAATGAGATATTAACATACTAAATTACAGAGTACTACAACAACTCACTGATCTCTCGCTGGTTGCTGTTGTTGATGTTAGGTGGAGGGATCGGTGTAGAAGCTACTGGATGTTCCCCCCTTTCCACATCATCATTGGACTTGACCTCCGGCAGAATGTCGTACTTCCTGTTGCCTTTGTAGCCTTCGGACACATCACCTCCGACGGAGAACCGACTGGAAAATAAACTGTACTGTAGTCGTGGACACTTAAGGTGGACCCATGGGTTGGAACTTGGAAGAGGTAGGATGGTGAGGTTAGGGGCAGGTGACTTGGGGTAGAGAGGCTAGGTAGGGCTGAATGAATGCATCCAAGGACAGGGAAAACCAAGAAAAACTTTGATTCCGCAGTAGTCCTTTAAACAACATAAACTAACCAGCTAAGTGAACTTCCAGTTACCTGTGTGCTATTGTCTTAGTCTCGGGCATGGTGGCGTACAAGTCCAGTAGGTAGTACACAGTTTTCCAACACCTAGGAGTGACACTTTCCTCCTTGTTGACTGCTAGTCCTGGAGCAGCCAGTGGGGCAGACTCCCCCAGGTTCAGGTATCCTGGAACAAGAAGACATTCTTGAAGTAGAGTGTTATATGGTTGGGACAACAAAATTATCAATTATATTTATAAAATGATGATATGGTAAATGGATAGTTATCAAGAAGTGGTAAAATGGATTAAATGGTATTGTTCACAAAACGGCAAACACTTTTTTCTATTAGAGGAGAGGTAAGGATAGAAACGGGAAGTTGGAAAAATGTAGAGAAACTTAAATGAGCATTCCGATTCAACCCTGGAACTGGGGGAGAAGAGAATTGTCTATAGATTTGTCTTAAACTTGTTCTCCTATGAAACCAATAAAAAATAACTTCAATTATCTAGATAGTCCAGTTGTTGTAGGAATATAACCAGGGTTTGGAATTGGTTGCTCCTTACAATCAAACTTAAAAGGGCTTCTGTCATCAAAAACGCCTCAAAAAAGGAATTATACCAGAAAGGAAAATGAGAATGAGAATGAGATTTTTTTTTGTTTTGCCAGTTAATATTCCATACAAATACATTGGCACGTCAAATTAGTCATGATAAATAAACAGTGACAAGCTTAATCATGTCAGCAATAAAATTATAACATATAAAGTGCAAATAAATAAATTAGTACAGGTATATCTCAGACATACACAACAGAAATATTTTTAGTGGTTACAATATACAAGTACAGTAGAGTCCCGCAAACTCGGCTCTCGATAACCCGGCAGTCTGGATAACTTGGCCATCACTTGGCTCAGAAAATTAGTGATTTTTTGAGTCCGAGTTAATCATTCAATTCAACTCAAGCGAGCTGAAGTCAAATTATTCGCAACTCGTACTAATGATTTGTTGAACTATTATCTGATGACTCAATACTGACTTTTAATATAAATAAAAATCAAGAAGGCGGTTAAAAAGTTTAAAATTTGTATTGTTCTTATTTTTAACCATACTTCCCGATAACCCGGCATTTCACAAACTCGGCACCCTTCCAGTCCACATTATATCGAGTTTGCGAGACTCTACTGTACAGTAAACTGAATTTAGGTTAGTTAATTTTTCTTGTAAAACAAAACCCCCCCCCCTCCCAAATGTTCACCCAACTCCATACACAATTGATGTGCATAAGCCTAAGAGCAGTAAATGTTCAAAATGCAATCAACATACCTCTAACGCTCCTGCCAGTAGACCGGAGCCGTTCAGCAAACGACGTGTGACGAGACCTGACAGACGACGCAGGTGACGTGATAGGTTTGGTCTCGCTGGGTGAGTGGGGGAACGGCAGACGACCTTTGTCTAGATCAGGCACGGTGGTCATCAGAGGTATGGACATCTCTGGTCCATCTAGGGCTGTGGACATCAACATACCATAGCATATTGTATTAAGACTGTATGGCATTTAGTGAGAATATAATGACTTAATGAGATGAGATTTTATTTTGATAAATTTTTTTCCAAGACGAGATTATAAAATAAAACAAAAAAAAACCATAAAACGCATGCAGAAAGTCAATGCAATACCCGCAATACAGGAGCGCGTTGTTGTTACATTTCCTTTGCGAAGGCGTTCTTATTAAATTAATTCTTAACATCTTAATATTGCTTTAATTGTTTTATAATTTTTTGTTTTTAAATCGCAAATGATGAGAATTTTTTTTAGATGTAAGCAGTGTGAGACAAGTTTTACTAGGCACTGTAAACATAGCCAAAACAAGTCACTCCAAAATCATTCTAAAAATAACACAAGACTGAACAATTGTTACTTAATACAACATAAGTTAATAATAAGCTAATAAAACTGATGTTTTAGGCTAATAAATTTTGTATTTTTCAAAGTTGAACTGTATCCTAACTGATATCATCATGTTTCCTATGTGGAAGAGTGATTTTTAATAAGGTAGGCCTAATAATAATTGGGGTTTTTTTTTAGTAGAGAAGCAAAGCTCTTTGGGATCAACTTTAATGCAATCTTTATAACAAAACTCAATAACGGCTGAACACATTTTAGCCAAACTTACCAAGGTTATTTTGTCAAATGTTTGGATGGTTTAAACGTAACCAATTTCAAGTTTTGATAATGCCTATATAATTTAACAGTAACTCAAAGTTATTAAATTTTAACATTGGCCTTATGGGTTGCCATGATGGTTACAAAATAACAACGTAAATGTAAACAAAACAATGAATCATAGCATATGTTAAAATCAAGTAACGACCTAAAACACAGTAAAAAGGAAAAAATTTGGATGAATACACAAGAGATCAAATAATACAGAGAAAGTCTTTTAAGTTTACATTTAAGATTTAAGTCACAATTTGGAAACGACCACTGTTCAAATAAGTACAGTCATAGATAAAACATACTGTCATCAATCGTATTTGTAAAAAGTAATAATCCATTATGCTGGGTTATAATTTTGTCATAACAAAATTACGTAAATGTATGATTCAAGTACAAGTCTTACAAACAGAATTAACGGTATTACTGCATCCGCAACACAAAGCCGTTATACGTATTTCCGAGCAATACGCGTTCTTTCCCGACAAAGCCTTCCCCTTTCTACCATTACCAACAATAAGAACCGCCCCGCATCGTCCAACTTACCATGTGTCTAACTGTTTTATCGGCCTGTTCAAATAGAACCAAAAAAATGTGTACAAAAATACTTGGAGAAAATATTGATTGCGGCATTGAGTTAAAATAAAAATTACCAAATTTAACAGCATTTTTTGGTTAAAAGCGAGGCAGTCTAAGGTACAAACCTGATACCACAGCTGGGGGAGTCTTAGCCACAACTTTGTTGTCGGGCTGCTGCTCTCTCAATTCTGATTGGGTCTCTTTCACATTCTGGTACATGTTGCTGATCTGGTGCAGCAGTCGTAGCAGGGGCATGTTTACCTACACAGAGAGTAAAATAAAAACAGTTTTATACATTAGGGTGTACTTGAATTACCTTGGTATCTAAGAATAAATTTCTTGAAAATACATACCGTAGACTGTCAGTTAAGGGTCTGCAGGTCCCCGATATTTTAGAGCCATGTCGGGCCAAAAATATTTTTCAGGCCTAACTTGGCTCAAGTCGAGCTGAGATTTTTCTTTTGCGATTGCAAAAAGAGATGTCACTCAATGTCACACATGTGTTCAATGTCACTCGAGATAGAGAATCGTCGATTTCACTTTGACCAAAGAAAAGCTATACATTTTAAAAACTTGTCATCACCGTTGAAGATGTTCATAAGCCGAGACTGTAGAAGAGACTCAAGAAGAAGATTTTGCCATGGCTGCAGAAGATATTCACAATTTTTCCCGTGACCAACGAAGATCCTACTAGATTTTTCTGTATCTGCGAAAGACGTTCATGATTTCATTATGGCTGCGGAAGACAATCCCAATTTCCTCCCAGTCTAAGGTTGATATTCACGATCTTGTAGTGACCGCTAAAAACTTTCATGATTTTACTGTGATCATGGAAGATGTTCACAATTTCAAAGCCATGGGAGAGATAATAAAATATTATAAACATGCATAAATATAAATACATTATTTGACTATCACTTATATTTTGATAAATCAATACTTTTCCAACCCACAATTTTGGCTTGAGACCTGAGCGACAACATTTTTGACCCAACCATACATGCTCACAACCGTTCACTCACCTGTTGGGAGATGTAACGTACTGACACGCTGACGTTAAGCGCAGTGTTGGAGTGTTTCTTGAGTTGTCCACGGCTCACGTACAACATGTTGCGGCGTTGTCTACTCAGGTCCTCTACGATGGTCATGTCTGCCAGTCTGCAAAGCTCGAGCTCAACCCCGACACGCTCGCACAGGAAAGCTGGAGTCTCAGGAGGGATCTCCAGCCAGAACTTGTCTGTCAACAGTCAAAATATTAGTTTGTAACCTAAATGGGGCATACTGCTTGGAGATCGAGCTGGCATAGTGGTTAGAGCGTGTCCCGAGTTCAATCCCCGCCAAGTCACCAATGGATTTTATCTAAGTGATAATGCTGCAACCCCTAGGACTAGCCTGAAGTAATGTGAAAAACAATCCCAGGCTCTTGCCTACAATCTTAGGACAAAAAAAAAATTGCTTGGAGATATACCACGTGAAGAATCACTAGTACCATTACCTTCAAAAAACTGTCCTAATTCACTCTTCCTAAAATAAATCTGTTAGAGGTATAGTTTCCTCATTAAGTATTCCTTGAATCATATCAGAAACCTGTTGAATCATATCATTCTTCTCACATAAACAGTGTGAGCGCCTAACCACGACTGTTAGGGGAGGATCTGTTATCTTGATCAGCTGATGGCATTATCTTCTTTTATTTTGATTTGTCAATGCATCCTTTAATTTCTTTCTCTATTAACGTATTGTAAACAGGGCTAATGTCAATGGATGGGTTGGCTAATGAATCTTTATCCAAAGAAATAAACAAAGTCTCAATAATGTTCCTTTTCTTCCAATTAGGCTCCTTGTGTAATACACAGCTTTCTTCCAACGTTCCCAGAAAGCTCACAGGTGCTCACAACGTTTACGTGAGAAGAAAAAATAACCTTGAAAACGCCGCACCAATATCAAACGTGGAGAAACGTTGGAGTTGAGAACTTTAGTCTGTGATTTTATATTTAGTTTTATTTTTATTTTTGTATTTTTATCTATGTACATGTGCAATGAACTGTGATATGTGATATGACAAGGACTGTGTTCTCCTGATTTCAATAAGTTGAGTGTTGCCCAAAAATATTTATCATACTTAAATGGAATAGTCATGAAACTTGTTTTGAACAATCTAAGATTCGGGGAGAAAGGTCCGTAATATGAACAAGAAGAGTTAAAAAGAGCCAAAAAAAATATTTTCAGAGACACTCAGCTTAAATGAAAATAATAAACAACAAATCCTGAGGAATGAATATAATCAGTGAGAAACTTTGCTGTTCATGATCGGTAGAGGAATTTTTCTGAGTATAATTTGTGTTAACACTTTAAAAGGAAACTTTAGATAATCATTTAACTCTTTTAACCTTGTCTCTAACTTTAGAATGTATACAGCAGTATTAAACTTACCTTGAGGCTTGTTCTTGCCTTGAGCAGATCCGGGTTTGTTCCCGGGCCTGCCTCTCTTGTCCTGGGGTTTGCCAAACTCACTGACCACAATGTCAATCCTCATAGCCTCCATACCTCCCACCAGGGACAGGTTAGATCCCCACGAGTCCAGCGAGTTGTTGCCGCTTACTGGAAATGGCAAAATATTTCAAATGGATATTCCAGCTGCCCTTGATCATAGGGACAGCAATAAATTTTCCTGACTAATGAATCATCTGATCTTAGTCAGTGACAAAGCTTTACAATCTCACTCCATTCTACACTCACCATGCATTCCCATTAAAATAAGTACTCAAGTGCGTCTCACTGTCTCAAAAAAGCTGTCTCAAAGCTTTGAAATAACAGACTCAAAACTTACACATACACACTCGTCTGAGCCACCGAATTGTGAAGATGTGTCCATAGGGTTCTCTTTCCCATTATTTTTTTAGTATTAATTATTTTTTTTTAGAAGGTTTTTTTTTCTTTTTACTACATCAGTGTTTTCTGATTATCCAACTTTTCTGCATTTGTATTTGTGTACAGTACTTGTTATGTTGTATACTTAAGTAGACTAGACATCCATTTACATGGACCAATAGACCAATCTATTCAAAACGAACATATTGGAAAGAGCCACTCAAAGAATGCACTTAAGTCTAAAAATGCATATTTCTGCCCTAGTTTTTGTCACTAGGATAGTTGATGTGACACACAAATGCTACAGCTTATAATAAGTAGTCTTATCAATTTGACTCGGATAAATGTTGCTGTATTCAACAGAAATCAGTACTAATTTACATCAGCACAATCTGTTGGCTCAATTCAACTACGTCCATTGATTCATAAAACTTTTGACAACATGACCATGGACATGGAATGTCTAGTATCAATAATTAAATTTTTTGACCTAACAACGGGGTCAGATCCCAGATCGCAAAACGTCACAGGGTTTTTTACTTGCGACTATTTTCCGAGCAATCATTCACAACACAACTGACACATAGATCAAAAGGCTACTTACTGGCACTGCTGAGCATCTGCTGAGGCATGACTCCGAGGCTGGACAACAGAGGTTCAAAGATGAGATGAGCGTCGAGCAGCCGCAGGTTGTCATGCATCGGGTAGAGACTGTAGCCTGCAGCGGCCAATAGCAGATAGTCTGGGTTGACCATGGACGAGGCGTTCGCCACACTCACTCCCACACGGCCGTTCTCCATCTTGGGCTCACCCTGCGAGTGATAGGGCTATTACACACTGATATCAAGCTGGACACTTGAGTTGGTTGCAGTAGTGTATAAATAATTGCTTAAAGTTGTCATAAGTGGCATTTTGTTCACATGCTATGCAAAACAGCTGATTTCTGAAAATTTTACTTTGCTCTTACCCACTACTTTTCCTTAGGCCTACTCTAAATGACAACTGGGCAGTACAAAATTTAAGCTACGATTATAACTAAATAATAATCAAAAGGAAATGGACCTTGTGAAGATGTAAACAATGTTATCGTTTAACAAAAAGGGAGTTATTAATTTCTTAGGATGATTAACAGTATGTACACAGAGAGTATGTTTTGTTTGCCGAGTTTTGAAGTTGGCAATGACAAAGTTTATATTTAATTAATTATGCAGCTCAGCCAGAAAACATTTTAACCTCAATATTTTAAGTACGCTTTGTTGAGCAAATAATTTTAGGTGTCTTTTTTAAACTCTATAAAATTTTTCTCTCGTTTTAAAAAGTGCCACTTAGCTCACTAGTTCCACAAATAACCATTTCTCCTATTACATTGTAAAGAATAACAGAAAGTACCGACCCAGAAAGCGCCCTTGTTGATGACTCCGGGCTCGATCTTGTCACCAGTGTCAACAAAGTCCTGATGTTTTGCCATCCATGTGTAAAGATCCTCTCCATCCTTCGGGACACCCGGAGACAGATTCTGGTCCAGGCTTGAGTTGGAGGGTTGACTGTCCGGGGCACCCATGTTTAAGCCGGATAGGCTCGGGTGGGAAGAGTGAGACTTGTAGTCCTCCTTCAGAGCTGAGTATCCGGTGTTGAAAACTGAAGAAAATTGTAGTATTACTTCAAACACGAAAAATTACTATAATTTTATACTAATGAAACAACTGATCTTAGCCAGTAAAAAATCCACACAAGAAATAATGTCATTAATTAAGGTCAAAGTATTGTATGGTTAAATAGTTTTTAATGAATAAAATAAATTTTTAAGAGCTTTCAAGCAACCTGATTGTTTGATCCTGTTCTGGTGTGTGATAGGTTTTTTCCCTAAAAATACATCTAAGTGCTCTTGATCTTTAACATTGATGTCAAATAACTATGTCATCAATCTGATTTGTTAAATTACACCACTCAGCTTTTCCTAGCTCAACTATGTCACAAAACCCATCTCTTACGTCACTTCCCCCTTTACATCACTGGAGTGTGAGCTGGTTTAGTGGTAGAGTGCAGGAATTCGGTACCTGTGGTGTTGGGTTCAAATCATTCCAATAACCAATGGGTTTTATAGTGATAGCGATCTTTAGGTCAAGCCTGAATTCATGTGTGACAACAGTTCCGGGATGGAGCTAGAAAAAAACCCATCAAGCCCCCCCCCTCCCAAATTAAGTTGCCTCCAGTTTTTTCCGGCCTTGTTTTCATACTACTAACTACCAACGGGGTTTGCTGCTGCAAAACATTGTTTTACTAACTAACACATCTTGTGTCCAACTAAAAAAAAGCTTTTTGTAAAACTACATCTTGTATGGCTTCATTATCAATCGCAGTTAGAAAAAAGTAAAAGAGAAAGAAGTGGAGGGAAGTAAAAATAAACCATAACTAGCAGCACACTCAACTTTGATGTCAACTTCAATATACAACATCACTGCTGTAAAGCATCATCATGGAATTCCGCACAATAACTAAAAAATCTACTCTGACGGATTATTCTGCAATTACACAGTTACACAACTAACGCACCCATATTCTTGTCGCCGCCGTGACTGTCCGTACGCCGATGTTGATGTGGTAGAAACGGATTTGTGTTGTTCAGCAGCGGGAACACTATACTGGCCCGGGAGGAGGACGGTGGATGAGAAGGTAACAGAGACTTCTTACGACCCACCGGCTGCAAAATAACATCAATCAATAATCTTTCTCATAAACTCCTCATCAATCTAACTTACACTCGGGAAAAATTCATTTTCATACCAAATGACTCTCTTCTTATGGAGATCTATTAGCCCCAAGGATCTTAATCACCTCGGAATGGTCTATGAACTCATTGGCCTTGCCAAAAACTGAGCACAATGTTTTTAAACAATTCAATGGCAATACTTACAAAACTATTAGAGTAAAGGAAAATATCGAAATCTAGACTGTAAGACGTTCTAAGAGTGGCTCATTCCACTAAGTTATTTTAAATACAAATTAGCTAGTCCTGGTCCATACAGACGGAAAGACTACAGTATTTCAAAAACCAAAAGTCAATAGTAGCCTATTAGGTTTTATTTTCATACTAAAAATCTCAAAACTGGCCGATCGAATCTCAAAATCAAAACTTCTCCAAAGTTTTGGTGGTTTTGATACATCACTCACTACTCCATATCAGTCACATCACTTATATCCCCACCTGTTGTACAGAGTTGGGTGACGTAGGAGAGCTGAACACCAGGCTGTCCATGGGTGTGAGGTGGTGGGGGGAAGGTGCAGCGGGACCTCCGACAGCAGCCCCAGGCATCACAGCGGGGGGCATAGGCCTGGCGGGGGCAGCTGGGGACACAGCTGGAAGAGTGCAGTTAACACATGTTAGCAAGGGTAGTAGAAATTGAAATATCATTCATATGGATATTACATAAGTTAATTAAACTCTGATTTTAAAAAGAAATTTCAATAAAAACTGTATTAGAGTAGAACCCCTAATACCCGTCCTCGGAATTTCCAGTCCTCGGTTTATAATGGTCACTTCCCAGAATCGATACCAAAAATATTTCCCACGGCTCTACACATAGTCTCCATGATTCGAGCATTCTCACGCTTTATATGTTTCCTACATTTTTAGCGGGTTCAGTAGCGTACTCAGTTGAGCTAGTATATTCCCAAAAGAGACTTAAACACTACTTTTAACCAATCACAAGTTGACAAGTTGTTATTAGATACAAATTGTTATCCGGCCAGGGACTCGAGGAGGGAATACACCAGAGTTCCGCTAATTCAATCATCTGACTAATCTGAACCACCAATTTTAAATTTTTTGTGGTGTTTAAATTTTTTAAATCTAAGTTACAATATGTGCTATATGCTCTGGAATAATAACCAAGATGTCCAGCCAACCAGAAAACCAGGAATTGAACATGAGTTTTGATAACTGGAAAAATAAGAGCTTTAAGGAACCGGGAGATTTGGAAAAATTACAAATAGCCTATAGTTTATAATCCAGTCTTTCAACGATATTACGTTGTTTCTTTTTTAAGGTCATCATGAAGAAAGAAAAACACAATTGTAGGAGATGAACATAGGTGGTACCGAAATCGTAGTAGGTAATCGAGAGCATTTTGCAATCTTAGAAGACAGTAAGTGTGTTGTCTTATACGCGAGAGAGCAGTACATGGCCAAAATTGTAATAGCAAAAAATCTATAAAAGAGATAGAGTTTAACAAGAACCCAATTAACTACAATTTACTAACTACATAAAATACAGTAATTTCAAAATATTTGTGGGTAATTACCAAAGCTATTATGTACTATACACAAGCTATTAATGCTATTATTGTAGACTTACAACTTATATTTTTTAGAAACATAACCTACAGTTTTACCAACAAAAATAAGAATTTAACAAAAACTTGACAGAGAAAAAGTAGTTGATAAAATATCTCATTCATGATTAAAATATAAAAAAAATAAGAGCAAAAATTATCCAAAAACCAAACATAATTTAACAAATTTTCAAAAATAGTAAGGAAGTTGTGCGTTTACTATTAAAATATTAAAAAAATAAAATAACACAGAAAAAACAAAAAAAAATTTAAAACTAAAACTAACAAAACCAAAATCACTCCCAAACCTCAGAAAAGACTAAACTATAAAAACACAAAAAACTAAAAAAACTAAGAAAAAGCAACACACAAAAACAAAAAAAGCCACAAAACGACAAAAACGGAAATGAAATGAGATGAGGTGTACCGTGTTTGTGTGCGGCTGCCGTGGCTTTGAGGACTTTGTGCAATGTGGAACCTCCGTCGGAGTTAAGCAGCATGGCGCACTCATCAGTGACTTCACACTCCTCACCGCTACCTTCCCCCTCCCCTTCGCCATCACCGTCCGTTAGCACATTCTCCTGCACACACTCACCGCTCAACATACTGTACCTGCCATGTGCTAAGTTGGTGTCCCTGGATGAACATTACGGTCGGTTTCCCTAACGGAAGGATTCGGTTGCCGAATATGGCTGTGTTTTTGGCGCCAACTCAACGTACACGGGTCAGTTAGAGGGGTTTTTCTAGCTGCCAAATTCGGCTGAGACTGTATCCACCGAGACAGGTGACTGCTCTAACAGCAGTTAGTCTCGCACTCTATAGTGACATAGACATGCTCCTCGACTGTTTTTTAGTCGAACTGTTTTTGTATAGTGCAATAGTGCAATAGTTAATTTTAACGGTTCTAAATTGTAACAATGGCTTTGTGTCAATAATTTTAATTGGTTTAATAATTGTACTTTCGTTACTTTAAGTTCTGAATGATGAAATTCAATAAATTCATCTTTAAATTAAGACAAACTGAACATAAACTATCTTCGTGGCTAATTGCCATTTTTTATTTTGTTATTTTACTAAGATTTTTTTATTATTTATTGGGTTTTTTTTTAGTTTCAGATATTTTTCCCCCATTTAATTTAGTTTCTTTTCTATACAAATCATTACAATAATGAAATGTTGATGTTTTAAATTATATCCGAAAGATGGTCTTTAAGTCAATTTTTTTTATAGTCTTTGAACTAAAACTTGTCTACTAAGGACAGTTAACATTTTGAGTTTTAATAGGCCAATAGGCCCTATTAGTTTTAAGGAATTTCTGTTTAAGTTTTGACTCAAACTGTCCTAAACCCAGTTTTTAACTAAGGAACCCGTGTGAATTAAGACATTATTATTCATCATAATTTTTTACTTATTATTAATTCAGGGAAACTTGTGTTTGCCTGTATTGTTGTTTATAAAGTTTTTGTTGGACATCAATTTAAAAGGGGAATTACTGTAGTTTAGTGAACATTTAAATATATTTATGAAGTTCTCCTAGAAAAGTTTTTTAAAGACACTAATATAAAGGATATTTTAAGAAACAACCGTTTAGGCGAAACTTTTTTTATGCACATCAGTAACTGGTGGGCGAAAGTATAAGGTTTTGTTTGAAAAGTGTATACAAATTCTTAAACGATAAGCACCTAAATACTGGTAACTTCTAAAATTAAGGTGATTGTAACTCTATGTGAACTACTGTAACAAACATAACCTAACTCTTACCCTGTAAATGACATCAACAATATACCTAAATGTTCAGATGATGTCGAAGAAGACATTATGTACACAATATGGCCTGACTGATCGGAAATACAAATGTTAACAGCAGTGCAGTTTCATGCTTAGTTCCAGATACTTCACACCGTGTGTTAGGTTAGAAAAGCGCAATGCCAAGCCCAAGCCATACCAAGCCCTGATAAGCTCCGACAACAAATGCTTACTGAAAATCTCATCCTCGCTGTTTATTGACAGATCCCGAGCGGAAAGGTGGTCCTCGGAATAGTTGACCTGCTCAACAACAACATATACATTGGACGGTGAGTCCGTCCTCATCAGAAAACACAATCGTGCTTTTACGCTGAACCAAAGTTTATTAGAGCCAAAAACTATAACTAATGAATATACTCAAGGACTAGGTGACTATTCAATATTTATGGAACTGACAATAATTAAAAAACACTAATGAACTTTGGCTACAATAAAATGTTTGATTACTTTTAATTCAGAAATTGAAAATGTTACGTTTCATTTTAAAAATATGAAAAAGAATAATAACTGTAATATGTTATCTCAAAACACAAAAATCTTCTCTTTTTTTTATAAATAAGATCTTTCCATTAAATATAATTTTCAAAAAAAGTGCCATGGTTAGAATAATTTTATTTGAGGTAAGGTATGTTCTAAAAATATATATTTATTATCTTTTGAAAGTTGAAACTGAACTAAAGTTGATCGATTTCGAAGAATTGCACATAATGCAGTTTTTATTCAATGATCAACAATTAAAAGGAATGCAAATAGTAATTAATGATTTAAGTTCATCATTAGAAGCAATTTTGTTAAATTCTATAAAACCAAACTTCAAGCAGTAATCTACATTTTTATCCCACAAATCAAGTTTACCCATGCTATTAATTAACATATCACATTATTTTGTAACTACTGGACATACCAATTTTTACTTCAGCTTTTTAAAGTAATCAAATAATTAAGGTTTCAAAATTACATTTTTACTTAAAAAAAAAAAAACTCATTACAAGTGAAATAAAAATTATTGTCTCTTGGACTAATAAATAATAAATAAATAATACTGTACTCTTTTTTTATAAAATTTCCATTGTAATTTATTCCTATATTATTATTTTTAACGTAAAAAACCCAATGAAAGAAAACTCTATATAGCTTATTGAATGAGATAATCAAATTTCATAAATTTATAATGTTTACATTCATTAAAATAATAAAATGAGTTATAATATTTAGTTTAATAGTTGGTAAAAATAAAAATATACCCTGAACAAAATAATACGCTTGAGGAAAACATTTCATACAAATTTAATGAAAACAACTTATAATTTTTGAATTTTTACAATGAAAATAAACTAGCAAGATACAGATGAAAAAATGCATAAAGTGTTAATGAATTCAAGTAGGTACAGCAGAACCTATTTAATCCGAACTAATTGGGACCGGAGGTAGTTCGGATTATTGAATAGTTCGGATTACAGAACATATTGTTGTTTTTACATAACAAAGCTAGGGAAAAGTGAAAAATGCTTTCTAAAGTAGAATACAGAGTTTATATAATAGAGTATTAAACATAAGGAATAAACAATAGGCCTACTATACATTACAATTGAAATAACTATGGTGCGTATATCAATAAATACAGTATACATACAATAAAGAACTACTGTACTGTGTATAGAGTACAGCAATGATGCGTTCGGATTAGTGGACGTTCGGATTACAGGGGTTCGGATTAAAGAGGTTCTACTGTAACAACAAATGAAATATAAATATGTTTTAGAAGTCGCTGCCATATGAAAGATTTTAAGTAAAAAAAAAATAAATAAAAAAAAATAACTTTGAGTTACTGATAGTAATCTGTATATTTAACATTTGCAGAAAAAGCCAAAAGAACCCATTTGGTGTAAAAACATAGACAAATAAAATAAAAGCGAAATGTAGCACAATTATTTTACATTAAGTGTTACTACATATAAAATATTACAAAATAAAACCGAATGGTGAACAAGCAAGGGAATTTATAATCAACACGGAAAGCATAATAATCATTACTAAACCGTTACAAGCTGCTTCATAAAATACAGTTTAAAGTGTTCAACGCCAACGGATACTTTAAAAGCTGAGACACTACGGACATTACAACTATTTTAAGCACTTTAGCATGCATCCGGAACCGAAACCAATTAGAAATTGCGTTCAAAGAACTACTTGTGTGTATGGTACATTTGTGTGAGTGGAATTGTAAGAATAATTATTGAATTCTCTAAACCAACATTATTTTAGTCAACCGCACCCAAAAAGTGATGTTAATATAGCCTAAGAATGTCAAAGGGAGGGAATATCCTAGTTTTAACTATACATTTTATTGTAAATTGTTTTTACTTTATCAAAAAGATATACAGGAACAGTGGCAACAAAATATAAACAGTTTTAAAATTTATTAAAGTTACTGAGGAGTTAAATCAAATTACCAATTTGAAAATTAGCCCAAAAAAATTTAAAACATTTACAACAATGTGTAACAAATTATTTGATTACACATCACCAAGGAAGGTTTGAAGGGATATTCAATGCTAGGAATTATAGGAGCTAAAAACTATTGAATTCCACAGAAAGGCACCAAGAGTTGTATAAGAATTGAATTATAAAAATTGCAATAATTATAATAATATTGCTTTCTACTTTCTATTTCTATGTTTCTCATATTAGAGCAAAAATATATTGCTACGCTTTTATAATAAAGATTTTTAGATTTTTACACTTCAAAATCTGGGAATGTATCTTAAAATTGTCTATACCATTATAAATAAATGGGGATAAAAAATAAAATATTATACAATATTGGATTCCCTAAAACAATGAAACAATAAAATAAACAATAAAATTCAATGTATTTCATTTAGCAACCTATGTGAGTGCTTTGCTATTGCATATTTAACTGGATATTTTGAAAATAAAAAAAATGGTACTGAAGACAAATATATTGATTTATTGATTAATTCAATTCATTATTTGAGTATTTAAGAATTGTTTTAGTTTACATATTTAAGTAAAAACTTAGACGCGAGGGTTCTTACCTCGTCCGGATCCGGGATGGCAAAAGTGACATTCATCGGTTTCCTAAGTAGGTTTTTAGTCTTGAAGTTGTGTTCTAGCAGTAGAGGGGTATAGAGAATGTTTTTCCACTGACGACTTAAGACAATAACTCCCTGGAAAAAAAGATAATATAATATACAAGTTGCAAGGTATTAATTTAAAAAATTCTGTGTTTAATGTTAGTTAATATATTACAGTAGGCAGGGGACATGAGGACCTTAAAGAAGATATATTGGGGGAGATGTTTAGGGGTTTTCTATAAAAATGGGTAAGTTCCAAAGTTTGGCCTTGGGCCGCAAGTACGCTGAATTCGGCACTACTTGAAGTATACTTACTTACTGCCGTGGCTCCACAAATCTCAGTTGATTCTTCGCCTCGTGTACCAGCCTCTTCCACCCTTCTCTGTCTTCTGCCAAGTTGATACTTGCACCCATTGTCCTGATGTCGTTCAATACTTGGTCAGTCCATCTCAATTTCGGCCTTCCCAATGGACGTTTACCTCCTGGAGTGGCTCTCCAAACTTCATATAGTCTTGTTCCTTTCTCTCTTCTTAGCACATGCCCTATCCAACTTAACCTTCTTCCTTTAACTATTGCAACAATATCTGGGTCGGTGTATAGTGATCTTAACTCTCTATTTTTCCTTATTCTCCACATTTGTCCCTCTTGTACTGGACCAAATATTTTCCTTAGCACTTTATTTTCAAACACTATGAGTCGGTTTTCATTTTTCTTGGACAATACCCATGTTTCACTACCATATAACAGAATAGGTTGAATTATTGTTTTATATAACTGTAATTTGGTTCTGTGAGATAGTACTTTAGATGAGATCAACTTCTTGCAGGCTCCCCAACACTTATTGGCATTTGATAACTTAGTTAGTATGTCTTCGTCTTCTGAGTTTCTACTATTTACAGTTACTCCTAAATATTTGAAACTTTCTGTACAATTTATAGTTAAGTTCTTTATCTGTATGTTTCTGTTTCTATTGTTTGCTTGTCTTCCAAAGTTAATGATTTTAGTTTTTTCTACATTTACTTGCAATCCTATTTTGTTAGCTTCTGTGATAAGTACTTCTGCCAAACTTACCAAGTTTTCAACTGTTTCTGACAAAATGACTACATCATCAGCAAATGCTAAAATGTTTAGGTCTACTCCAAGCTTAACACCCAATCCTAGTTCTTTTGTTTTCTGCAGGGCTTCTTCCAGTGCTAAGTTGAATAGTATGGGAGATATGCCATCTCCTTGTCTTACACCCGTGTTGATGGAAAACTCCTCAGATAGATCTCCTTCCACTCTCACTTTGGCTTTTGAGTCTTTCATACACATTTCTGTTAGTTTAATACTGTTAGTTTAATACTTGAAGTATGAAACAGGTAAAATGTGGCCAATGTAAGTTTAAATGACTACAATGAATTAATGAGCCAAAAACTATTATCCTGAACAACAAAATAAGAAGAAAAATATCAGTCTACATTCAACTAAACGAACCAGGAAATAGTGCTATACAAATTGAGTCTTTTAATATATCTTTTTAAACCTTTCAATGATGTCCCATTCACTATGTTTACAATTATTACAGTCTTGACTTGCCTGTCTCAGTGTAGACAGATGCGGCAGGTCAGGTTCTCTCAGGTTATTCTCAATGTTTGATGTCGTCTGCAGCAGATACTTCTGTAACACTGTACACAGCTGACACGACGGGTCTTCTTGTAACGTCTTGGAGAGCGGAGTGAACCTGCCGTAGCGACTCTGCAAAATAATGTCAAAATGGGTGATACAATTTGAAAAGGTATTATTTTCTTAATAAAGAATTTAAGAGGCTGAGGTATCTATATTAATTGCTTAATCGAACAAATAACATTTTGTAAAAACGTTTATGACATTTGAGAAAAATTGCAGGCAATTGGTTGATTTTGAGTGTAAAAGAAAACTGCCTGATCCCTATAATTTTCACTATCCAACCAATAACAATACTACAATACGCTACTAGCTTAGTGCATCTCGGGAAGTGACTGGATTCAACCCCCAACATGTCCATAAAAATTTGGAGTTTGCACTGCTTTCCCTTAGATGTGTTTGTGACTTAACCATCAAAATGTCACTGACATAAATACTAAAAAAACGTTTGGTAGGCCTAGTTAAGACATTTTCAATAATCTTGCTCTGATTCAAATTAGCAGGTGCCAACTGTCAATTTTTGGGTAAAAAATAGAAAATACTGTGGGTGTGTTTCAAAAGACAAATTTCTTTCCAAACAAACATTTTGTAACAACATTTGTTACCTTGACAGGCATATGTATCCCTTGTATGTCCAGTGCCTCGGACATCAGACATGTGACGATGGCAGTGCTGCGACGGTAGTGACATCGCAACATGTGTACTACTCTGATGGCAAACCTGTTGCTGGGGTTCATCCATGCGTTGATGGCCGGAGAAGCAGTACTCAGAAGGTTCCAGTCCAGCCTATAAACAAATGCCTTTATTTGCAAGTGAGTTTCATTTTAAAATGTTTTTAAAATTGATAAACGTCCACATTAAAATTCAACCCAGTTCAAAAGTTACATATTGACCATTACGAGAATAGTTACAAAATCAACTATACATTTTTTTTTTCACTGTGATGAAAGTGGTCAATGAGAGTTCTACGAAAACAGATCTTCTTCTTGTACAGTACTTAGGTCTCTAGCTGAGGTACCGACACCCCAGGTATGAAAAAACTACCCCCGCCGCAGAAAACCTGCAGACTTAGCGAATTTCCATTTGCCTGATTGGATTTACACTAAAATGTCTCCTTAAAAATATCACATTTCCACATTTGTTCCCTATTTAAACAGAATTAGTGTAACGAGTACTTAGGTTTGCTGCAACAGGGAGGGTAAAAAAGTTTTTTTTTCATGTAAAATGTTAAAAGGTACTGTAGTTTAGTAAGAAATTAATGTATTTTCCATATTTTATCAAAATATGTTCATAAACAAGCAAACTACAACAGTTGACTTATTCTCCATAAGAATAACAAGGGAATTTTAAAATTAAAATTTTTTTGAATTTCATCCGTAACAATTAGGCGCATAATAACGCTTCAATATACTAAATTATTTGTTTTTTAAGCTCTACAAAATGGTTTAGAAAGAAATTGTGAAATTTTGTGTTTTTAGGGTCAAAAATGGGAAAAACCTATTTTTACCCCATAAAACCCCCCATAAACCCCCGTTCCCATAGTCCGATCATGCTGGTTCACGAACTCATTCAAGTTTATCCCCCCTTACACCTTCAAACCAAATTTTATCAAAATCGGACAAAAATTACTCAAGTTATCGTGCGGATGGACACACACACACATATATATATAAAAATTTGAACGAATGGTGTTTTTGGCCTCTGGGGACATCAAAATGAAAAAGTAAATCGGTCCCGGGCCTAGGTCTTACCATGAGACCTACGGTAATAGCTACTTCCCTATAGGGAAATTCGCTAAAATTGTGGTAATATACATAGCACAACTTTGAAGTGACCTACCATTGAATATGAATACCAACACCAAGTTGAATAAAAGCTCAAAAATTGACATAAAAATGATCATGATAAAAAAAAACACAATACCACAGCTCTCATATTTATTTTAAATAGCTGGGGTTCTGATTGGTTAAAGCGCTTGCATAGTAATCAAAAGGTTGCCGTTTCGAAAAGTCAGCTTTTTGATTGTTCAAGACTGGACCTAGCTGCTTTAGATCATTGGGTTCTTAATAAATGGTCCTGGATACAAAAGAGTAGGTCTAAATCAGTAACAGAGCTATTCAGATAATCTTACTCCATAACACATTCACCCTGAATTCATTTTCAGCTTGAAATATGTACCAAAGAGTGTGTCCTTGTAATAAAGAATTGAATCAAATTTACCTTGTGTAGTCTATTTTTCGGGTGATGGGTGCTCGAGGTGGTGCAGCAAAGTTGAACCAAACTTGTTTCACTTCAATAACACAAGAAGATGCGTTTCCATCTTTCCCTCTAAGAGCAACAATGTTGGTCTGGGAGGCGCTGCAAAATAATCCAAAACATGTAAAATAATAGTTTTAATATAAACATGTACCTTGGTGGCATGCAAAATTTTTACCGTTCAAAGTTCTTAATTCTGACCTTGTATTACTAATGGTGCAGAAACTATAACTGATTATAATATGAAATAATATTAATTTTACACAAACGACTAACCTTGCAGCAGGGTCTGAAGATGCTTCCGGTTGGTTGGCGTCTGTTCCATTGGTCGGAGCATTGCTTGGAGTGTCTTGATGTGGAGTGGCTGGAACAATAATCAAACAATTGTAAACCGTAGTCGCTTTTGGTGATGCAAGTTGTAAAATATATTCTTAATAGTCTGAATGGTCTCTTAATAGTCTTATCTATTGTGCATTGTGCTAGTTACAAACTAATATTGAGAATAAATAAAACTATTTTAACTGAGATCCCAATTTTTTTAGTGCAGTCCTTTGATATAAGATGATAATGAATATAATGATATAAGAAACATGTACATGTTTTGTCGAACTTCAGAAAGAAAAAGGTTCAAACGGTTTAACAATCAAATTAGTGTAAGAAGTGTGTATAAAAGTGTAAAGAAATAATGAGTCATTGTGCTTGCATGCACAATTATGAAAATTTGAACAAAATGATGTTTTTTTATTAACAGCTAGCTAATAATAGTCAAAGCTAACACTACTTAGCTTAAGGGTTGGGTATATTTGTCAGTTAGGTCCAAGAATATTTGAACCATTGAAGCCTTGCTTGTATAAAGAGGATAGGGCAATCGACTAGGAAGAGCCATCAAAGGCTTACAAATATATTAAATTGTCTTTGAGGAACAATTTTGTTTCAGTCCTTCCCTAAAGTGTACTAAACAAACGACAACTATCAGCAGCTGAATGATCCCTATTGTAATCTCCCAGCTGTGTTAGCTGGGACACTAAAATTTACTTACACAAAGTTGCATGACCTAACCCTACCTTTGTCGTCTGCCTTGACCGTAGACTTGCCAGTCTCATTAACTACAGTCACTTCTATCTCTTCCTTGGATCTCACGGAGTCAGTGTAGTTTGTCTCATTCTCCCCGGGAAGAGGTTTCACTTCATCCTCCTCTTTGTCAAACTTTGACCTCTTCACGACCTGAAGAGTAAAAAGAATATTTACAATATGTTTAGTATATCAATTGTAAATATAAATAAATGTAAGTTAAGCAAAAGAATATTCTTGTAGTACTCTACATCAATTTAAGATTTTTTGTTTTTATCTGACATCAGCTGGAAAAAACACACTGCATTATAGGTACTGACAAAAATAAAAATCCATGGGTGAATCAATGAAATAAAAAATTTTCTTTGTTTGGAAAATAAACTAACAAATATTGGTATCGCTTAGCACTAAAATAAAAGTTTAAAAAAATTCATTAAATTCCAATTATAGGCCTATTTTAATAATTCATAGCAATTAAACAAAAAAGTTACTAAAGTAACGGGTTTTACCTTGAATGAAACACCTTCAAGACCACACTCGAACATGATGAAGCCTAACTTGTCTTCGGGAAGGCTGACTAGGGAAGGTTCATCACTGTTGTGCTGTAGGAGAAAATGAAATTAGATTACATACAAATTACAAACCAATCAATACATTTGCAGTTGGATTTGAGGTGTTAGCTTTAGCTTTATGTTAAACGAGGGAAAATTATCAATTATTAAGGCGAAACAATCAATTATGCAATATCGCCTAAGCAAAACTACCTTGGCTGAATTTCTATTCCATAAGTCTTGCACTCTTTCTAACATACCAAAGATCATTGGAAGCTTAAATTATTTGTACTCCTAATGTACTTTTATGGGTTGCACTTTTAGCTTGAGTTAGTTTTATAATTTTGCAGTCGAGTTATACAACAATGTTTTTTCTGAAAATAATTTTATTCAATACTATGAGTTTGGTTTACATTTTTTCGGATACTAGACTGTCCTCACCATCGCTAACATTCAAAGTTCATAAACACTAGTGTTACACTTAAATTATGATTATTGGCGATAGAATGTTAACAAGATTATAAAACTTGTGTTCCCATTAAACTGATCAACAAGTATTAAATAGACCTATTTGCACAATTTAAAAAGTGGAACATGACTATAAGGAGAATAAGTGGTATTCATCCCATTCTCATATTAAATTTGTAGCCTTTTTTTAAATTAAAATGTCACCAACTAAGTGAGCTGCAGTCAAGTACTATCGTTCTATCGTTAAGTACTATCAATTCTATCGTTCACATAGACTTTTGGCTAGGTAATATGAAAAAGCCAACTTACAATAGACTATTACATATTTTATAGCACTTAAATTATTAAGAATGGAAAACTAAGTGGGAAAATACAATTTAGGCCTTAGCGCACTCTTAGCACCTTAGCAATTTTGACCTTTTGGTGAGAAACTCATTTAAATATTTTTTAACCCCTTAACCGCCGTCTAAGTAGCCTAGTCAAAATCCGCGATCGCCACGTATTTTTGCCGTTTTTTGACGATTTTGACTTGTCATCTTAAAAATGGTACTAATTGTTTTTTTAAAGAAAATATTTATCAATATTGTTTGTAGACATCTTCAAAAACATTAAGCTTTAACAATACTAAAATTTGAGATGGGGGAGGGGGGGAGGGGGGGGTTCCTTGAGTTATAATAACAATTAGGCCTACAATAAAGTTTTTTATAACAGTACTCACCTTTTTTTCTTGAGTTTAAAATAAATGAAGTAAATGAAAAACTAACTATTTACAATATGTACACAAGCTGGTTTAGTTCCTTTTAGTAGTGCTTCAGAGTGTGATATTCTTTGAAGCAGGGAACGACGCACAAAGCAACGCCACAGTCTTCGCACATGTAACGTGACTCCCGCCTTGCTCGTTCCCGCTTCGACGTGTGTTTGCAAACGTGACACTGACGTGTTGGGTATTCCTTTTTATCTGTGGAAGGTACACACGTCGGGAAATGACGTTGCGTAAGTCTTAGTGGGGGATCTCCAGGGGATGGGCGGCCACCGGTTTTCTGACGAGGGGTCTGAGTTTGCATGTTATCTTCCAAGAGTTGACGAATTATCTCAAGATGAAATTCTTGAAGTGTTGGTTTTTTACCAGTTTTGCAGAGGTATATAGCATGACTGTTGAGAATCGCAAGATCCACTAAATGCAAGAAAAACTTTTTATACCACTTTTGGGTACGCCTAACACTTTCAACATAACTGAGCATCATATCACTTCTGTCAACAGATCCCATGTTGAGATTATACTCTTGGACACAAACGGGCTTCATAATCTTTTGAGCAGTGAGGTAGTGAACTTTGCCACTATCTACCATTTCGTCCACATGTTCACTTGTTATCATCAAGACTTGCCGTTTATCGACCCATCTGACAACTAAACTAGTTTTGTCGTTACATGTCTCCGTTTGACCAACCTCTAACTCTTTTTCAAACTCAGGCATACCTAATCGATCATCTCTAACCGTACCACAGGCATTGGTCTTATTCAAGTGTAAGTACGTGAACAGATCGGGGCTGCTGTACCAATTGTCGACAAACAATAAATGACCCTTGTTCAAATACGGTGCCAGCAACGTAGTCACAATCGCTCCTGAAATACCTAAATCCTCGGTATTGTATATATCACTGTCATTACCAGTGTACACAATCAGGTCCAGCACGTACCCTGTCTCACAGTCACATAACACGTAGGTTTTTATACCGAACCTACTTCTTTTAGATGGGATGTACTGTTTGAAGGACAGTCTGCCTTTGAACTTTAGTAAACTTTCATCTATGCACAAATTTCTAAACGGAATAAAACTGGTAGAAAAGGTTTCCCTAAACATATCAACCAGTTCCTTTATTTTGGAAAGCCTGCCATTCTGATTTTGCTGAGTGTTGTCTGAAAAATGTAAAAGGCGCAAAATGGTGCAATACCTGTTTCGAGACATAAGGTTTGGTATGTAGTTTAGTTGAAGTTTGTCAGTTGACCAATAATTTTCCAAAACATTTTTTTTGTTGTGGACCATAAGCAATGTGATAGCTAAAAAAACTTTGAACTCTTCTACTGTCAATGGTTTCCATTTCTGAAGCCTTGATTTAGGTGTTGGGGCCTGATTTGAAATCACATATTCATAATGCAGGTTCGTTTGATCTACAATAAAACGTATTGTTTCATCAGGAAACATTTTATCAAAGCAGTCTATTTCACGGCAAGGATCGGGATATAAATGTGGACTAACTATACCACTGGCTGTATCATCGTAACGGTGGTTTTTAGGAACAAAAACATCATTACTCCAAACATGAGGATATTTATTTTTATTCTTTTTTGGTTTCTTTGAATTCCGCTTTCGCTTCTTTTTGGGTTTGAAAGTCTTAGTTTTAGGTTCTTTTTTTTACGAGGTTTTCTGGCTCTTTTAGAGGTGCTAGGGTTGTCATCAAAATCAGAAGGGTAATATTCGTTACTTGCAACACTATCTGAATCTATTTCACTTAGCTGATGTGTACGAACGCCATCTTGATCCACACGGTCTTGGATTGAGGCGTCACTGATCCAGTCACCGTCGTCTGAGTAGTCTTCGCAAGGGCCTAACTGTGAACTGGGAATTTCTAACAACTCTAATAAATCGTCATCTTCAAGCATGTCACCAGCCATTACGACTAATATTTACTACTCATTCAACACTACCAAGTAAATAACCACCAAAAACCACAATTATAATGACACGCACAGTAAACGTAAGGTTCCGCAAGCACGCGTTTTACTGAAACTACGAACGGAACTGATCGGGACTATTACTGACCTATAATACCACTAAAATCCACCAGATTGCAGCACTAGTCAAGCAGCACTGTCAACAACTTGTTTACGTACGTATATCAGAGATAAGGCGGGAAGTCAGCTGTTAAAAATAAAACACAACAGCTGATTACGTCAAAACGAGATAACTCGTTCGTGGCGGTTGCTCTGAAAACTAGTATCGCCCGGCATATCTCGTGCGTGGCGGTTAAGGGGTTAAAATAAAAATCAGGTGTTCATATAGATGGAATATCTACCCCTAGGGTCCTCAAGTCAGTGGTATATATCTGTACAAAATACAGTAGTAAGTAAACTGACCGTGTTGTTGTCTGAATTGTCCGCAGCAACGATGCGTGACTGCGGAGGTGTGTTGACCTGAGTGCAAGTCGTGAACATCACACGAGAACAATGACTCGGGATAGCAGTGATCACTGCGTCTTTCAGAATAGTGCTCTCGTTCCGCAGACGACGCAACTGTGTGTGGATCTTGTCTGTGGACAAACAGGTTTTATATTAAACTTTAAAAATTTGAAATTAAACATGGATTAAATAGGTGCCAGATATTACACTATTTTACTATTTTCATGAGTTGATTCCTAAATGTTTTTACACCAGTCTCACTTTTTCAATATTTTGACACTGAAACCATCCAAACCTTAGTCTCATTTCTACTTGAAGTCAACCTGGGAAAGCGTGGGTAGTTACAGTAAATAGCCCAGTGAAAAGTTACATCTGATTCTATAATTGGAACTTTCAGAATCAAACTAGCAACTTAAGTTAACGGTGTTGCAGTCAGGCCACAATAGAATTTTTCAGCAACCCAGAGTAAAATAAATAATGCAATAAAAGAAGTATTTTTTGACAGGTGAATTTTAACTCATCACTTAACCAAAATGTTTGGTCCGGAGACCCACATCTATCTTAGATCTTATAACGTTACTTACAAGTAAAATAAAATAAATATTTATTAATTATTATTTTTTTATAATATTTTGTGAGTCAATGGCTCAGTCGGTAGCGAGACGGACTTTGGATCCATAAAGCAATATTGTGGGTGTCGGATTCTAATACCTGCCACTTAATTTTATTAGTACACTTAAACTCTTGTCCTGTACCGGTCAGCTCAACCCTTGCTTTGTTGGATACGTTACATGCACAGGCTGGAGGTTTATGTTGGAATGCAAATGCAAGGTTGAAAGAGGCTGCAAACCTCTTAAAAATAAAACCAAGCAAAACAAGGGTTAAATAAGCAGATTTTAGTGGCCACACTGGGACATTCCACATTTTCTTTGATATCAAATTCATCAAGCTACCAACTCGCCTAAAAGATATTTGGTATCAAAATACAGCCAACCAGTATAAGTTACGGAACACTCACTGATTCTCAGCATCAGTACACTCTCCTCCTGCTGTTTCTCGGATGTCTCAATATACACAGGTTCTCCAGTAACCACATCAGTGACGGCCGCCGTCTGATGACCGAGAAGGAACGCCTTGCCTCCACGGGCAAACAAGCCTTTCTTCTGACCACTGGGCAACACTGTAGGTCTATGGAACGTCTGCACCACCTCCCTCGCCTACAACAAAACACTCAGTATTAATGGTGAATCTGTATGGCTCAGGAGAACTTCTTTGGAATATTCACTCCACCCTCCCCAGATAACAGGTCAGGTATAAGGATGCTGTTATGAGGCTGGAAAAACTCTTCTGGGGAGAAAATCGTCTGCTAAGATTTGTTATTTGAGGGGCTATTCAAGTGATTTTCCCTACAAGCAAATAAGTGTTCATCCCTTAGGTGAGAAAGTACTAAAAAATAACAAGAACACAAACCCGGCCAAATTTGGAAAATCTCAAAATAACCACACGTAACTTGATTAAATAAGTGTGAAGAATCGCAATTCAATACAAAACATAATGAATATGAATGACACAACGCTTTTATTGTAAAATCAGTAGGGATGGACGAGATTGGATTTTTAGTTCGAGACGAGACGAGACGAGATTTTTTATTTCTCATAAAATTTCGAGACGAGATCGAGACGGGATTTCCCTTCTCATACACAACGGGAAATGCACGTTCAAAATTTTTACCTGATTTTGTAACATTGTTAGATGACTGTTTAAATACAAAAATAATGATAATAGGCAAGAATATTTACAATCTTTTATTAAAAAAAACATCAGCATAACATTTTTTTATTAATCACGCCTATCTTATTAAAAATGCCTACGATTAGGAAACATAGTGATATCAGTTAGGATAGAGTTCAACTTATCCTAAAATAAAATAAATCATAAAATAAAAGCAATATTAATTTTTTTTTTATAGTTACTTGTTTTGACTTTTTATAGTAATAAAACATTCCTCACACTGCTTACACTTTACAAAACTTCTCAAATGTTTTTAAAGTAATATTATTAAAATAATGAAAATGAAAGTAATATTTACATTTAAAGAATTAATTAAATAAGAACGCCTTCACAAAGGAAACGCAACTACAACGCGCTCCTGTATTGCGGGTATTGCATTGACTTTCTGCAGGCGTTTTTAATTTTTTTTTTTTTTTTTTTTTTAAATTCCCGTCTCGGTAAAAATCTCGGCCAAAAAGAAATCTCGTCTCGTGTAACGAGATTTAAAATTTCCCGAAATTTCGAGACTTGACCATCCCTAAAAATCAGTAAACTTCCTGACTAAAGTACTGCATGAGAGATGCACAGTTTAATTTTGGTAAGTGTTAGTGAGTTAAAATTCATACTTAGGTGGTCATTCAAACCAGTTCAAATCTAACTGATCCAAACAAATGGAATACTGTACTTCACTACCATAAGTTTCACACCCTCAGACATTATTATTAACTCAACAACAATATTTGCTAAGCTGTAAAATGTTGACTATACAAACCTGTTTGCCACAGTGGAACCTCGCAGTAACTCCCTCCACAGACACAGCCAGTAGAGATACACAGGTCAAGTCTCGCAGATTGTCTAGAGCTGAGAAAGATATCACTTCCTCCACCACACTGGCCTGTAGTAGGGCAAAGTTGATCTGAAACAAGACAAACCATCAAAACAGCTGTTTGCTACAGTGGAACCTCGCAGTAACTCCCTCCACTGACACGGCCAGTAGAGATACACAGGTCAAGTCTCGCAGATTGTCTAGAGCTGAGAAAGATATCACTTCCTCCACCACACTGGCCTGTAGTAGGGCAAAGTTGATCTGAAACAAGACAAACCATCAAAACAGCTGTTTGCCACGGTGGAACCTCACAGTGACTCCCTCCACTGACACAGCCAGTAGAGATACACAGGTCAAGTCTCGCAGATTGTCTAGAGCAGAGAATGATATCACTTCCTCCACCACACTGGCCTGTAGTAGGGCAAAGTTGATCTGAAACATGACAAACCATCAAAACAGCTGTTTGCCACAGTGGAACCTCACAGTGACTCCCTCCACTGACACAGCCAGTAGAGATACACAGGTCAAGTATCGCAGATTGTCTAGAGCAGAGAATGATATCACTTCCTCCACCACACTGGCCTGTAGTAGGGCAAAGTTGATCTGAAACAGGACAAACCATCAAAACAGCTGTTTGCCACGGTGGAACCTCACAGTAACGCCCTCCACTGACACAGCCAGTAGAGATACACAAGTCAAGTCTCGCAGATTGTCTAGAGCAGAGAAAGATATCACTTCCTCCACCACACTGGCCTGTAGTAGGGCAAAGTTGATCTGAAACATGACAAACCATCAAAACAGCTGCTTGCCACAGTGGAACCTCACAGTAACTGTTACAGAAATCCCAGGAGGGTAGTGAGCTGGACTGGTGGTTAAGCATGGAACTTTGGTCTGAAGGTCCCGGGTTCAAATCCTACCATATCACCAATGGATTTTTTTGAAGAAATAATCCCAAAACCCTCTAGGCCTAACCTAAAGTAATATGTCAAACAGTTCCAGACTTAGAACTTAGCCTTAAAAATCTATACACAAAATACACACTCAACTCACCTTAGGCAGTATCACAGTGCCCTGGACCTGCGTAGCTATACACTCCTCGTAGATGTTGAGAGGCTGTGCTGCGTCCGCAGACTTAGTTCGCTCCGCAGTGCTGCGTTTACTACCTCCACCAGTCAGCTGACTGAGGTACTGGTCACGCTTCAACACGTTGGCAGCCTCGACTCGCGAGACACAGTTGAGGTGAAGATGGTTCAGTACACTCAGTGTATGTAGGGACGTGAGAGTGGAAGTCAGTACATCTACAAACCTGAAACGTCAAGTTTGTGAGCATCTCACACAATCGTGGTAACATCCAAGGAGATTTCTTGCAATCCCAGAAGCCTAACTCAATTACTATACAATTTCTTGTGACTTCTGCAAGCACAATTTTCTGACATAACATGATAAAAAAAGTGATTATCTGCAAATTTTATAAACGAATATTCAAAGTAAACTTTTTTCTTGTCATCAAAATTTATGTTCAGTTTCCAGTTTTTCCAGTTTACAGGTAGGCTGTACACCCTGCGTACATCTTTTATTTTGGGGTGGGGGGGTTGGGGCATTCATCTACCCCCAGCTACTTCGGCCTGTTGATCTATTGTAGCACCCCTCAAATCAGTCTGACAAACATAGGCTTCTGGCATAGCCTAGGAGCTGTGAGACGCCCAGTTTCCTCATCTCTGTAGATTCCAATTGCGGCCTTCCCAGAGACACACAATCCAGCAATAAGTGTTCAAAGGTTTCCATCTCTGCAGAACCTGCATTGGTCTGTCTGTGACCTCCCTATGGTTCTAAGGTGTTTCCTAATAGGTCCATGGCCAGTTAGCATCCCTACTAGTAATCTGATGTCCCCCCTTTTTAGGCTCAATACACCTTTTAGTACAACTTACAATGATTCCAACCACCAGTGTAATGCATTGTTATTTTGATACAGCATCGAGATTCAACGCATTTTAGAGCATTATCACAGCATACAAATAAGCAACTAAATGTCATGAATTACAAAGGAACAAAAATGAAATGTATTCTAGTTCTAAAAATCATAAAGAAATTTCCAGATGACAAGATAACCTACCTCTGAAGAGATTCTAGCACCAATGGACTGACCATGATGTCGATGTCTCCTTTCATCTTGACAACAAGAGTAGTTCTTGTACCACTCTCATTGCGCAGGGATAGCAGTTCTTCTTGCACACCTGGTGAAAAAACAGAATGACAGTGACCAACCAAAAATGTACCCCAAGTTGAAAAACTTTGTAAAAAGGTAGACCATTTAAATAATTGATGAAACGTTAGAGCTTGGGTTGTGGCTGGTACAGTAGTTCCATTTTTATTCTATGCTAGTGGACTTAAAGTTTAAATCCTACCATTCAATCAATTGGATCTTAAATCGTGACTACATCATGATTTCCCAAAGCCACTCACCTGCTTCTAGAGCTTCATCGGTATCGTTGCATATGAGGTCGACCTGCTCCCAGTTGTAAGGGTGGGTTGGTGTCTTGGTAGAGGGGGGAGCTGGAGACGCTGTTTCCTTCTCTCTCCCAACCATCTTGAGGGATGTGAAACCTTCCACCAACGTCTCAAACCTTGGGGTGTACTTGCTCCCTGGAGAAGTGTGGGGAATAAATTAAGGGTTGTGTTCTATTATAGAAACTCTTAGAAAGGTGTCTTCTGGTACAAAATAAAAATAAAATAAAATTGCAGTTTGTTTCAAGATATGTATAAAACTATGATTACTAATAAATTGAGTCTGCTACCAAACCCGCAACACACTGGACCAATATTATCACGATATGCTATCTAAATGTTTGCATTTACATACAGTTTTCATGTTTGTATTGTGCCTGTTTTAATTAAGTTAATTAAGTTTTAATTAAGTTTAACCCATTCACTTATGATTTTTTTTTTACCCGCCTAGGCCAAAACAAACGAATTTGTTGTGGCTAGTTTCATTCATTTCTGATTTAATTTTTTTTCAGGCAACATTTACTATTTATATGCAAGATATTATTATTTTCTTATTCAAAATTAAATGTAGATTCAAAATATATAAATATTTCCCAAAAAAATATAACTATAATTTTTTATTATACCATATAAAAATAAAATAAAAAAATAAAAAAATTAAAAAAAACTTTTTTATTGGTAATTTTTAGCTACATAGGGCTCATATATGTTTTGGAACTAGTCTATAATACTGTATGACACTTATAAAAACTCACCAAATGTCAAGCAAAGTTCATTTTGGTGTGGTATGCCTTGAAACACTCTGGCATGTGAAGTGCGACAAGGCAGAGCTCACACTCCCATCGGCTGTCACTGCGCTTTCCCTGGGCACTACACACCTTACATCTTCTTGAAGGTGTTTGTTTGACTTCATTTGGAGGAATAGGCCTAGGAAAATGTCCCCAAGTTGCTGCCTGGAGCCTCAGAGGTGTTTCTGAGTTGGATGATCGTCCTCTTCGATTGTACGGTGGCAGTTGTCGCGACTCAAACATTTGCTTGACAAACCTCTCCTTGAACTCACTGAACCCCAATTTTTTTCTGGTTAATTTTTTGAACACTACATAAGAGTTAAAAAGGCCAATGTCCATTATGTAAAAGAAGATCTTCTTGTATCCCTTAGCATACCTCCTCATACTAGGAAACGACGCTAATTGCTGATCCTCGCGGTCAATTCCACCCATTGAACGATTATAGTAGATCACTGGTTCTGGCTTTGTTATAATTTCTTGGGTAACTCTGTCTTTCTTGCCAGTTGATCTTTTGTCAGCTTTTTGATGAAAGGTAGACAAAATGCAAACTTGCTTCTTGTCCTGCCACCTTACTGCTAACATATCGTGGCTATAGGCTGTCTCGTAGTCGCCCAACTTAAGTTTACCCTCTTTGAAGCTCTCTGGCATGTTTGATCTCCACCAGTTAGCTGTTCCAATTACATTGAAACCTATTTGCTTAAGTCTATAGAAGAGAAGAGGTGAGGAGTACCAATTATCAATTGTCAGAGTATGTCCTTTTCCTGCCAAATCTTTTGTCATTTCAACGACTATCGCCTCACTCGTTAACAGCTTTTCCTCCTGTGTAGAATCCCCACTTCCTTCTTCAACCGGTACATTTTCTTTGACTTCAGCTCCAGTATAGATCTTAAATTTAGAACAATAACCACTTCCAGATTCACAACACTTGTAAAACTTTATGCCAAATCTGGCTCTCTTCTTGGGATTAAATTGGACATAGCCCAACCTCCCTCGGAACTTCATAAGACTCTCATCGACAGCTATGTTTTCATCAGGTATGTACAGATGGGAAAACTTCCTGTTCATGTACTCAATAACGTACCTTAACTTCCACAGTTTATCATTCACAGGTTTCCTATTATTGTCTGTAAGGTGGAAAAATGTGGACAGTAGCAAAAAACGGCGGAATGGCATCACTTTACGAAAAAAAGGGGTCTCAGTTACAGCATTAGGCGACCAGTATGATTGTATGGTTCTTTTTTTTACAAGCGACATAAGGACACACAGTGTATAAAAACAAGCCATCTCATCTGCATTTGTGTCAAACCATTCTGAGTATATAGTTTTTCCTACCCCGCCTGCTTCGTTCTTTTTCTTAATTGTTTCTTTGGCATAATTATTAGTCTCTGTTGCAACATGTTGCCAAAAGTCATTATCAAGAAACGCATTGAAAACATCTAATTCAGAGGGAGCTGAGCCTAAACTTCTAGCCAAACTTGCTCTAACACCAGGACAACCAGTAAAAGGGATTTTATTTATTATATTACTTTCTATGGTACTGGTCCACTGCCAAAACTCCTTTTTCTTCTTTTTTGGTGGAGCTGTATCGTTACTAGTTTGAGTTTTGGACCTTTTAGTAGGCTTAGATGGTTGTGAAATAGCTTTTTTTCCTATAGGCCTACCTCTTCCTCTAGACCTGCCCCTAACAGGTTTACTTTTAGGCCTAGGGTCAGGAAAGCTAGGGTCGTCAGCTTCCTCACTCGGTGTAGGTGAGAGGGCAGGCACGATTGAAGATGCAAGCTGGTCAAATAATTCAGGCCTAATAGGCAAATCTAAATCAGATTGGACATTTGGAGGGGTCATAGGCCTATGCCTGCCACTATCTATATCATTTATAGGCCTAGAGTCAGGGAAACCAGGGTCGTCAGCTTCCTCACTCGGTGTAGGCGAGAGAGAAGGCGCGCTCATACTACCGCGGTATAACCGATCAAGAAACTGGACTGATTTAGGCAATTCTTCATCACGTGATGGAGAAGATACATGCTGATCAAATATTTCAGGCCTACTAGACAAATCTGAATTATATTGGACAGTAAGGGCATCTGGAGGGGTCATAGGCCTAGCATAGCTGCAAGAAGGCTGTTCAAGCAACAACTGGTCACTTTCTAATGGCCTAGGCCTAACACAATTAGTATTATGTTCTGGGGAAACTGTGGTCTCATAATCAATAGGCGTATTAGACTTATTACTCACTTGAATTCTGCTCCCTTCCAAATCATCATCATCACTCCAACCACTCTCCTCAAACAAGTCACAATCACTGTCACTGTCACAATCCCCTATAAGTTTTATGATGTCACTTTCATCTAACTCTTTTCCACATTCATCCACGAATACCAAGTTATTTTGAAGACTCATCGTATTATACAAAAGCTTTTCAATTGAATAATATAGTAAAACAAGATACTGTAGCTCAATCTTTATCACGACGAAGTGAAACACGACATGATAGGCCTAATAACTCAGTCATTATAACGACGAAAAAGTAAAATACTGATAAAAACTTACACTAAGTAAATTCTATAACTTATTTTATAAGATAACTACACTTTTCAATAAAAATAATAAAGTAAAACAAGGCTCTAACACAATGTTTACATCGTCGAAGTAAACACAACAACGTATCAGCTGTGAAACCAGAGTAGACGTCGTCAGCTGCTAAGTTGCACCATTTCAACTTCAGTTTTTTTGCCGATTGGACTGGACTGAGATGACGAAAATATAACCAAAAGAAAGCCTGGAAATCATAGAACAAGAAGCATATGCAATCTATTGGATTTCTGGGGAACTAACTCGGCACAAACAGGTCTTAATAGCGGACGGCGATTCGCCGTCGCTTCACACAATGGCTAACGGGAGCGCGACGGCGGATCGCCGTCGTTGTAAGCGAAGGGGTTAAATAAGTATGGGAGCCAGAGACATGCATCTTGATTATCCGAACTTTGGTAATCCGAAAGTCCGCTTAATCCGAAATCAAAAAATATATTTTTTTAATTTTTTAATTAAAAAAAATTTAATTTTTTAAGTTTAAATTTTTTTACTAAACTTTTAACACAGTTAGCTGTACCTTGTCAAAGTATTCTGTAGCGGCCGGGCGAGATAGACTTATTTTTAGAGTATTTTAGTAAATATTTCACCATTTTAGTTATTAACATTTTTCATTTCCGTCCTGGGTTCCAATCCCGCCAAATCACAAATGGATTTTATCAAGCAATAATGCTCTAGCTTAAGTAATGTGAAAAACAATCCCGGGCTCGTGCCTAACGTCCTAAGACAATAAAAATCTAAAAAAATTGTAAACACATTAATTTAAAAAAAATTTTTTAAAACTAAAAAAAAAACTTTTAGGCTTATCCGAAATATTCGGTAATCCAAAATGGGTCCGGTCCCAACCATTTCGGACTAACCGGACTCTAAAGTAGTACCATTGACCTTTGAAGTTTGAAGTCGATATCCCATCTATATAACAGACCAGTTGAAGCAAATTTTTTATTAGAAAATAAAATATCCTTATTTATTACCAATTAATATGGACACACCATATTAACCACCATATTAACACCATATTATTAGGTGCGTATTTTAACCCAAATGATGTAGAATGAAGTGAAAAGCCTTTTTTAGCTTTGTTACTGACTAAGACCAGCTATTTCAAAGCCAGGAGCATTTATTGGTACATAAAAAAAAAACGCAACATAATAAAACAATAATCGCTGGTTAAATAATGTCATATTTTACAAGGTAGGTGAACTAGAAACAAAATGCCACTCACCAATGTATACAAGTCTTCCTTCATTGGTCCTTTGGAACAAAGGTACAGTGAATGCATCTGAACCCTGTGGTAGGGAGGACTGAGCCCAATTGGTGCAATTGACCTGCAACAGTTTATTAATTTTATTGTATAACCATCTTTTAAATTTTACATTGATTTTTTCTGTACTTCATTGTGTTTCAAATATTTAAAAAATATGAATGAATCATTACTAGTCTAAACTTCAAAATAAACTGGTTTGTTATCTGTATTTTATACTTAATTCCACTCCTTTTCAAAAGTCCTATATTTTACTTTTAGCGAATTTCCCATATAGGGAATAAGCTATTACCGTAGGTCTCATGGTAAGACCTGGACTCGGGACCGATTTACTTTTTCATTTTGATGTCCCCAGAGGCCAAAAACACCATCCGTTCAAATTCATATATATATGTCCGTCAGCACGATAACTCGAACAAAAATTATCTGATTTTGATGAAATTTGGTATATACGTGTAAACCTACATTTATTTGAACGAGTTCGCGAACCAGCAGGATCGGACCATGGGAACAGGGGTTTATGGGGTAAAAATTTTTCCCATTTTTGACCCTAAAAACATAAAAGTTTGGAATTTTTTCCCAACCATTTTGTAGAGCTTAAAAAATTAAATAATTTAGTATATATGTTGTATGCCTAATGGCTACGGAGGAAATTCAAAAAAGTGCAAATTTAAAATTCCCATGTTATTCTTTTGGAGAAAATGAAAACTGTTGTGGTTTACTTGTTTATAGATATATATTGATAAAATTTGGCAAATTTATTTATTTCATCCTATACTATTGACTTATGGTCGAAAAACGCTTTTTACCTTCCCTGTATCAGCAAACCTAAGCACTCGTTAAATCTAATGTTATTTAAATTGAGAATAAATATGTCTTATACCGTATATGGAAATATTTTAGTAAAAATGTAATCAGACAATTTGAAATTTGCTTAGTCTGCAGGTTTGCTGCGGCGTGGGTATTTATTTATCTAATGATCTGACCTGGGACAGATGATTGACGTAGCTCGACATCAGCAGTGGTGACTCCACGATGGGTTTGTTGACTTGCATGTGTAGATTGACTAGAGCCAGATCTTCCTGTGATGATACTGCAGATATGAACGAGGTGCTGGATACAGAGTGGGTGTCTGACGAGTCCAGTAGCATAGCGGAGGCCTCCTGTAAACAAATAAGTGAAATGTGTGGTAAGTAAAAGAAGTAATCAAACTTGTTGATAAGTAGAGCAAGTTAAATGATGAATAATCAAATGAAAAACCAGGGGCCTCCAACGCTCCAACTAAGGTAAGGCCCCTTGGGATTGGGATACTCGTCACCGATGATAGTGATTTTCTTAAGACGTTAAAAGTGAACCAATGGAACACTGTCAATGAATGGATGAGGTTCAGCCATAGGAATTGATAAAACTCTTGGCTCATACCAGATTTAAGTGCAGTTCACTGTCTTTTTCCCATTCAACAAAACACATGTAAAATTCCCGGTCTCCAGGTCAACTGGCTACTGTGTTGATATGAGTACATTACATGTCTCTCACTTGCCACTTTTCACTTCTTCACTTAAATATTCTGAATTCCCACAAAAATTTACAACATGCACTACCTACTATTGCTAAAAAGTTGGAGGAGCCAACACTTTTAACTCCTTGACTTTTTAAAGCTATTCCAAGTTTATTCTGACCTGGGAAGTTTAATTTGCTTTCACAAAAATATCTGACTTATTATATTATAGTAGGCCTAAATAAAAATAAAAAAACATTAGAGATTTTGTAGACAAATCATTGTCTAAGCCTTCACAATAACAAAGCTGAGTTTTATTTCATCTTCCCAACAAGGTATTTTGTGCAGTCTAAGGAATTACCTGTGATTCCAATGAGTCTGGCAGACCATGTACGTTGGCCGTCATGAACCTCGGACTGACCGAACGAGGCAACAACAGGGGAGAAATGCCGAGACAAGCAGCCGACTTGGGCTCTTCACCCTGTAACACATTACAAACTACCATACAACAAAGCATTTTACAGCACTTTGTGATTCAAAACATTGCAAATATTTTTGTGTAATTGTATTAGAGAAATTATTGTGAGAAAATTTTGACTCCAAGTCAACTTTGGCCTGCAAGAGCCCATATTTTAGTAGTGTCAAGATCTACAACTCACTACCAAGAAACATCATCCAAGAGCAAAATTTCAATAAATTTAAGAAGATGTTAAAGGAATATTTATGTGAAGCGGCCTATTTTAAAGTAGAAGATCTGTTCAATTAGGCCTATTATTGTTTTTCTACCCATTTGACGACCACGTCGCAGGAGCGATGCTAGTGGGACATCATCAAGTATCAAGTATCAAGTAAGTCCACATTGTCAAAAACATGCTATTTCAAGCTGTTGCAAATTAACGTTGTTGTACATCCCATAAATCTCATGATCACAATTTTAAATTCTTTTACAGAATTAGAAAGCCAGAAGGAGAATATTGTCCAGAAAATAAAAAAAATTTAATTAATTTCTATTAGTAGTTGAGATGGGGACGCCACCTAAGTGTGTATTTTTATAATATAAGTAAAGGATGAGTGTAAAAGGAAGTTAGATGTCTTGTGTAGCTCTGCTACTGCCTAAGACCAGCTGTTTCATTGGTTGTGACTAACCCAATGATCAATACAGCTGGGTCAAGTTTTGAACCAACAAAGAACTACTGACTTTTCTCAGGATTGAACTGGTGACTTTTTTATTACTAGGCGAGCACTACAACCACTCTGTACCCAAATATTTTGAGAAAGTAACCTAATGAGAAAGGTACGATTTTAGACAACACATTACAACAGTCAGCCAAATCATTTGATACATTTGTAAACCAAAACCATTGAGGTTATATCTGACCTGTTCAAGCCGGATGTTGCTACGATGTTCTGGAGTGTGTATCTCATGATCGCTGCGATGGCTGGAGAGTCTCAATGGCTGCAGATCTGTGATGGCTGAGTGTGTCACATTACCAGCTCCTGCCACGATACTCATGTCACTGCCATAGCGTTTCCTGGCAGAACAAGTTATTTGGTAACAAAAATATACTTGTCACTACAAAGCAAGCCTCAGTGATTTGTAATCAACTGTTAAGATCTTTGGAACACACCAGCCACAATACTTGCAGTTACAAAGTTTTTTTATACAATTTGATGAAACAACAATTTTTACAGATTTCGTCGTTGACTTTCCCCACGAGGTTAACAGCCCCTAGACTAGGCCTTACACTGTGGTCCTAATCGTGAACATGTGATTGACTATTTTTTTATGTTAATGCTCCATTGTCTGTCATTTTTTCAGTAAATTTCACAAATCCGTAGATAAATTTCATTTTGCTTCTGATTTTTCCCAATAAAAAATAGTAGCACATCTAACAACAGGCAGGATTTTCAATGAAGCGCTAAATTTAACACTCCTCTGAAACAAAGTTTGGGAGTTATTATGCGTATGCTGCAATTAAAGGTGGATGCATAATGATCGTATGAATGCTCTGATGCTATTTGCTAAGATGGTTGCGATGGCGATAGCACTACCTCTAGCAGAGTCAATGCAATATGCAATATGTTACTTTCTGGACAGCCCTTGTATTATAATGGGCTTTATAGCAGTGTTATACTCTTTAGAAACAATGCTTTAAATCTAAGATCAATATAAACTTTACACTGACTGCAAACATGAAACAAATACCATCTAGAACATTAGTTTAGTTTTGTACATGTAAAAGAATTGTTTTGTTACCGACTAAGATCAGCTTGTCCTTTGTCAAAAATCAAAAACATCGATGCAGGAGTTTTGAACCGTTACAAACCAATGTCTTCCAGGATCAACCTGGCAAACTTTTGATTACCAACCGAGCAACATTATCCAGCTACACTTACTTTGGCACAATGTTGCTCTCCCTGTTGTCATGACGGTAGATACCAAGAGAGTGACGTAGTGAAGATGACCGACTGGACGGTAGTGGCACCCCTGCTTGGCCTAAACTGCCCCCGCTCAGCTCCTCCTCCGCTGAGAAGAAGGCTTCTGATTGGTTCTCACTGCAGATGGACACTGTCCTCTCCACCAACACTGCCTCCGGTACTGCAGCGCCCAGCGAGTGTTCTGACTCTGACGAGATCACAGCAGAAGTCTGCAAAACGGTGGCATCAATACTTAGTTATTCAACTACTCGGAGATAGTTGGGTTAGATAATGTGCTTCTTTTTAAGGTCAGTAAAGTTTCTCATAGTGTGTTTCACTGAGCAGTACAAAGTGTCTTAAAGCTATGTAGATACCGCATTTCAAAAGGCAGTCTCGAAGAATCGTTGACTTTTTTCTTAGGCAATTTCCTACTTATTTTGGCCATACCAAAGTCAAAGACAAAATCATTGAGCCTCAATACCAAACTTAAGAGGTAGCTATCAAATTAAAAGTTATTCACACATTCATCCATCTTGATCTTATAATGAATGAGTCTTGTTCCATGCTAAGTTAATGCCAAAATGACCAATCATCCAACAAGCTAAGATTTTAAATTTATTATACCTTTTCAACACAAATTAACAAAAATAATCATTTGGCAGTTAACTTATATTAAAAAAGATCGTTAGTTTACCGGATGTGTTGGACAGTTGACACTGTTGACAAGAGCGTTGTACTGTTGCGCCGTGGTGTTGAAGTAATCCACGGCAAGTTTGGAGTCACTAACACTCGACTTGGGTGCTTCTGAAGCCTCGGGAACACTTAAGATGGATCGAGTGCGCTCTGTGGAGTGAAGTCGTGAGTCCGAGTCCAGCTTGGGCGGTAACAAAGTGGTGGGGCTGGTGTCCAAGAGTCGAGCATACGGAACGTCTCGGCTCTGTCCATTGTTCATATTTCTGAAAGGGTTGACTTATTAATAACTGATAAAGAATAAAATATTTTAATAAGGTAATCTGTTCAATTTAAGGGTATTATTATATATAGTTGGGTTTTAGTAAAATTGGCATGTCTATAAACAACATTAAGCATCTGTTTTGGAATCTAGTTAGGTTTCTAAACAAGTAAAACATGACTACAGGTTGTTTGGATGGACATAATTGTATGAAGGACTCAACTATAAAATGGTAAGTTTCTGAACAAGGCAATATTGTGATGATCTCCCATGATTGCAGTAACTTTGTGACCTTCTTCAAAGTGATCGCAGCATTTTCTTGACCATCCAGTACTATTACAGCAATACTGTGACTAGAGGGGTCACATAAACTTTAGACCACCTTTCTTCTTGATCAAAATTTTTACTTATGATTAGAGAATAATTATATCCTACCTGTTAGTGTATGACGTGTAAGAAAACCTGCGCCCCAGGGAGGTCTTTACACAACTGACTGGGCTGACAGTGGCAGTGCTCAGCCTGGACATGACAGGACTGTCCTTGTTGGTCTCCGTGACACTACGTGACCTCTCAACTCTGGTGGTGAGGTGAGGACTCTCCACTGGTGTCTATAAACACAGTAAACTATACACCTGAAACTTTTTCTTAGAATAAAGTAAAGTATGATGAGAAAAAATAATCTTGTCTCGAACTTAAAACCCAGTCTCACCCATCCCTAGAATCAAGTAAAACAAAACACTGTGGATCGGTGGATCAAAGAGATTCAGTTGAGTAACCGTAAAAAGTTAAGAGTTTAACCATATTATCAGTACATTTTACACCATTCACTTCCTTGTTACAGAAGAAGCCCTCACATCCGGCCACCACAGAATGAACTCTTGGCCAGATAACTATTTATCCAGATAAAATAGCCCATTATATTTTTTCCTATACTATTATACTAACTGCACTGGATATCGTCAACTAACTGGGGTTAGACACTACATCCATTAAGTAGTGAACACAGTAAAATGTAAGCAAATAGGTAAACCATGAGAGTGCTTGAGCCACAGTGACTAGTGTGCGCTGCTAACAATGCATCTATCTGTAAGTAATACATTTCATTCCCTTTTGAGATGATAAACCGTGGACAAGTCAAAACAAGGCCGAATATCAGAGGTTCTACTGTTCACACATTTGTAATTATTATAAAAGATGTGAAAGTCTACCTTGAGAGGTATGACCTTGGCAGCAGGCTCAGTCCACACTGCAGTATCATGTATGGAGACGTCATGAGAGTTGTACGGGGGAGTGTGGAACACAAGTTGAGCATCATGTAGTATACTCTGGCCAAACCCAGGATCTTTGCCTGACTCGTTTATCCTAGGGCAAATAATTAAAATAAGATTTATCACTAGAAATGAATTTTTAAAATACTTAAACTCTTAAAGTAAAATTAACATGCATGCTTCTCTTTAATTGAAGAGAGTACCATAGCAACAGGGGTTACCATGGCAACAGGAGAATACATGGCAACCTGGTTTACAGATAGAAACAAGGGTTACCATAGCAACCAGGGTTACCATAGCAACCAGGGTTACCATAGCAACCAGGGTTACCATAGCAACTAGGGTTACCATAGCAACTAGGGTTACAAAAGCAACCAGGGTTACCATAGCAACCAGGGTTACCATGACAAAGACATAGCAAAGGTGATTACCATAGCAACGGTGGTTACCATAGCAACAGCAGTTACTATGGCAAAGGGGATTACCATGGCAACAGCGGTTACCATGGCAACGGTGGTTACCATGGCAATAGTGGATACCATAGCAACAATGGTTACCATAGCAACAAGGGGTACCATGGCAACCGGGGTTACCATAGCAACGTTGGATACCATAGCAACGTTGGTTACCATAGCAACCACAGTTACCATGGCAACGGCGGTAACCATAGCAACAACGGTTACCATAGCAAACGGGGTTACCATGGCAATGGCAGTTATCATAGCAACCAGGGTTACCATGACAACAGCAGTTACCATAGCAACCAGGGTTACCACGACAACACCGGTTACCATGGCGAAGGCAGTTACCATAAAAACAAGGGTTTACCATGGCAACAGCGGTTACCATGGCAATAGTGGATACCGTAGCAACAATGGTTACCATGGCAATAGTTCATACCGTAGCAACAATGGTTACCATAGCAACAAGGGTTACCATAGCAACAAGGGGTACCATGGCAATCGGGGTTACCATAGCAACGTTGGATATCATAGCAACCACAGTTACCATGGCAACGGCGGTAACCATAGCAACCAGGGTTTACCATATACCATAGCAACAACGGTTACCATAGCAACCGGGGTTATTTATAAATCAATAGGCCTAAATAGGGAAATAACGAGTTCTCCTCAAAATTTGCAAAAGTTGTCAGCTACCATGGCAACGGCAGTAACCATATCAACCGCGGTTACCATAGCAACCAGAGTTACCATGGCAATGGCAGTTACCATAGCAACCAGGGTTACCATGACAACCGGGGGTTACCATAGCAAACGGGGTTACCATGGCAATGGCGGTTACCATAGCAACCGGGTTTCCATGGCAACATCGGTAACCATGGCAACGTCAGCTGCCATGGCAACGGCAGTAACCATAGCAACCGTGGTTACCATAGCAACCAGGGTTACCACAGCAACCTGGGTTACCATGGCAATGGCGGTTACCATAGCAACCAGGGTTACCATGACAACGGCAGTTACCATAGCAACCAGGGTTACCATGACAACGGCAGTTACCATAGCAACCAGGGTTACCATGACAACGGCAGTTACCATAGCAACAAGGGGGTACCATGGCAACCACAGTTACCATGGCAACGGCGGTAACCATAGCAACGAGGGGTTTACCATAGCAACCACGGTTTACCATATACCATAGCAACAACGGTTACCATAGCAACCGGGGTTACCAAAGCAACCGGGGTTACCATAGCAACCGGGGTTACCATGGCAACATCGGTAACCATGGCAACGTCAGCTGCCATGGCAACGGCAGTAACCATATCAACCGGGGGTTAACATAGCAAACGGGGTTACCATGGCAATGGCGGTTACCATAGCAACCAGGGTTACCAAAGCAACCGGGGTTACCATAGCAACCGGGGTTACCATGGCAACATCGGTAACCATGGCAACGTCAGCTGCCATGGCAACGGCAGTAACCATAGCAACCGTGGTTACCATAGCAACCAGGGTTACCATAGCAACCTGGGTTACCATGGCAATGGCGGTTACCATAGCAACCAGGGTTACCATAGCAACCAGGGTTACCATGACAACGGCAGTTACCATAGCAACCAGGGTTACCATAGCAACAAGGGGTACCATGGCAACCACAGTTACCATGGCAACGGCGGTAACCATAGCAACGAGGGGTTTACCATAGCAACCACGGTTTACCATATACCATAGCAACAACGGTTACCATAGCAACCGGGGTTATTTATAAATCAATAAATAGGGAAATAACGAGTTCTCCTCAAAATTTGCAAAAGTTGTCAGCTACCATGGCAACGGCAGTAACCATATCAACCGGGGGTTACCATAGCAAACGGGGTTACCATGGCAATGGCGGTTACCATAGCAACCAGGGTTACCATGACAACCGCAGTTACCATAGCAACCAGGGTTACCATAGCAACCGGGGTTACCATAGCAACCGGGGTTACCATGGCAACATCGGTAACCATGGCAACGTCAGCTGCCATGGCAACGGCAGTAACCATAGCAACCGCGGTTACCATAGCAACCAGGGTTACGATGACAACGGCAGTTACCATAGCAACCAGGGTTACCATAGCAACAAGGGGTACCATGGCAACCACAGTTACCATGGCAATGGCGGTAACCATAGCAACGAGGGGTTTACCATAGCAACCACGGTTACCATAGCAACCAGGGTTACCATGACAACCGAGGGTTACCACAGCAACCGGGGTTACCATGACAACGGCGGTTACCATAGCAACCAGGGTTACCATAGCAACTGCAGTTACCATGGCAACTACGGTAACCATGGCAACGGCGGTTACCATGGCGATGGCAGTTATTATGGCGATGGCGGTTACCATGGCCTAGAAACTGGGGTTATCATGGCAACTGGGGTTTCTATGGCAAGTGTGGTTAACATGGCAAAAAATCTTACTATGGCAACAGTGGTTACCATTGCAGCATGGCTAAAAATCAGCCTTCCATTTCTTTCTAACAGTTAAGTGCCATGACATTTTTTTACTGAAACTATAAAAATACTGATTTAGCTCTGAAGTTTTCTACCTGAAAGCTGCAATGTTGATCCCATCTACAGCGTCTTGACGGTTAGGTTTGAAGAATCGCTTCCCATTCTTGTTTTGGCCGAAAAACACGCAACCTCCTATGCAGCCGCACTTGCCAACACTGTTAGAAGTCTTATCATTGGTCCACAGAAACCACAGTCTCTTGCTCTTTTCATCATGTGTTTTCAGGTATCTAAACATTTTCAATCAGTTAAATTTACTGTGTGTAAAATATTACAAATAATTGTAAAATTTTATTATATAAACAAATAGGGCAAATAAATTGATTTACTATTCTGTGATCATGACATTAGTGTCGAAATATGTATCAATAAATTAAAATTATTTTCCACATTGGTAATATATATTTGTATTCAGGGAGGGAGCCGGGTTTTTTTTTTTTTTTGTTTGTATAAGCCAATACGTACCCACGTATTGGCTTATAAGCGCTATATTCAAGTTGAGTTCAAGTTGTTCAAGTTGATATAAGTTGAGTGTAGTTTTGTTAAGAAAACTTGTTTAAAGATTTCAGAACAGAAAAAGGTAATTTTTAGTGTTACTTAATACACCCAGACTATTCTCTACTTTAGAGCCTCCAGAGGTGTTATAAACTGCAATTCAGCACCTTAAACAACCAAAAATTACCAGAATACCCCCCAGATCCCCCGGTTCTGGCTCCCCCCCCCCCAAAAACAAAATCTTGGCTACGGCACTGGGCGTTTATTATTTCATGTGATTTGTGTGAATTATTAGATTACATCCGCCAAATTTAACCAAATGTGCACCATAAAACTATTTGAAAATACATATTAAGAAAGAACTCTAATGGTCTGTAGGATTTTTTTCTTTACTTGTATTAAACCCATGAAAATAAGAATTGATCACAATAGAATAGTTTAAGTAAAGTCTTTCAATAGTACAAAATCAACAAGATGTAAACAATAAGAATAAACATATGATAATATAAAACTAGAATGAGAATAGTCAGTAGAGCCAACCATTACATCTCCCTCTTTAAAGGTTGAGTTTCTGGGGAGGTTTTATAAGCCAAGCAAGGTATGATCCAATGGCATCTGTAATTCATACGCACAACACAACTTGAACAACACATCTGTGAAATTTCATCTTTTTTGCTATAATGGAAAGAGAAGTTCAAACCAGGTTCTAATATATTTCACCAGCTCTAATAAAATAGTTTTTAGAATTTTAGCTTCAAAATTTGATTTTATATGGAAAATCCTCTGCTATAGTTACTTAAAATCTGGAGTATTTACAATAAATCTACATTTAAAATTTGTTTTATATTTTTTTTATTTTGTGTGTGTTTTAACGCCAGTGGCATTTTTTACATTTTGAAAGGGAACATTACAAACCCTAATAAAAATTTTTGTTTAGTCAGCCATATGAGATGTGATAAGTAGCACAACCAGACTATTGTTCCCGTACTAACACTACAACTAACTATTTAACGAGGTTTATCAGGTTAATATTCAGTTATAGGCAGTAAAACTCTGTTGGTGGGGGTTTATTAGTCTGGATTTTCACAGTACAATTTCATTCTATGCAAACAATTTTCCATAAACAAAAACCAATATTAACAGGACATGCTAACATGTTACAATCTTTCTCTGTCTAAAAAATAATTGACTAAGTTCAAGGTAAGATCTAAAGATAAGGCTTTCAAGAGGGGATTTGTGTGTAACTAAGGTCTTTGATTATTGATAGAAGTATACATCCCATTCCCATAGCTTTACTTGAATAAAAGCAAGTTATTGTATAAAAAATGAACTATTAGAATTAAGCCATGAACAGAACTTGAAACGTGATTACCAACTACTTTTGAATACGCCTACTTTATAAACACGCTTAGCTGATGAGTAAATTTGAAAAACTAGAATATTATTTATAAACTATTGTAGTTGAAGTGTTAAAAAGTACTAGAGGAAATACTTTATTGACAGAATCACACTCTCTAAAAGGCTTGTTCAACCAGGCCTAGGTTCTATTTGAATGATTTGACTACTGCTGGCCCATATATATGGGATGTCAGGCTTACTTGTGCTGCACTAGATGTAGGTTGCGGTCAGTGCTGGACAATGAGACGGCAGCTTCTACTATGAGAGGGCCGAGGGACACAGAACCCACCTCCAGCCACAAGTCTGTGTTTTCTCCAGTACCTGATCTGTACAACAGAATCAACAGATTAGGACAAAAAGTGCTAAAATTTCTATAATAATAAAGGTAGCTATTGATATAATATACATTAATACTATACGATCGCAATAACATCGTCTTATTCGGTCGCGGTAAATGTCACGGATGCGGCAAAATCTAGAGCGTCTCTTGGGGTAACGGTAAAATTGTGTGTCGAGGTTGCCACAAAAATCCTGAGCATCATATGTGGTCACAACGAAATTGTGAGCGTCTCCTTTGGTCGTAGCAAAACTAGGAACGGATCCTACGGTCACGGCAAAATTGTGAACATCCTCATGGCCGTGGGGAAATTGTGAACGTCTCCTATGATCAAGGCAAAATTTGAGTGTTTACTGCTTAGTGCTAAAATCGAGAATATTTCCTGTTGTTTCGTTGAAATCATGAGGGTCTCCTACAGTGAGATAATTGTAAGTCACGTGCGGTTGCGCCGAAATTGTATGTGATTGTGATTAAATCAAGAACAACTCCTGAGGTCGTCATTGAATTGTGATTGTCTCCTGCTCTTAGAGATATCATCATCGTCTCCAAAACTCTCAAGGTAAATCATGAACAATCTGTCAGGCTAACTGTTGGCCAGCCTGACAGGAATGTTGGTATCATTTATTACCCCTGTCCGCAAGCATGATATAGCTAGATTTACCTAGCATGTTGAGACCGACCACTGCCTGTCGTGTTGGTATTACTGTTAGTGCCTCCGGACGAGTGACTGAAGTGGTTGTTGGCAGCAATGATCTGCCTCACCTTCACACTAGGTATCACCCCTGTCAGTCCAGACTTGACTTGGTTTCCGTGAAGGTTACAGGTGGAGAACCGTATGGGAGCAGCCTGCGTGAAGAACACAATTAATACTTTAATAATAGGGGTTAACTTTGAGCTAATTTATATCTACCTTAAACGAGTTATGTTGTACATTAAACTTATGACAGGGTCGACAAAAGCAAGCTGACCAAGAAGGTAGTAAAATTTTTTTTTTTGCTAGGATACTGAGCACTTGCTTTTCACATTACTCTAGGTTAGACTTAGAGATAACGGAATTATCACTTAGATCAAATCCATTGGTGATTTTGAAGGATTTGAACCTGGAACCTCAGGAACCAGAGTCCCGTGCTCTACCACCAGACTGGTTCGCTCTCCCTAGGTTGTACATGTTATTAAAGAATAGTAAAATGAAAAGAAATCTATGGAAGATCTTGTAAGGCTCTCTAAAGACATATCTGAACATCTCTGGAGAAAAATTAGTAGACAAGGAGGAATGAAAAATCAGCAATTAGAGGATCACAAAAAACCTAGGAGAAAATTTCACATAAAGGGTGGAAAGAAGAGAGAAATAAATAACACAGTAATTAATTTTTACCATCACGGTTGTAACGCTTAATTTCCTGACTTGGCGTTTGATCTCTCGAGCTTGCAGGTAGGAATTGGCTCAGATCGAAAATCAAGTCGCTTACAAATCTTTATTTTTTTATCATTTTAACCTCTAACTGAATCACTCTAAAGGCTACGAGCACTATAAGCAACTCACATAGAGATTGATGGCCGTGCCACTCTCCAGTATGTAGAGGTCCACTGCGTCCACAGCAACTCTGACCATGCGGTACTTGATCTCATCAGCAGTGGGGCAAGTGTAGGAGCCGTCTGACTCACTCTCCCCGCACTCGGCAGGGGGAAGTCCATGGTGACAGGCGGGGGGGAGCCGCGGGGGCACCAACTTGTTCTCGTCATCTATAGTCAGCAACAACAGCGTCTCCAGGCTGGTCACCAGGTGATGTAGCTGATGAGGACAAAGTGTATAAGAAATATGCTAAAACCCCAACAAACCAAAAATTGCAAAAGGCCATTTTGGATTATTTTGATCAATCCACAATGGTGTAATTTAAAGGCTATTTTGGTTCAAAGAGCACCTTTAACACAGAGAAAAATTAAAGTTGCATAATTTTGATCGCAGCCTACCTGAGGGGTCGTCATTTTGCCAGTGAGTCGTCCGAGTTGTATCTCCAACAGCCAAGCGTACTCCAATGTCTCCTGATCCACATTGCGGCCTTCGTCACTGAACATGGCTTGTCCTCGCAACTGCAACGTTCAGACAGTCTCAGAAAACAAATCCAATGTATAGGATGCTACATACACAATACAATGACTACATTAATGAAACAAATAATTTTCACAAAACCTGAGGTTTAAGATGGTGAAATGTGCAATTAAAGGACAAAAAATGGTCATTAAAGAAACTAGTGCTGATATTTTCTCCACTCCAGCTAATTTCATTGGACTTTAACTAATTTCACAATACTCCAGCTTATTTTATCGCACTTCAGCTGATTACACCGTTCTGTAGCTGATTTTACTGGACTCAAGCTGATTACACCGTTCTGTAGCTGATTTTACTGGACTCAAGCTGATTACACCGTACTGTAGCTGATTTTACTGGACTCAAGCTGATTACACCGTTCTGTAGCTGATTTTACTGGACTCAAGCTGATTACACCGTTCTGTAGCTGATTTTACTGGACTCAAGCTGATTACACCGTACTGTAGCTGATTTTACTGGACTCAAGCTGATTACACCGTTCTGTAGCTGATTTTACTGGACTCCAGCTGATTACACCGTAATGAGCCGTATTAATAAAAAGAAGGATATGCTCAAAAGGAAAAGGTATGAAGCAAAAGCATTTGCTTCTAGTAAAAGGTAAAAGTAAAAGCATATCCTTCAAACCGTATTAATAATGATTACCTTTTACTTCCGAGCAAATCCTTCTGCTCGGAAGTAAATGGTTCTTTAGGAACATCACATGTTACACGTCTGATCCTGTCTATTTTTGTCTACTGATACCCCTCGAAGGCTTAGCTGTGCCAACTCCGTGTAATGGTTTTGCATCCGGCTTTGAATGTAACCATTACAAACTAAATTATAAAATCTAGTGGGCCGGAATTTTACCCCGGATTTTACCCCCAGAATCTTAACCCCTTTCTAGACATAGAATTTGGTTGATGAAAATAGTCAGTCGGGTACAAGTACATAATAAATTTGTTTATAGAATCATCATATTATACCATAGATTATACATATTATTTTCCAAAATGTTGCTTTGTAGATAGCATGCAGTACTGTATAACCACAGGTACCCTCGCCGCAGCTGCAGACTAAACAAATTTCCTTTTACCTGGCTGGATTTCTTCTAAAAAATTTCCTGAAAATTGTCAGATTTATTTCCTATTTAAATAATATTAATTTTAATGAGTAACTAGGTTTGCTGATTCAAGGAAGGTATTGAGGTGTGTTTTTATTGAAATATTGATAGCTTAGTAGGAGGTAACAAATATACTCCCGCCACAGCAAACCTGCAGACTAAGTAAATTTCCATTTGCTTGATTGGATGTTACCTAAAATGTCTCCAATATCACATTCATTCCCTATTTAAATAGCTTTAGTTTAACTGAGTACTTAGGTTTACTGCTACAGGGAGGGTAAAAAGGTGTTTTTTTTGTTGTTGTAAAATGTAATAGTTTAGTATGAAATGAATGCAAATTTGATCAAAAAATACTTATAAACAAACCACAACAGTTTAAAAATTTCTCCATAAAAATAACATGGAAATTTTAAATTTACAATTTGTTTGAATTTTCTCCGTAGCCATTAGGTGCATAATATAGCTTCGATCTACAAAATGGCTTGGAAAGAAGTTGCTAAATTCTATCTTTTTAGGGTAAAAAATGTTAAAATCCAATTTTTACCCTATAAAACCGCCCATAAACCCCTGTTTCCATATCATATTATGCTGATTCGCGAATCCCTTAGAATAAACGTGGGTTTATACGTTTGCACCAAATTTAATCAAAATCGGATCACTTTTGCTTGAGTTGTTGTGCTAACGGGCACACATATATATGAATTTGAATGGAGGAGGTTTTTGGTGGCCTCTGGGGACCTGAAAACGGAAAAGTAAATGGGTCATGGGTCTAGGTCTTACCACGAGACCTGCGGAATAGCTTTTTCCCTATTTAGGAAATTCGCTAAAATTTAGCACCACGCTGTAAAACCACCACACACCTTTTACTTAAACGTATAATCTGCTACTGATCAGATGCATCATTTTTGAAGGATTTACTTCAAAGAAAAAGTAAATGGTCAGTTTTATTGATAACCATTTACTCAAGTCATGAGCAAAACCTCAAATTTCTATAGATTACCTTTTACTTCTAAAGCAAAAGGTTTTGCTTTAGTTTTTATTAATACAGATTGAAGGATTTGCTCGAATTTTCGCAAGTAAAAGGTTTACCTCATCTTTATTAATACGGCTCGTAGCTGATTTTACTGGACTCAAGCTGATTATACCGTTCTGTAGCTGATTTTACTGGACTCAAGCTGATTACACTGTACTGTAGCTGATTTTACTGGACTCCAGCTGATTACACCGTACTGTAGCTGAATTTACTGGACTCAAGCTGATTACACCGTACTGTAGCTAATTTTACTGGACTCAAGCTGATTACACCGTTCTGTAGCTGATTTTACTGGACTCCAGCTGATTACACCGTTCTGTAGCTGAATTTACTGGACTCAAGCTGATTACACCGTACTGTAGCTGATTTTACTGGACTCAAGCTGATTACACCGTTCTGTAGCTGATTTTACTGGACTCCAGCTGATTACACCGTACTGTAGCTGATTTTACTGGACTCAAGCTGATTACACCGTTCTGTAGCTGATTTTACTGGACTCAAGCTGATTACACTACACTGTAGCTGAATTTACTGGACTCAAGCTGATTACACCGTACTGTAGCTGATTTTACTGGACTCCAGCTGATTACACCGTACTGTAGCTGATTTTACTGGACTCAAGCTGATTACACTGTACTGTAGCTGATTTTACTGGACTCAAGCTGATTACACCGTTCTGTAGCTGATTTTACTGGACTCCAGCTGATTACACCGTAATGTAGCTGATTTTACTGGACTCAAGCTGATTACACCGTACTGTAGCTGATTTTACTGGACTCAAGCTGATTACACCGTTCTGTAGCTGATTTTACTGGACTCCAGCTGATTACACCGTAATGTAGCTGATTTTACTGGACTCAAGCTGATTACACCGTTCTGCAGCTGATTACACCGTACTGTAGCTGATTTTACTGGACTCAAGCTGATTACACTGTACTGTAGCTGATTTTACTGGACTCCAGCTGATTACACCGTACTGTAGCTGATTTTACTGGACACCAGCTGATTACACCGTACTGTAGCTGATTTTACTGGACTCAAGCTGATTACACTGTACTGTAGCTGATTTTACTGGACTCCAGCTGATTACACTACACTGTAGCTGATTTTACTGGACTCAAGCTGATTACACCGTACTGTAGCTGATTTTACTGGACTCAAGCTGATTACACCGTTCTGTAGCTGATTTTACTGGACTCAAGCTGATTACACCGTTCTGTAGCTGATTTTACTGGACTCCAGCTGATTACACCGTACTGTAGCTGATATTTTACTGGACTCGAGCTGATTACACTACACTGTACTTTAGCTGATTTTACTGGACTCCAGCTGATATCACCGTACTGTAGCTGATTTTACTGGACTCGAGCTGATTTCACCGTACTGTAACTGATTTTACCAGATTCCATATAAATACACCACAATTCAGGTGAATTCACTGCACTTAAGCTGATTTCACGAACATCCAACTGATTTGACCTTTTTACAAAAACTTTCCAGTCAACAAAGAGAACAGAACAGAAACCAGCTACTTAATGTGTAGTTTAGCAAAAATAACATAAACCTACAGTAGAACCCCTCATATCCGGCCTTGGTTTTACCGGTCCTCTGTTTATCCGGCCCCTTCCAGGAAGCCAATATCAAAAATTTTTTTCTCACAGCTTACAGACATTAGATGCAGCCACTAGTCTTTGTGACTGCTCAAGTCATAAAATAAATTGTTCTCATTATTTATCTGTTTGTTTATACATTTATTTGCTGAGTCACTATACTCAGTTGAGCAAATAGGCCTAACCTCTGATCAGTTGGTTGATTATTTCCAAAGTGGGGTTAGTACAGTACAGTACGAGTACATTAATTTTTGTATTTCACAAAATGGTTAAGAATGTTGAGTAGAAATGCATGTACCATTTAAGTCCTAATGATCTTTAAGTACAATTTATTGTCATTTTTACCTCCATTTAATAGGTTTTGTTACCTGGAATCATAATATTTGTACATTCATTACTTAATGACTTTAACCATAGATAAATCATACTCCCTTAGTAGATTTGTCATCCTTATGGAACAGCTGAAGCCAATTTTATTGTTTGTTCTGTACGTCCAACTGTAGAGGTTATGTTTTGTTTACAATTTGTTTCTTGTTATTTCAGTCATTTAAAACCTCATTTAATCATATAAAACGATTTAATCATAAAGAATAACTGGTCCCCTAGTTATATAACCAAATAGTAAAGCACAAATCATGAAAATAACCCTAAAATAATAGAAACAAAATGTGGTCTACACCAGCAATCAGTGTGGACGTACATGAACTAGACATGAAAAACAAGCTTCAAAATTTACAATGGGATGAGGAGTCTACTTAAGTGTTGCTTAGTCTATGCTTTAACCTACAAATATTTTTTTTTCTTTTTACAAACATGTTTATTTTTTTTTAAATGATCCCAGAACAGAATTAAATTATACTTTTGATTGCATATATAGATTACCTATTATTATTAGGTATGAATTATCATTTTCATAGTAGGTTGGTTTATCCGGCCAAATCGTTATCCGGTCAGGGGCTTGGTCCCGTGGTGGCCGGATATGAGGGGTTCTACTGTATCACAAAAAATTTACTTCAAACAAAGACGTGGACAGTTGGCATTACCTGCAGTCCGCTCAGCATGAGATGACCTTGGTTGAGATGTTTGTCCTTGACAGAACGTGTCGTCACCTTATCAGAGCTCAGTAGGATGGCCGGTGATAACAACAGCTGTAGCTGTGTCTCCTTGTAGCCTTTCTTCATTTCAAAGCCGAACCTCTCCAATAGAATGATCGGACAAGGTGGATCCCCTTCGTTGCAATTCTACAACAATAGAAAAAAGTTTAGAAAGTAAACCTGTAAATTAAGTAAGTTTCTATTTGTCTGATTGAATTTTTACTTTTCCTCAAACATGTCATATTTATTCCCTATTTTAACATTGCATTTGCCGTTTAACAATGTAGGCCTACTTAGGTGTATGTCTACTGTTATGTTGTTTCAACAGTGTTTAATTTGTACGGTCAAATCGCTATTTGTGATAACAGATTTCTGTAATTAGCTTTTTGTAATGCTAGCCTACCAAGGTAAAAAAACTTACAAAAAATTCCTCACAGTTTGCTTTTGTATGGAAAGAATTCTGACTTAAAAATAGGGGGGAAAGCTATAACTTAGGAGACTATCATATTGTCTCTTATCCAACAACTGAATTAGGAATTTAACATAAGTTAGAGCACAAAGACCAAACTTTTTTAGGATTTTATGTGAAGGAAGGCTTACTCTAATGGGAAATAGTCCAAACTGGCAACAACACATTGTCACTGACAGCATTTTCAACTAAGTAAGGCAAACTTATCCAACCTTCCTAGGTTAAAAATGCTATCAGTGACAGTGTTTTGTTGCCAGTTTGGACTCTTTCCCATTCATGTAAGCCTATTAACCATTTAAAGGTTCCACTATTTAATTTAGATAAGCCCATATATTAAGACGATTATCATTTTTGACTAAATCAACTATGATACAATATTGTTTTGTTTAAAAGCGAATCTGCCATACAGTAGTATTACCTTGACTAGATGAGCCTGTATATCGTGCATCGTGATGGACACCACCACCTCTAGTGGTCTGTACTCGCGGGGGTCAAAATCCTTATGACTAATAGTGTCATCGTCAGACCCCGTCGTGGTCTGAGTGTCCCCGCCACCCCCACCAGGACCTGTCTTGGAACCACTGGGCATCTCTGGCTTCTCATTCATGTCCGTGAACACTTGGTCTTCTCCAAAAATGTTCTCCTGCAAAATAATTAAATTTTTACTTCCAACTTGCAAGTTGTATACAAAAGTAATTTCCAGAACGTTATTCTGGTGTTTACTGGGATGCCCAGAAGGAGGGAGGGGCATGGTGCAGTTTGCACCCTCAACAATTGTGAGTAGTGAATTTTCAGTTCTCAAGTGGGTAGGAACATAACGTACATTGCAATTTTTTAAAATTAAGATTAGGTTAGGTTAGATTTTAAATATTGTGCGCCACTTATCTTAAATGAGTTTTACCATACACTAAATTTTGTGTCACATAGGAACAACCACCTTCCTTAACATCTATTTTCCAGACTTAGTATACTATTTATTTCTAGACTAAAATCTTAGCATTTTTAAAACTTTAGTAATATAAATAATTTACCTTTAGATTCACGAATCCCCTGATCCATGAGCCATAGACCAACAGTACAGAGGGTCCTATCTCTAACTCCAGACTGACCTTATCCGGAGCTAGGCTTGTAGGGTCAAACTTTGGAAGTCCAGATTGCTGGAACGAATACAGAAACTTTTATCATGTCAGGCCTATAAAAAACAATAATCTCGTCCTAGTCCTAACATCCTGTTAACTATAAACACAGATGCCATGAACAAAACTAAATCACCAGCACAAACAATCGTAATATATATTCGTGCAACCGCAGTGGCCTCTTCGTACCGCAGATTCGGAAACAATGATGAGACTGATCTACTGCAATACTTAGAGTAGAGTGTCACAGCCTACAGACAAGTCCTACAAATCTAGAAAAATTTGGGAAAATATATAAACCATCTTTGGACCAGGAATCTTCCGACATCATTTTATTTGAAGTTTTCTCTATATTTATTCCAACCAAAAGCATGAACAATTTCACTGCATCATGCATGATGATGTCTTCTCGATCGAGTAGATAATGTCGCCAGTATGGGGGGGGGGGTGACAAAAAAACAATGATGATATCTCTGTGATTGCTAGAGATGTTCACAATTATTTAGGAACCCAGGGGAAAATTATGTATCTGCAATAGTGGAAGGTATTCCCGATTGTTCCAGAATCACAGGAGATGGTGATGATGTCTCCGTGATTGTGGTAAATGTCCACAATCACCCCGGGAACCCAAAAGACGATGATGGTTTGTGGGAGATGTCGACTAAACCCAACAGACGATGACGTCTGTGACCGTGGGACATGTGGATTTTTAAAACAAAACTGTTTTGCCCAAGGAGAAAAATCCTGTCCCGTACTTGTCCCTGAAATCAGGAAATCAATATTCTATCCCGTTCCAAACTAAAGGTACAATCTCATCCCTAGTACAGCCACTACTAACCTCCCTCCAGTGATGCAGTGCCGGGGACTTCCTACTCCGGGGGATTCTCATTGGAGACAACAATATCTCCTCCTTCTCCGGAGTTGTGATGTCAGCCTGAGGTGGGGGTCCGTACGGAGGCATCGGATGGTAGGAGTAGTTTATACTGAGCGCAACTATCGGCACAGACCAGCAATCTAGCCAACCATTGCTGTAATAAGATAGATAGAGATTTAAAAACAGGGCTGCAGAAAAAACTCATATTATACGATTGACCGAGTTGTTTGTTTCTTTTCGTTCAATTTTCACATCCTCGAACACTAGGCTTTAGCCTGAGATTATTGTTGATAATACTAAATTTATATAAATGGTTTTATGATTTTTCAATTACTAAGAAATTTACTTTTGGTTGATCATGTTGTGGTTTTGGTACCATTCAATATTTTGTACAGAACCCAGTATAAAACTAGTAGGTTCATATAGTGCTATGAGAGTGTTTTATTTTTGAATTGCATCATGTGAATTTGGCAGCTAAGATTGCCTATTCTTAAAGAATTCACACATTTGGATCACCTAAAGACACTTTTAAATTATACGTAGCCTATCTGTTTGATAAATTTAAAGTACTCTTTGACATCTATTTACAATAGATAAGGATAATTAATATTTTTGCACAGAATAGGGTGTATGAGGCCATTTTACTAACTGTAACTATATTTCAAATAACTTTTATTTTGGGCTTTATTTTCATAATTAATTTTGGTGATGATCGTAGTTATTCAATACACACTCCTTACCATAAAATCATAAAAAAGAAAAATAGAATACAAAGGAACAACTATTTATTTGTGTGGTGGCATTTACTACTGCATCAAAATCAAATTCTCAGCTTCCTATCTTCTAATCCGTATCTTCCAAGCCGCTCCTCTTCTCCGTCACTCTCCACGTGTACCACGGTCTGCTCTCTTCTTCTTCTACGCCTGCTCTCATCTTCCAAGCCACTCAAGGACCTCTGTCCGCTCTCTTTATCTAAGCTGCTCCTCTTTTATGTAGCTCTCCACGTGGGCCACTGTCCGCTCTCTTCATCTAAGCTGCTTCTCTTTTATGTAGCTCTCAACGTGGGCCACTGTCCGCTCTCTTCATCTAAGCTGCTCCTCTTTTATGTAGCTCTCCACGTGGGCCACTGTCCGCTCTCTTCATCTAAGCTGCTCCTCTTCTATGTAGCCCTCTTCTCCGCCTTCTCTCTTCTCCATCTTCTTTCTTTGTCTTCTCTCTTCTTTGCCTTCTCTCTTCTTTGCCTTCTCTCTTCATAGTCTTCTCTCTTCTTCGTCTTCTCTCTTCTCCATCTTCTTTCTTGGTCTTCTCTTCTCCGCTCACACTTAATATCACAATCTACCACCACATTTTTTTTTTAAATGCAACTAATCAATAATTGTTGTTCCTTTATGTCATCTATATATAATTTTGAATAAGACTGTTTATATTTTCTTTACATTGCCTAGCAACAGATTTTTTTCCACATTCACAAATCACATCTTACTATCTTATCTTACTAATATTATAAATGTGAAAGTTTGTGTGTTTGTTTGTTTATTTGTTTGTTTGTTTGAAGTTCAATCACGCATTAACCACTGGACGGATTGGACTTAGAGCAAACAGATTTTGAGAGTGATGAAAATATTCTATTACCCACTTCTCAACTTGAATCTGAATACTTTCCTAGTCCATCATCAACAGAGAAAGGCAATGAGAACTGTCAAAGTAGGATTGTTTACAGATATGTTTTTTTTTTTATTTCATGAATAATTAGTGATATTTAGCAATTTATAATTTGTTTTTATCTATTGTTTAGGTGAAGTGGTAGAACATTATGACTGACTATTGTAGATGTGTCATACTATAGTATACTGTAAATTTAAAGAAGGAAATGTTATCAAACTGTGTCCTCCCCTATTGCAAACGCAAAGCTTGAGTATAACTGGAATAATCATTTTATACTTATATGCCAACCCCGTACGAAGGACGGGTATGACTTCTAGTGTATAATATAATCATTTAAAGTGTTCACAGTTTCTCCAGTAACTTCCCTGTACAATCAAAATAAATAATTAACTGATACATTATAGTTGTATCCAGGGCATCCGTACATCCAGCGTACTCACCATCTAGAGAAAGTTAAGTTTGGTATTGCTGGACTTCAAACAATGGTTAGGTATAAGTTGAATTCATAACCTACAATAAAATGTTTGTACTGGTTAGCAATATTCTTTACTTTTTGTATACCCACTCACTGCCATTGGAATATTGGACTTATTTTTATCTTTATTTAATGGATTTTATCTACTGTTCTAGGTCTATTTAATAAACGAATGAGCAGCTGATGTATTTCAATACAGTTTGTTTAATCTGGTTTTAAATCCGCGTTTACACCAGGCCAGTAGAGCAGGCAGGTTACGGGGCAGGTTATTTGCGTCTAATGTACTTCAAGTTTCCTGAGGTAAGTAACCTAACCGCCTACAGGTCTCGTGTAAAATGGGCTATCAATACTAAAGGCCTGTAAAGGCTAGTCCTAGAGGGTCACGGCATTATCACTTAGATTAAATCCGTTGGTGATTGGTGGAATTTGAACCTGGGAGCCTAGTAGACCAAAATCCTGCACTCTACCACTATACCAGCTGGCTCTCAAAGATTACAATAGGTTTTTAATTGTAATGGAAAAAGTTTAAAAAATTCTTTTGACCATTTAACTATGTTTAATTTTAATGATAAATTGGCTATCTCCCACAAAACTGGTCCATAATCTAAAACTGGTATGGGATATCTAAAACTTACCTTCGCTGACACTTATTACGCCACTTGCGACTGTTCTCGTTGAGTCTTCCGTTGATGATGTTGCCGTCTCTACCCAGCAGCTTTGCATTCTGGTCCAGAGCCAGGACGATACACTGCGACGTAAACACTTCCGGTAGATACATAGACAGGTCCATGCTCTCGCCCTGGACGTGAAACAAGTTTTTAAACAATGGGCATATTAAAATGCATCTTATTAAATAGAGTTAGTTTGCTAACCAGTGCAGTTCTTTACCATACCTGTCACAGATAATTAAGTACTTACATAAAAACCAATCACCAACAGTAAAATAAATTACCTGTATCCAGAATCTCAGAGGAAGCACAGCGGGCAAGAAGTCCACAAAAGGAAGGTCAAACGAGAGGTCAAATAACTCTCCACAAAACCCAATGCACACTGTAAAAAAATGTATAAATTATCATTTAAATAGTAACAGTGAAAGACTCTACCAATGTGACTCTCCATGTTGAGAAAGGGGCCAGTGGCCTCGAAATATCCAGTGTTTATTTTGTTTGTTTGTGTTTTCTTCTGTGTTCTGTAGTGAATGAAGTGGGATGCCTACATTTTTTAAGGTAAGCCTGCTTATCCTATCCTTTCTCACACCTATTCTCAGGCATTTAAATAGTACGAAATTTATCTGGAAAGGAAGAGTTCACCTTTATCTGAGTCCAAGTGCTAATAGATACACAATAAAAGAACACAAAACATGTTTATTTTTCCGTCTAAACAATGCTTTGGTAATAGCTTCCTGAATCACAGAAACATCCTTAATAATCCTAAATTTATGTTAAGTTGGGCTCAAAACACTCACTATTCTCCTGGCTCTGCGATGAGCAGTCTATCCAGTTGTACTCATTGCAAGGAAGGATGAACTCAAACTCCTTCAATAGCAGAGTGATCCTCCAAGTGTAGGGGATGAAATGGAGCAGATCTGGACGAGCTTTGCTGGACCAGTCGTTGACCATGTCTGTAGGAAAAAAGAAGATAATGCTTAACCGTTGATAGCTCAGGTATTATTCAAACACCTCAAAAAAATAAAAAACTACCGTACATCTATTTAATTTGATCCAGGGTAGAGATGGTGAAAGTGCCACTCTTACCTCTCTCTTACCCACTCTCCCCCCCCCCCTCAAGATATCTTTTAGTGATAGTCAAAACCAGAAATTTTGGATTTAAAAACCAGAATTTTTCTCTTTACTTGCGGGGTTAAGGTACACAAAAAAATACTGGTAGTAAAAATTTATCATGCAATAAAAAACAAAATAAATTGGGCATCTGACCTGAAATAATATGAATAAGTGACTAATTAATTATTTTCAATCTAAAATAAACCCCACTTCAACAAATCTACTAACTTTAGAGGGAACTTCAACTGAGTTACAGAAATACTGCCCCCGGACAACTACCCCCCCAAGCAGGTTCCTACGTCATGTTGACGTCAGAGATCGGGGGGGGGGCCAGATTTCCAGTCACAGGCACTCAAATTTCATTGTCAAACAGTTCTAAACTAACCTAACCTAAACTACATGCTGTAAAATTTAAAAATTCTGTGACATCACATTTTGCTAGGGGGGGGGGGGTAGTATTCGAGTCGCCTTCCATATTGGTTAGTTGGTAGTATTCCGCATCCCCTTTCAATTGCCTGATTGGATTTCCACTAAAATATGTCAATGTTGTATTAGTAACTATACCTGTTGCATTTCAGGATATTATTATTTTATCAGTGTTGGTTTTACATCCCAAAACTTACTGATTAAATTTCAAAACCAAAAATGTTCCAGAGTTTTGGTGGTTTTGACAAAATAACTAGTTGCAACTGACTTCTCACTGGTTTATGTTGCTACACCGACCTTGAAAGAACTCCTTGTGTGCGTAGATGAACCACACGGTCGCCTTGCAGCCAGTGAGGTGCAGTAACCACTCCTGATGTCCGTTCCACTTGAGAGGGTACTTGGAGCGCAAGGTGAACTCCAGCGTCTCACTCACCACGAGACTGCGATAGGTGAGACTCGTGGTGGCCTCGAGGTGGAGCAGTTGTCCGATCACCTTGGTGGTGTATCCGTCCGGCGACACGACCCAGGGCAGAGTCATCTCCATGTAGGAGCCGGGGCCGACGTTCACGTGGACCGCGTTGGTCTCCTGGAGGAGTTTGGATGGATTAAGTGATTGATTTATACTCAGCTGATTGGTTGTTTAGAAATAAAAGCAAACTGTACCAGAAATCTGACACTGACACATAATTTCTCACTTTAGCTTGAGCAAAACAAAAAGTTATGCACATAGTTTTACTGTTTAAAACTAGAAAACATAAGAATCAACTTGATATTTTTATGGGGGAACTCACCAAAATTGTAATAACTTTTGAACCGTTGTTTTTACAGTTTTGAGGGCTGTGGGTTGTGCCAAACCCTTTGGACTACAACATACTAAATTTCAATCAAAAATCTTCATTTTTGTAAAAACTACAACCTTATTTTTATCGGAAAATCATAATCCCAAAATTATGATGATTAAGTTTAAGTTAATGAAATATTACAAGAGAAAGTGAAAATTGTGACAGCTAAGAGTCATTCCCAAAAGACAAATCAATGTAAGCACTCAACAGCTGTAGTTGCATTTATCTACTATGACCCTATTCCAACCAAATTAACGATGCAAAACATAAATTGGGTGTTTAAATTCCAACGTATCCCCTTAGTAAAGATATTTATTTGCTCACCTTGTTTTTAGAAAACAGTATATCAATCGTAGCTTCAGTTAGTGTGCTGAGTCTCAGGTCAAACGACTGGACCATCCTCTTCTCACCTGGCTTGGGGGCTGGGGTAACCTGAGACAAATGGTTAAATTGGTACTGCAATTTTTTACTATTGATATGACAAGACATTCTATCACTATAGTAGTTGTTTTCAGTTTTAGAATCAAAATGGACATAGTAGAATTGAGCCACTGACAGAATTCATTGAAGTAGGTACATTACTGATTGCTGTCGAATTCGCCAACTTTGTAACCATGTCAAACTGGGAAGCGAGCGAGTCTAATGAATGAGCGCGGAACTTTGGCCCTTGAGGTTCAGGGTTCAAATCCTACCAATCACGAATGGATTTTTTTTTCAAAGTGATAATGCCCCAACCCCTTTTAGACCTAGTCTGGAGTAATGTGAAAACGATTCCGGGATAGAACCAGAGGAATAAAGAAACATGTGAATATTATAGGGCGACTTAGTATGAGCAGGCCCATCTTTAGATGATATGTCTACTTCGATAAATCAATGTTACTCACACAACGTATTTACATCTGTAGCCCATTGGCCTTGGTCAAGTAAAAATCAAGCCCAACAAAAAAATATATTTTTTTTATGTTATAAAGTCAGATCTAGTCCCCTATTCCAACTTAGCAATTTGTTTGGTTTGCTAATTTGGATTTATGACCTAGAATTGGCTTAGTAAAAATATGATCAATATTTCTGTAAACATTTTTTTTATATTTTAATAAATAATACAAGGAACCTTGTCAAATATCAACCATAAAACAATTTAAAATTACTTTAAATACCTTATTATTTACTAATATGCTTATTATGTGTAGGCCTACTAATGACTGATTTATGGCAATAAGGTTTACAGAACCGAAGATAAAGAGTTCGGTTTATTTTTTCAAAGACATATAATTTGCTCTACTAATACTTGCTTTGAGTTTTAATTTCTAAGAATCTATAATACAATTAATAAGTCCTAGACCTTGCTTAGAGGGAAAACCAATTATTTGCCTTTCCAATTCTTAAAAAAAAACATATGTTTTAATATTTTTCATAGCATACAATGACAAGTTTCAACTCACTTTCAGTGGTTGGCAATCCTGTGGAAAGAAGAACCTGAATAGATGGTCTCGCTGTCTGTCAGCCCAAGGTCCGTAACTGAAGTCTGTACCTTTCCCACACTGAAAATTATAGAAATAATTATTTGTAAAGCACCAGACATAGAGAATTACTTAAATTATAACTTCTCAACAAGTTAAACCAATTTTATTTATTTATTACAGATAAACCAAATAAGTCTCTTACACACTATTGTGCGTCCTTAAAGGTGAAGATGAGATTTGAATGAATGAAATGACAGCTATTTTGATTACTAAGATTACCTGTGTTTTAGCCAGAATCATTTTAAAAGCTCAATGATCAAAGGACAGCTTGGTCCAATTTCGAACTACTATAAATATTTTGACTTCACTCAGAATCGAATCAGCAGACTTCTGACTACCAGGCAAGCACTACCACTCAGCTGTACCTTGATATCTATTCCCCAGATGGGAGGAGCAGACTCCACAATGTCTCCGTTGGCGAGCTGCAGCATCTCTGGCTGTTCTGGCACAAGTCCTGCAACATTTAACATACTTAGAGTAGGGTTTGGACTATTTCCATCAACAATTGTGAATGGGTAGAAACTTAGGACTACAACACATGACAGGTCCTATGGTATACTTTAAACTCCTTGCAACGAGGAATTATGATAATTTATAAACATACCTTACGTTACCGTAGTTTACTAAATTGATTACTTGGTTAGACTGTGACTTAATTTGATCTTATACATTGTTAGAATCATAAAAAGAACCAAACCCATTTATAAAAATATTGATATCGTCCAAATAATATTAATGTGGCTGGAAAGCTTACCAGGTTCGTCCATGTAGTAGTAAAGCTCGATGTTGTTGGACGAGAGAACTACAAAACCTTCCCCCATGTACCTAGGAGGATCATCAGCCATGCCTATGTACTTGGGACTAGGGGCTAGCAGTACCTGCAAAAAGATATTGAATTGAAAATAACTAAGTGTAGGCCTATGATATTCATAAGTGCATATCGAATTACATTATTAAAACTAGACTTAAGGTTGTGAATCCTGGTCTTCGGGAGATGACTGCGTGGATGAAGACGACAATGACAGTGACACAGCAAAGAACTGTAAAATGAAGGAGTATTAGTGCCTTAAAAAAATTGACTGATGCATCACTGCAACTACATCATTGTCGTCTTCATCACCCAAAGATAAATTTTACCACCTAGAGGAATTGACTGTGGAAGCTATCACAAGAATCAAACTAAACTTAAACTATGATTAATGAAACCAGTAGAACACAATACAGAAAAAGAGTTAGTTGATTCCTAGTACAAAGGAATCCACCATTGATTTTTACAGATATTTACACAAACCATTAAAAAACTAATTTTTTTTTACTGTTTACATTATAATTGTAAGTTGGTCATCAGCTCTATCTAAATATATAAAAGGCAAAGCCCTCACTGACTGACTGACTCACTCACTCATCACTAAATCTCCCACTTCCCATTTACCTAGGAGGCTGAAATTCGGTACACCGATTCTTTGGGCATTAAATAGGAAAACTAAGTAGTTTTTATTTTGATCAGGCTTTCGGGCTCCGCCCCAGTGGCTCTGGAGTTTCCCATGTTAACCTTATGATTTTTCATATTTAAAAGGAATTAATGAATCTTAACAGCTGTTTCAATTAAACAAGTTGGTTCTGTTCTATGATGTTCAATAGCATTAAAGTTACAAGGATTACCAACAGGGTGCAGCACTATTTTTCTTTTTTTTTATTTATGACAACAGCTGATTTGCAACCAAAAGGTGAGTGAGCGTAGCGAACGAACTTCAACCTGGAGGCGAGTTAGCTTAGCGAACGAGCTAACCTGAAGGCAAGTGAGCGCAGCGAACGAGCTCTAACCTAAAGGTGAGTGAGCGTAGCGAACGAACTTCAACCAGGACGTGATTGAGCCATGCGAATACTTATGAAGTTAAACGGGGCAAAGCCCGTGGGTACAGCTAGTACATGTATAAACTGCAACAGTTTTTAAATATAAATTAAAATAAAAAATAAAATATAACACTACGGCTCATTTAACTAATTTTTTTTGTGATAAAAATCTGGCTTTATACAGGTCCAAATAGGTTGGATGTACACTTCACTCCCTGAAGTCAATGACACTACTTCATTATCCAAAGTCAATGACACTACTGACCTTGAAGTTCTCAGCTTTACATTTAGCGAAGTGCATGAAGTAGTCGAGCCGTGACGCAGCAGGTTTGGTTGAATACACAAAGTGAGCTTCTTCCACCAAAATTGACAACGTTGTAGGCACCAGCCTGTTGCCAAATACAACTCTCCCCTGGAAAAACAAAGAAAGATTGTGTGAACAGTTTGTAACAATAATTGTGTGTTTATTCTACTTAAACTGGAGTTCACATTTGATCCATTATGAAACTATTAAAAAATTCATACATTGTTTAAAGATACATTGTATACTTGTTGGAACTTAGTATTAAGGAACCTAGATATGGATGACTATGTACCAGCTCGGAAATTACTTTTGTAATTACTGTACCAGGCACAAGACTGAAGGTTTTTGAGGCCGTACCTACAGGAAGACATCGGTTAGACAGAGCAGCTAAATAAGATTGGTCAAGTCAAGAAGGATGTGATCCAGTGGGGAGGAGAAATCCGGAAGGCAGAGGATAGAGAAGAGTGGAGGGGGCTAATCTACGAGGTAAAAAATGAATTGAAATTTGTGATGCTCCAGCAGTAAGTAAGTAAAATATAAGACATTCTAAATCGTCTACAATATTGTAAATATTTGTCCATTGTATTGTTTTATAATATTTGCCTCAACAATAAAACACAACTTAGGCTATAATAGGGATTTTTTTGTCATCGTCTCCTTTGGAAAAATCTCACTCTTTAGGTAAAAGTGCTTGGTATTCCTCTTTGATTTGTGACAAAGAAAAGTAGTACGTTGAGTGTACGTTCAACAGCTCTTAAGTTCTAAGAAAAATTTTGTAATTCAATCAATTAATCAATCCTACTCAAATATGCATCGCATAGTCAATATTGCCTCAATGCACTAAAAATAATTGAGTTTTCCTAAGATTATGACTTACAGAACAGACATCAACTTTGATTACTGGGATGAGATCCCTCCAGCTCTTCCCTAAGGATCCTGCTCCCGGTTGAGGCCTCGACCTCCCTCCTGGATCATGAGATTCTCTTTCTGTAAGAGCAAAAAAAATATAAATGGATACTCATCAATATCGGTTTATGAGACACTGAAGTAGTGATAAAGCCCTTAACCTAAAAGCTTGGAAGGATAATAATATTGTAGTCACTGTAACAATGTTCACAGCTACCTAACTAATGATTTTCAAACCGTAAAGGAAGTAGTAATTAGCAATTGTTGAGTGGGATTGATTCTAAGTCTAGAAGTGTACCTATTTTAACTATGAGTGAAGGGTGAGTGTAGAATGGAGTGAGATGTATTGTATAACTTTGTTATTGTTAATAATCAGCTGTTTCATTAGCCAGGAATATTTAATAAAAGCCCAATGATCAAAGACAGCTGGGTCTAATTTCGAACCAAGAAAAAGCTACTTAGGCCTACTTTAGTTAGGACAAGTCATCTTAAGTCAACTCACCATCAGGATGTTTAAACAGGCTGGAGTCCCAAGGGAACAACACAGGATCGAGGTCAAAGACCCGTTCTAGATGTCCGTAAACAGCTGATCTGTTGTACACGTGGAGCTCAAACCCGTTGAGCAACACTGACAGTCGAGTGTCTGAGTGGGACAAGTCTGGAACAGAGAGACGGATCTATCAACTCAATAGTTCGTGTTGACACTAAATTTCAGTTTGGCACACTATCAATCAATTTTAAAAATCCGTTAAATTGAAACATCTCTAAAACCACGGGACTGAGCCCCTGGTCGCATTTACAAACCTTTAATAAATATGATAATACATAGCTTACATCAATAATAATGTCTGATTAATGTAATGAAATGTATTGTTTAGTTTTGGGATTATTTTTTTCTACACTTAGCCTAGGCTATTTGTAAAACCAAAATAAATTTTATCTAGAAAGAGCAAAGTGGTTAATTTACATGAAAATTAGAAAATAACATAAATTCAGGCAACATAAACTGTGTTAAATAAAGGTTAAAGGTTAAGACGTTTTTTGTAAAATATTGCTATAGGCCAGGGTTTTTAAGGATAAGAATGACACAGACTCTACTAACGTTCAAAGAAGGAGTCGCTCCAAAAATTCTATGTGCTAATTTGTACATTTTCATCTCTTTTTTGCAGTAGAAAATCCTACCCACTACAAAATCCTTAGGGTTAAATCAAGATTGAAGTCAAATTACTCACAAAAATTTGGCATTAATAATTACCAGGCGTTAAAATAGTTTTCTACAAAACTTTCTTGTTCACTCTATGTTTAAGAAACAAAACTATTGCACTTAACCTCATTGGAAATAATTAGCCAACTGCTTAGAGGTTGTGTCTAATAGCTCAACTTAGTAGTGAACACAGTAAAAAGTGAACAAACAGATAAACCTTGAGAGTGCTTGAATTGTGTGTGCAGCTACATGCCTGTAAGCTACAGGAAATAAATTTTTAATATTAGTTTCCAACAAATAGCCACATACACCGAGGACCGGTAAACCAAGGCCAGACTTGAAGGGTTGTACTGTACTAAAATAGGCTCAGTTATAACCTAGGCCTACCTTCTGACACATCTTTTGGCACGTAAGCTCTCCACCAACGGAATATCATCCATCCGTCCTGTATCCTCACACTGTAGTCCTGAGTGATGTAGATGATGTCTCTGAACATGATCTTTCCTGACAGAGCACAAAGAGTGAAGGAACCTGCAAGTCGACACATTTCATCAGCTCAATTACCAATCTACATTGGAGTAAATTATTCTCTTGGCTTTTACGTAGCAAGATCTATAACAATCAATATTCCTTGCCTAAGAAATTTATCATTTCCTTTTGTAGATTGAGGGTTGTCCGTAAATTAAGGTCCCGTAAATTGAGCTCCTATTGCAGACAAGCAAGCTGGTTCAGTTAAATCTTCTTTCTTACCGGAGACTTTATGATTATAGCACTAAATTCATTCAGTTATCGAAGTAGGTAAGTTCAATAAAATTATTGTCAATATTTGGCCTCATTTTTAGAACATCAATAAAAAAAGTATACGGGAAAAGTATTTTAGAAACAAAAATAACACATTAAGAGTCCTTGAAGGAGCCTAACGTTGTAACTCATAATACAATCACAAAAGTAGTCAGGAAAAGTCTAATCCCACAGTGCACTAGAAATTAAAATTACAATCACTTTGGTATCCGACCAAATATTTTAGGATGGTAGCTTCAGCGGCTGTTTGAAATTAACAAAATTAACATTGCTCTTATGGTGGAAAAATCCAAGATGGCCGTTAGCCTCCATGAACTCTCTTCGAAAACAATTAGGCTACAAAACTACAAAGTAAATTTATGACCTCACAGTATACTAGATATTTCAATCACAATCACCTTGGTATTTGAACAAATATTTTTGGATGATAAATAACCCTTTGACCGCTGTTTAAAATAATCCAAGATCCAATGCTAACCTCCAAGGACTTACCTATTTTAATCTCTGTATCACGATGTTAGTGCTTGTGTTCTGCAAATTTACAGCTAGTTCAACCAATAATGTGCAATTTATTTAAAAGAGTTAGTAGGTCATTTAATTTTCTCAATATACAACACCTCCTTCCAGAAAAGACTATATCCAGTTAGCACACCAAGAAAATATCAACCAGTAACACTGTGAAAATACTCTTTTACTAAAATGGAATTGAAAATCTCCGCAAACTTACCGACTCTTGCGTACCCTTCGCTGACAAAGAATCTGTTGAGGGCTTTGGTGATGAAGTATCCAGCCACTCTTGAGTTGTAGTAGGTGATGTAAGTGACCCAAGACATAGCAAACAGAATGGAGCAGAGCAGCATGGCGAACGTACTGTCCACCTTGATGTCATCCATGTTGACATTGGTGTAGTTCTGGTTGATGGCTTCGATGAAAGAAATGGAAGTGGTCGAGGGAACATCCTCCGTCATAGGGAACCCCTCCATGGTAACCGACAGGTTGGCTGGAAAAGAAATAAAATAGTAAACATTTAATTTAGTAGAATCTTGATTAACGGAGAGTTATTTAACCCTCTTTGTAAACGATAAAATAGTGTGATTGTATCCTTGGGTTGTGTTTTACAATAGCCTATCCTGTAATATTTTTGTTGGTAGTGTGGTGAAGAGTAGTTAGGCCTAAGTAGGCCTAACTCCACCGGGAAGGAGTCCAATCCGTTAGTTACCCATAATTCTAAAATTTGTAAGATGAGTCAGGAGAGTAAACAGTAAGCTATAACCTATTATTAACTTTCAAGATACAATTGAACCCTCATTACCTCGACATAACCAATTTCTCAGAATATCCGACCTAGAGTCCGACCGTCTACCTGTTTCCTGTCTGGCGCAAAACAATGCAGGGCACGTTCGGTTTTAAAACGGAATGGCCCATCACGGGCTTTGCAATTATCACCGCAGACGATCACTGATATTGCCAGGACCACTAGATGTGCTCACAGGTGTTACCGTGATCGAGGAACGCGATTATGGGTCAAAGTCAAATTTATTTTTATCTTGTACAGTACATAAATAGTGTGATAAGGTAAAATACCAGTAATATGCCTAAGAATCTTATGGTAAATTAGGGCCTACATCAAAGCACTCTTAAAGCTATTTTTAAACTATATACTAATTGAAATAATCTGTTAATTAACTTACAAACATTAGTCTAACTTACCGAAAAACAAAACAATAAGAGTTACTTTTAAGAAAGTATGACTTATCTGGTATCGTACGATTCATAACAACACGAGGAAAGTCCTACAAACATATTTATGATAACCCAACCTAACATAACCGCCACAGCGCGCTGTATTTTAAGGGTGGCCTCGGGATGATACCAAAGTACCTCCTTCGTCACCAAGACCAGCGATGCCGGATAGGTTGTGTCAATAATATTTAGCCTACATATATTACTAAATACAAAAACTTTTCTCTTTAGATAAAACTTTTGTCATGGCGGTGGATGCACGGACACTTTCAAAAAAATCTTTCAGGCTATAATATGGCCTATCCTTTAGTCATGTCTTCAGGGCAGTGCTAAATTTAGTAGGTTCCATGTTCTTCAGTGTTTGGGGTAGACTATTGTAGATCCTGAATGCCATGGTCGGGTATTTTTTTGTTTTTGAGAGTCTGCAGAAAGGGATGTCTATTTCATTGTTACACCTGGCTTGATGTGCATGTATGGTAGGCTACCTAAAGTATATCTCTTATATACAATTTATTTTAAGAAATATTTTGATAAAAAGTGTTTTTTTAATCCCAGAAATGTGTAGGTGTATAAAATCAGTCCCATGCTGATAAGTTATTGGCTTCTCCCTTTAAAAACATATTTATTGAAGAGTTTACCTTAACCTGCCGGAATTGGGGCTGTTTACTGTAGCAAGATCGACAAAGTCCTTATCCTTCAATATCAATATCAATTAGTTAAGATGGGGACGCCACTATGTGCGTATTTTAACCCAAATATGAGTGAAGGATGAGTGTAGGATGAGTGGCGCGATCTTGTAGCCTTGTTAGTGACTAAGGCCGACATGTTCCTTAGACACAGCTGTTAATTAATAGCCCATACAGCTAATGGCAACTAAGGGACCTACAGTTTATAGTGGAATCCGAACCACATTTTTCCTTGTAATTTGGTCTAATTATCAGGATAGTACTGCGGATAGTCGTAGTACTCACTAGTGCGGACGTTAATCCACACCAGGGAGCATCGCATCCACAGTGCATCCCTATAAATATCCACAATTCGTGACCTCCTAGTAGCTGGATTACAGGACGTCGCCACCCGTCCCAGTCAAAAGGAAACCATCAGAACAATACTGCGGCTGGATTATCAGGAACACTGCAAACCCTTTTTTGTCCAAAATAAAATCCTCACCGTTATTTCACTTCATATTCTGGAAACCATCATCCTGGCCATAAATTCCTCGCCCAGTCTCAGACAAGATAAACACAACTACAACACACGAAATAGGGCAAACATCGATCTTCCACAACACACACTCACAAAATTCAGCAACACCCCACTATACACTGGCTCATATTTCTATAATTTACTGCCGGACTTTATAAAAGCCACTGACAAACACAACACATTTATATACAAGCTTAAACAATACTTAATCAATAGGCCCTACTACACCACAGCAGAGTATATCGAGGAACACACTTTTCAACACCTTAGATAACGGGGCTCACTTCGAGAACCAAACAGATGAATCTTGACGATTCCCCAATCGATTGCGGAGAAGACTTCAGAAGTAAGTAAGAAGTAAGATTGGAGAAACAAATACATTTTGAAGTAGGCTAACCTGTATAGAGGGCACTGAAAACAAGCTTCTAGTATATCCCAACAAATAAGTTGGTAAGGCCTAAGTTAGGGGCCTGTGTGTTTACAAAATTGCCAAAGGTTTTAAGTTAGGTACCTAGGCCTAGTATCATTAGGCCTTGGCCTGCACCAAGTGCACGCTTGTAGGGATTACAAACAATTAGGACTATTCAACAAACTAACAAATTGAGTTCTTCTGCCAAACAGGCCAATACCCAATTAACTAAATGGTTTTAATTAACTTATGCATAAGGCCTGGTGTTTGGTCCAATCTTAAAGCTTTAGTTGAAATGTGATCTAACTTACAATTAATTGTGACAAATCCTCGAAGCTTAATGGAAATAGTACTTACCAAAAGTAGTCATGATTAATGTCTGATTCTGATTAGCGATGAACAAAGAAAGTTTTAACCGATGAAAATCTACAAATTATTGTTTACACACACACACAGAAGAACCATGACGAACATCATAGCTCACAGCCATAAATGGATGTCAATTACCAACTTGACAGTGATGATAAGATGACTAACGTTTTCGATTTATTTGGTTGTTTGTAGATAACAACGAATTATCGTAAAACTACAGAACTTAACTAAACTAGGTAATACAAACGTCACATTTTATCTTCGTTGAGACTACTCACGGCCATAACAAACTGAAAACTGCCTGAAAGAAAACAACGAAACAATTGAACTAGAACGAATTGAACAGCTGATTCTATTCTCTATCTCTATGCCTGCCTTCATGGCCTCTCTTGGCTATGCTGCCTGGCATTTTACTCATTTAGAATAGTAGGCAATGAGCATTGACTTGGGATAATGTAAAAATAACTTTTGATACTATCCTTAAAATCTTTAAGATGGACTCGTTTTCTAGCATCAATGTCTTTCAAATGTTTCTCATAATCTGTCGAGTTTTTATCAAGACACTAGTCAATTCGAGGACAATTCAAAATCACAATGAGCACACTGGACAAAATTCCCGTCGCCGGTTACCATACATACATAAAAGCTTAAAGCAAACATTATTTTAATTGTTAGTAGACCTACTGAAAGTCGCATTTGCTGGTGCTCGCTAAAGTTTCATGTTTGAGAGTTGAGACAAAGCCAAACGAACACATCAGGAACACAACATTTCACGCGCTAGGTGAAGCCGAGCAGTAGGGTTATTTTCACGTCTCATCGCAAAGCCGATGACGTTAATAATTTGGGCAAGTACCAGAAAATCACTTTCGGTAAAAGCTATATGAACGACCTTTCATCACGACACACAAATATTCACATACATACAGGGCGCAGTAAAAATAATAGTGCCGCAGCAAACCTGCAGAATAAGCGAATTTCCACTTTCCTAATTGGATTTCCCTTAAAACATTTCCTTAAACTCGTCAGATTTATTCGTCACAAGCTAATTAATTGTATTTTGTAGTGAAATACAAATAGAACATGAAATAAAAAATTGCCAAGTTTAATCAAAATAATTAATGTTTAAACACAAAAGTAAAAGACCCTCCTCACTCACTCGCAGATTAATCACTAACTCTCCAACTTCCAGACTAGCTTAGCTAGAAGGCCGAATTTGGTATACTCATCCGTTCAAAATATAGGGAAGTTAAACAGGTTTCATAATGATTTTACTGAAGGGATGCGCCATACAAGCCCTTGAAGTTCCAATGTTATTCCTTATGGACACTTTTTACCATTAATTTTTTATCGTGCACCATCTGTTAAAACATTTTTATTTACATCGGTCTCAAAATGTTTTTTTGTTTATTTGACTATCAAGGTAAAAATACTATAGGTTAAGCTGGCATGTAAAACCATAAACTGCTTAAATGTTTGCGTGCTGGGTTTTTTTCTTTTTATTACTACTTCTATTTGACACACATCTTATTTTTTATTATATTTTCGCTTCAGGACTTTATTCGTGTGTGACACTTAAAATCTGTTGGTTTAGTTTGTGTGATTTCTTTTATCTTTCTTTTCAAAATACGTATCTTGGATTTTACTTCATGGAGATGGGTAGTACCCTCGCATTTTTCTAGCCTTTGTACGCCTCCTCAAATGGAAAAGAATGCATGCCTACTTTGTGAAATCGGACATTTTGATATACGGAAGGTTATCAATTACGGAAGTTCACCTGTCAAAGAGTGGAAGACCATGTATTGAACAAATTTTAAAGACTAAGATTATGAAGTCACAGTGATATACAACTATGTCCTTCCCAATACACAAGCAAGGAAAAGACCGAGGGGTTGTGTTGCGGAAGTAGAAAGTGTAATTTACAAGATTCCACTTCATTTACAGCTCAAAAACAACTATTGAAACCTAATTACAATTATAAACACATACAGACAATGAAGTAATGCATAGTTTGACAAACTCAGAGACACAGTGACGGGATATGCTACTGTAGCAACCACTTTGCGATTATCATCGGCTTGAGGCACGGCCACCTTTAACTCCGTGCTTAACAACTTGGTTTCGCCAAGGAAAGACGCAAGAAAGTAAGTGGTACCTTTATACCAGTCCTAAGTAGATTTCTCATCCTTGTAGAGCAGCTGCTGGAGCCAATTTTATTGTTATTTCTGTCCGGTACACTGTAGAGGTCGTATTTGGTTAGAGGTGGTACAGGGAACGGGCATTCTACTCTCGTACAGATTACCATTAATCTCTTATTGTTCAACACCATTAACACATTACACTTCATTTAATACAATTTAACTAGGCTTATCTTTAAATGTTCTTAAATAGGCTGTTTTTATTTTGAAAAATGATTCTTCTAACAACTAAATGAACAAACAAATGATATTGTATAAATCTTCGCATTACCCTCCCCACCCCCATGCCCTTTTACTCAGCATATGATTTCGTTGCCATCTTCTAAAGAGCTATAAGACCATTTAGTATACCTTTTTAATTGGTAGATAATTCCTATGATTAATCCAAATTTTTACGGCTATTATATTTTAAATTCAATGAATTTATATTACAAATATTTGCCCGAGCGAAGAGCGTGCCAAACAGCTAGTAATAATATACATTTACATAAGCAAACCAAAATAATCCAGAAGAATAATAATATAGGAACTTTTAAGTAACAGGTCTGAATTTTTCTCCATAACTATTAAACGTAGGTCTACAACAACGCTTCAATGTGCTAAATTATTTGTTTCCATAAGCGTGTAGAATAGTTTAGAGTGGTCAAACCCATATTTTTATCGCCATAAACCCCTTTCTTATGACCCGATCGCGATCTCGTGCAAAAGACCGTAGGTTTACACGTTTGTAACTAACACAACTTGATTATTCAATTCTAGTCCATCTAGAAAAATATCCGATGTCAAACAGCAATGAATGTAGACATGACATAACTACTGGACCTTTTAAATACCTCCGCTGCAGCAAACCTGTCGACTAAGTGAATTTCCATTTGCCTGGATTGATTTTCAATTAATCTATTAAATTAGCATTTGGTACCTAGGTTAGCAGCTACAGAGAAACTAATAAAGTGTGTTTTTATTAAAATATCAATAGCTTAGTATGAAATAATAAATCCACCAAGTTTGGTAAAAATATATCCATAAACAAGCCAATTAACTTTTAACATTTTAAAATATTCTCTATAAGAATAACATGGGAATTTTAAATTAACAATATTTTGAATTTTCTCCGTAACCAATAACCGTACAAAAACACTTTGATATACTTCTTTTTTAAGCTGCTTAAAAAGGTCTGGAGAAAAATTGATAAATTTTGTGTTTTAAGGTTAAAAAATGATAAAACCCCATTTTACCCCATAAAACGCCCCGTTAAACCCCGTTCTCATGGTGTTTTTGGCCTTTGGGGACATCAAAATGAAAAAGAAAATCGGTCCCGGGCCTAGGTCTTACCATGAGACCTACGGTAATGGCTACTTCCCATTAGGGAAATTCGCTAAAATGACAACTACCCAACCATTAAGTATAGTTATTATGACAAATAATAACACTAAGGCCACCAAGGCAGCCTTTGAGTAAAATAAACTATGCAACTGTTAACTCAATTTCATTTTACCTCTACGCACGTTCTTTCTGCGATACAAAGATGTGACCATTTATATGTTCAACATAAATCACAAAATTTTTGTAAATGAATATTTAGGAAAATTAAATCCACAAACTTAATTACATTTAAAATAAACAATTATGGATTTATTGGTTTGTATCATACAATATCATATCCAGGAAAAACTGAAATAAAATAAATTTTAAATCCTACCTTTGGTTGGTTTCAGCCTAAATTCGACCAAAGTGATGCAATAGGTTGCGAGGGGAAGGTTTTTTTGCATGCAAATTAAGTACGCTTATTTTATTAGTATCTCAAATAGTATAAACGATACCGGTTTGTCGATTAACAGGACCAAAAATGTAATTGTGAAAACACGTAGTATGAAAGTAATATAGCTTGTACAGATACTTGAAAAGGTTATTCGAAATCCAGCTATAAATAGGTAGGGTGGACCACTTTAGATATTAAATGGATGGACTACAGGATATTTTCAATACTGTTAGCTAAACTTAACGTACTTAAGTGACCATGCAGTTGTGAGTTGGAATTCACAGACACTGAAGGTAGAGGAATGTTATTGACGGGATTACAGTGTGTTCCATAACTGGACACCTATCAATCATTTAGCCACCCAGGACCCAGCCACATCAGCTGCTCCGGTCCGACATACAGGTTATTTTCATAGATAAAACGTAGGCCTACTTGGGTTAATCATAAATTAGGTTATTTTGGCGCTATATGTTACAACGTCTTTAAGGAACATTCTTAAACGTTTAATTTTTAACCAATTATGGAGTTTTATTGTACACAAGCTTTGATATTTATTATGGTGAAATATCAGAGATCACAAAAACACTTCATATTCTCAAAGTATGCGTTAGATTAGGTTACGTTTGTACCTTGAAATATATGCGTTAATTCGTTAAATGTTCCTCCAGTTTATTAAATAAATTTAAATTTTAAACGCTTTTAGAATTTTTTTTAGGCTGAATACATTTTATTTTTATTATGCTGGCGCTGACATACACTTTGTAAATACTATAATAAAAATGCGAGCATTAAAAATCCAATAAACAACCTACAAACGTTCTTTTCTCCGAAATAATCGTACGCAATGTAAATAAAACTAATTATACATTTTTCGGAATATGTGGACCGTGTTCTTAATTTGTTCGTGAGTTGGTAGCACTGGCATGACAACGACAGCTGACTGATACAGCTGTTTTACATACATCAGGTTGAACTCTTTCCCGTGGGGCCAGGTAAACGTGTACGTGAAAAGATAGACAATGTTGCGAAACAAATAAGGAAATATGTAAAACACTCTCCAACGTGTTCCTTGTATTTGAAGATACAGGGGATATATTTTTTGACAGAATATGCTTGAGAATTACTTATTTGTAAAATGTATTAGGCTAAATAAATTTACGGTAAGAAAATACATGAATTACACAGGATTTAGGGCATTTGCACGCGTAAACCAAATCAACCCGAGCTTCGGTATACGTAACACCCCCGCGATCACAGTGAAATCGTCAATATATCTGCGATCATGGGGACAACTTCATCTTCATCCGCGATCACAACGA